ATAACTCTAATCTATTGATACCATTCAATATTTTGTATTTGAGATTGTTTCATATATTTTAATTACCAAAATATGTATGGTTGAATGTAAAATAAATAGTTTTAGACCAACCAAAGAATTATGAAATATAAATATTTTTAATAGGAATCAAATATTCATGTTCAAAGAGGTAATAAAGCTTGATTGTAACATAAACGGTGTAGAATCAACATAAGAACCAGTGAGTTGCATCAATAACTCATGAATTTATTGTTCTTTAAACTATAATATAATTGCAACTCAAAAAAAGAAACCATAGACAATGAAAGAAGTTAAATTGATCTTAGTGAGATCATACATTTTATACTATGTTGATTGATGTTTAGATATCTCATCTCTTTCAATTCATTTTATTTAGTTGTCTCCCTTAACAACAATATAATAAATTCAAAAAGAGCATGAAAATTATGGTTGAAGCCCTAAAACTTCATTTATAAGAAACATGTTTACACTTTAGTTGATATTTATACCAACTAGCTTCTTAGGTCACAAGTATTATTTCAATTATCTCAAAAGATCTACACTAAAATTTTAAAAGATTTAGTACATAAATTATGCTCCTAATGTTGCAACAATTGCTAAATGTTATATCAAGTTTCTCACAATGTCCAAAGAATAACAAAGAATGATGAGAGCATGAGAATTTTATTACATAGTTAGAGGTCTAATATATCATCACATTGATTAAGACCATGAATTTATTAAGTTATTGATATGTTGGGGAGACTTCAAATTAACATGTTATGGGATATGAGAGAGATGCAAAAAAGTTGTGATGCATATCTTAAAGACTAAATATTAGTAGCTTATCCACTAAAGGTTTTTATCACTTGGAGAATGTTTAGACTTTGCTTACATGACAAGTGGGGATGGAGCAATCTCATGGTGGATCGAGAATTAAGAAAATGAACAACTCTTACTTCATGCACTAGAAAGATGTGTGAATAAAGAGAGAATAAGGAGAGAGAGTCATCCACCTTATGTATATATTTAGATAGATAGATAGATAGAGAGAGAGAGAGAGAGAGAGAGAAAGAGAGAGAGAGAAAGAGTAGAATAAGTCCATTAGGCCTATACAACTCGTATGACCTATTCACACTCTCCCTCAAGTTGGAGATTAGATGTCTAGTATTTCCAACTTATTATGGAAAGTATCATAGGATATCTCACTTGGACTCTTCATGAAGATATTTACTAGTTGCTCTGATTATCCAACATGTGGTGTTGTGATGAGTACTTTAAAGACTTTGTCACATATATAGTGACAATCCACCTTAATGTGTTTCGTACACTCATAAAATTTTGGGTTGCTTGCGATGAAGAAAGTTGTCTAGTTGTCTTAATACATAGTCATATGAGTGTGTACTAGAAAAATAACTCTTGAAGAAGTGAGTGTATCCACATCATTTCACATGCAATATATGTCGTAGTCCTATGTTTGGCTCCAACATAGGAGCAAGAGATCACATTTTATTTCTTACTACGTCAAGTGACAAAGTTCTTTCCAAAGTAAGTACAATATCTAGATATAGATTTGTGATCACCCTTCTCGCCTACATAACTAGAATCTGAGTAAGCCTCAACTCAGAGGTGTCTATGTCGCTGATATATGAAGCATTATCACAAAGCATGCTTGACATATGCTAACACTATCAATACTCATAACTAGTGTGTTTATCGTGATTTGAGTATAAATTGATTGAGAAGTTCACAGTATAAACAATGTCGAGGTGAGTGACTAACAAGTAGATTATCTTTTTGATTAATTGTCAATATTGATTGAAATCCTAAAGGAAAAAAGAGGTGGTGTCCCAAAAATGAAGTCTTGAGTCGAAATAGGTAATAACTCAGGTTTGCATCCCAATAAATTGACATTTCTAATAAATTCAACACATACTTGTGTTGAGATAAAACTATTCATCCATGTTGATAAGCGAACTCAATCTCCAAGAAGTAGTAAAATTTACCCATGTCTCTAGTAATGAAGTGTTCACGTAGGTGAGCTTTGGTCTGTGCAATGCTAACCATGCCAATGCCTATGAGAAGTATGTCATTGACATAAATTGTTAGAATGATACTCCTAGTAAAAATTATTGGTGGAAGATAGTAGGGTCCACTATGCATGTCTTGAACTCATGAATTATCAAGATTTGACTAAACTTGACAAACCACACTAGATGACTCTATTTGAGTCCATAAATAGTCCGTTTGAGAAGGCATATCAGAGATGACTCTCTTTGAGTAGCATACCTTAGTGGCTACTCTATGAAGATTTTCTAAGGTCAAGTCTCTATAGAGGAAGGCGTTTGAGATGTCAAGTTGCATGAGAGTCTACCCTTGGTTGAGAGCCAAGAGAGCAGCACATGTTCGGAGTTGAGATGAACAACAAGAGAAAATATTTCTTAGTAATCGATGTCATATGTTTTAGAGAAGTCCCAAGCCATAAGACACACTTTGTGCTGAATAATATTGCCCTCTAGAGAATATTTGTGAGTAAACAACTGGTTATAAGTGACAATGTTAGTATCTATAGGATGATGAACAAACTCCCATGTTTTGCACTTGATTAAGATATTGTATTCTAAATCTATAGTTGTCTTCCACTCAAGTACCTACAGAGGCTTCAAATACGTCTTAGGTATTTAGTAAGTAGTTGTGAGAACAACATCAGATCATAGGTAGTGAGAGACTCATATCTTTACCAATAATGTTGAGTGACATTAAGAAGGTGATGATGTTTACATTCAGCTACCCCATTTTGTTGAAAAGTCTGAAGACAAAATATTTGATAAAAAATGTTGAAAGATGTGTAGTGATCTTAGAAGGGACCTTGATGAACTCGAGAGTGTTGTCCATTAGGCTCACATGAAAGGAGACAGCCCTAGCCACCCGAGCCACATCCTCCATCGCATTCACGACCACGCCCACTATCTCGACTACGTCCCTTCCCTCTTCTGCCCCTAGTGACCATAGAAGAGGAGTCAAGGACAACCAGAGTGAAAGTAAGAGGAGGTCGAATTTGGCCAGTGGACACATATAAACTTTGAAAAAGTTATTGTAAAAGATGGTAAGATGTCGGTGATGAAAACTTGACCTTGAATTTGAGAAGCGATGGAGACCAGAGAGATAAACATCTACTGTCAACTCTTCACGATATCTAACTTGTATGACTAAATCAATGGTGAGAGGTTAATAGACCTTGAGTTCATCCATAAGTGAATTAAGCTTCATGTAATAGTCTTGAATTGTCACCTTGCTTAAGTTTAAAGAGTTGTTCATAGACTTCCACTATATAAAAAATGTTTTTTTGATTTTCGTACATATGCTTTAAAGTTTCTCAAACTTGCTTGACTAAAGTAGTAAGAGCAAGCATATGGACAATAGAAGAGATGTTCTTGAACATCCAATAAATAATGGCCAAATAGACTAACATTCATCATGATTTTCGTACCATTCATCATATTTGTTGTTCTTCTCATCGAGAATTTTTAGTGAGAGATGATAACTTCTCATGTGACTTGAGGAGGTGTTTGATGCTCACCGCCCAAAAGATATAATTTATATCATTAAATACTTTTACGGGACTATTGAGTAATGCCATGAAGGTATTTGAAAGAAGGGTGAAGGGCGCTGAGGTAGCCATGGGGACGAACGACTAACCAAGTGGCAAACCGTGGCATCTCCGATTTAAGAGATGCCAACGTCAGCACTCGTATGGTGTGAGCCATATGGTGCCCACATGGCAAGTTGGCATGCTGGTGGAGCCGGTGTATGCGCTGTTGGTGGGTGTGCGGCATGTGAGGGGTGTGCTGTTGGAGGAGACGGGCTGGTTGGGGAGGGTCTAGTGGGCTGTAGGATGAGAGAGGGTCGATAGGGAAGAGGTAAGAGGGGCGGTGGGGAAGTGGCTGGAGTGCCCTACGATGAGAGGAGACCAGCAAAACGTAGTATGAGAGAGAGGGCCGACGACGTGCCCTAGTTTTGATATCATGTGTGAGTAAAGAGAGAATAAGGAGACAGTCCTCTACCTCATGTATATAAAGGGAGAGAGAGAGTAGAATAGGCCTATTAGACTCATACATCCCATATAACCCACTCACAAAACTCAACTAATTATACAATTACTTTGGTCATGGAACTTTATTTCTAAGACACTAAGAATTTATTTTGTTAATTCACAGCAATTTTCTTCTCAAAAAATAACAAGCACGCTCACTTCAGGCATTAAACATCTTATGGCGAAAGAGAGATGGTTTGCAGCACATAAGTTGTAGATCTTATGAGAAGGGGTTTATGCATATGGTATTCACATGTCATATCTTTTAAATTCGTCTCATGAATACCTTATGAGCGGGTGAGCATTGAGACACATGGGTTTGTGATGTATGGTCTTAAGAGTTCTATTGCTTTTCATACTATTGCATCATAAACAATTTGACTTACTAAATATTTATGCAATTTTCTCATAAAGAAATGATTGCATGTATCGTCCGATTGAAGGTGGCTACTCGGAAGCACATTTGGTGCCGTTGTTATTTATAGGGCTAAGGGGGAGACAACTTTGTAGCTGCCTCATTGAAATGGCCGCCTGAAATAGCACCATAATGGGACAGCCGATGCTGCTGTAAGTGGGAAGCTTAGCCGAGGCTGGGAGGGGGGGTTGCTCTCTCCCTCTTCTTCTGAGACTCTCAGGTCCGACGGTCGCCGCCGGAACCGGCCGGGAGACATCGCCGGCGTGCAGCGGAGGGACGAGGGGTTAGAGAAAAGGTTGGCGGCGTCGGGTTTTATCCGAGGTCAATTTCGGAAATTTGGGTCTTGTACGGGGGCATCTTGACCAATTTGCTGTAGAGGCCCGTCAAGTTCCCAGATCTCCACGCTGGTCCTCGAAGTTCGTCTACCTCTCGCTCTCTGGGCGAAGAACGCTCGTAAGCCCCCACCGAGGAGATCCGAGGAAGGGAAGAGAAATGAGATCGAAATCGGATTACTCCAGCGGAGGTGCCGCCGCCGCTGGTGTGGCGGCCTCTCCCGCGTCCGATCTCGGTTCGATCGATCCCGTCCTTCTTGTGCTCAAGGTCCTGCCCTTCAGTTTCCTCCGACCGCCGCGCACCCGCCTGAGGCTCCCTTCCCTGATTCTCCCCTCCCCCATGACCGTGCTGTCCCTTCTTCTGCTCACCTACTTTGCGGTGGTCTCCGGCCTTGTCTACGATGTGATCGTGGAGCCGCCGGGGATTGGGAGCACACAGGACCGTGCCACCGGCGTCGTCCGGCCTCTCGTCTTCCTTCCCGGCCGCGTCAATGGTCAGTACATCATCGAGGGGCTCTCGTCAGGATTCATGTTTGTGCTTGGTGGGATCGGCATCATCGTGATGGACCTCGCGCTGGACCGCAACCGACCCAAAAGCGTCAGGGTGTCGTTCGCCTCTTTTGGGATAGCGGCTGTGGTGATCTCCTATGTCATGAGCACGCTCTTCATACGGATCAAGATCCCGTCCTACCTTTACTGAGGATTCGGTATTTACTTTTCTTGTAACTGGTGGCAATGTTGGAAGATTTGTTGTGGTCTCATGCGGAGAAACGTAGCACTTCGGTAGTTTAACAAGAAAATGAAGCACTTCACAACTTTCTATGGGGTAGGTCGGGAATAGTATACTCTACTGAAGAAGATACCATGTATTTTCCTCTTATTGACAGATTAAGGTACCTTTGTTGCAGCATCAGTTATAATCCTTGTTGAGATAATTAACTTGACTTGGTTGGATTCTTGCTGTGATAATTTGCAACTTTCATTTCAATATCTCTGTCATGTGTAATAAATTACTTGCTGAAGCATCTCAGATGGTCCATGCCAATTATATGGTTTTATCTTCGTTTCCCCTAGATGATCTGAAGTTGATCTCCTTTCACATGCTGAAAATGCATCCTGTTAAAGGCACACCATTCTATTATTCTGCCTCACTGTGGTTACGCTAGTTTCATTCGGTGCAGGATACAATGTAGTCACAATTAAAAGAATGCTTGTACCCAACCCAAAAACGGATCGAAGGAATTGCAGTTATGGATGGTAGCCGAACCTTACTGTTGGATGTACATGATTCTCTTTGTGGCGGATGGAAAAATAATCACGTCTTTATCTTTCCTTGCCCAAAATTAGATCCCATATTTGATGTGTCTCAAAAGGTGGTGTTTGTGCGAACACTTGGTTGCATTTTTTGCCGTATCTTTCGTATCCATTGTGCCATAGGCCTAGGTCCCTGACACTGATAGACCTCACGAAGGAATTATTTCTATTGGTTTTTATCTTTGTTTGACCTAATCCATACACTTATCTGTCTGCAAGACCCTGAAAAACGTTTTGTCTACAGTTATAATCACATATTGGGTGATGGAAAGATGGATTCTGTGGTGGAATTACCTAGAATGTCTCTAGCTTTGTTGTGCTTCTGGGTTGAAATTATTGCATCTCTTGGAAATTCCACACCCATCTTTCTGATTGAGGTGGATTGGGGATCATTGGGTGTTAAGGATACTGTCGGAAATGGATACCATATGGATTGAATTTCGTTTATTGCTAATCATTCGGCATTTTTTTTTACTTTTTGGTTGCAGTCATTGTCTGCTTTAGGTAGATTTTTTTTTGGGCAAGACATTGGGGCAAGACATAAGGATTTTTTTTGGTAATCTTTATTTGTTCTTTAGAGCTGGACTGTGCAACTATGTATATTTACCTCTCGTTTTATCGATGGTGCAACTTCACATCTGCTAAAAATAATTTACATTATAATGTCGGTAAAATTACCAATGTTTCCTTCCACTGTAATCGACTTCCGTCCAATTAGCATACAATTATTTTGACCAGCTTGTCTGAGCAGTCTACAGGCATTGATACACCATTGGAAAACAAGCATTATGGCAATGTTTTTTTGGTTCACCTGTTAAAACCTTGTCTATGATCGTTTTCTTAATGGAACACGTTTTTGTGATGAATTTTTTCGTATTTTGTTACTGACCATGACTGTTACTAACCATTATGGCAATACTCTTTTGGTTCACCTGTTAAAACCTTGTCTAGGATCGTTTTTCGTATTTTTGTGGTAACTTGTTGAAATGGAGGCTGTTTAATCCTTGGCTGCAAAAATTTGGGATGAAGAGCTAGGGATTGAACTGAAACGTGACGGAGAGTGTTTTCTTCACTCGCTAATCCATTCTTGTACACTTGTTGAGTTCACCTAAGCTTGGGCATTTAGGCATTGCGTATGTCAGCACAGAAGAAATAATGCAATCCAGTCATGCCTCTAAGTCGGTGATTCACCAGGCACGGTTGACTGGTAAGATAGTATTTTGTATGATCTATAGTGTTTGTGGGTAAGTGTGGTAAAATTTACTGGGTTGGGAGTGATATGCTCTCTTTCATTTTGTGCAGGGGTATATGATATATTGTTGGGTACCCTGGTTTACCTTTAGAATTTCTTGGGAGCATGCTGGCTCTATCATTGACCCTCAGAAAAGTAAATAGTAGTATGACAACCTTGGTTGATTTTAATGCCTACGCAGGTGTCAGGAATATTGTGTGTCATCTGATGACAGAAAATTGTAGCCAACACAACAGGGAGGGGGGGGGGTGTTGTGGAGGAAGAAAGGCAACTGTAGAAATACAAGAGGTGAATTTTCTATTTCATTGAAAATTGCTCATATTGTTGGGCCGGATGATGCTTTAAATAGGGTTACAGAGATAGAATCCTTGTTATCTATGTCATGAGCTTCAGCACCTTACTAATGTGGGTCCCAGAAGTTTACTATAATTAAGCATAGAAAATGGAAAGAAAGCTGCTAAACGATCTGCTTTTTGAGGAATTATTTAGATATCTACTGACAAGTCTAATGTGCAGTCATTGCATCCTCGTTTATGGATTAAGGCTCATCCGAAGGTCCCAATGGCTCGGTTCTGGGGTTATCTCATGGCACTCATGGCAACGACTCGATTCTGGGGGTATCTCGTGGCACTCATGGCAACGAAAATTTTCAAGACATACACAAATTCTCGCGAAGTTACCTTCTTTGAACCCTTATTGACTGCGGTGTAGATTTTCAACCATGGCTGTGCCTATTAATCATCCGACAGAAGTTGGCACTAACCTTATGAACCCTTATTGTCTGATGAATATTTGAGAGAGGGTGAATGAGGTCAGTAGGCAGTCAGGGTGAAGTACCATGAAAAGTTTGAATGGATCTTTCCCTGTGATCCTTTTGTGGATCTATTATATCAGACTTAGATGCAAGGAAATCAAATCATAATTAGCTAGGGAGTTACCAGCAACACAATGCAACAGATTCTTCCCAACTACTTTTACCTGATTATGTCTAAATGTGCAAGAAACATCGATAAATGTCTCACAAAGGTTTCTTTAAATAGCTGCCAAAGCTCTCAAATGATGGTGACTCAACTTCTTTTGGGGTTCTTAAGTGTATCGTCTGGTGGGAATGATGGGCGATCATCATGATCACTAGTCCTGTGGGACACATGCGGAGACAATCCAAGAATCAAGGTCTTTCCGCTTTTTAGATTTAATGACAATTGCTTGTTTGGTGATTATTCAAGGTTTCCTAATGAAAGACACTTGGAATTCATAACAGTGAACTGTTAAGATTTTATGGGGGCCTGTTAAATCAATGTAGCATCTCGATGCTTGTAGTTTTGAATGAAATGGATAATCTTCCTATTGCTGTTGATCTTCTCCTCCGCTTATCTTTTGACGTTCTTCCTTTACATCTTCCTTTTTCCATTTCCTTATTCTGCCACTTGTTTCCATTTCAGCGACAAGTTTACATCATCTTCTGTTTCGTTGATCTATTTTTTAAGATCTTTTTACTTTGATATGAGGGCAATATATCTTCGTGGGAACGTATTTATGATTTCTATTCGGAAATAAGGTACAGTTTATTCCAATGTAATGTGCTTGCAATTGAATTGATCATGCTTTCAAAATAAAAATTGCACCTTTTTCCTTGGATGATAAAACACAACCCATTACTCTTTTCGGTTTGAAACACGGTGTTTTGGGTGATACTTTCGAACGAAATTAAGTTCATTTTCGTAAGTGTTTTTAATAGCCAAAAGTATGACTTACTACAAAATTATAGGCAGTGTTGACGTGAGGGGCTGATTTCATTTCGTGCATACTTACTGATGGTCTCCATGGATGCCTCATTTTCATTTTCGTGCATACTAGGAATCTCTCTATTTGTGGAGGGATCTAGGGGAAGTGATGATTTTCTTCCTCAAGAACCAGTACAACAATCCCTTTGCTCTTGCTACCAACTGACTCCAAGAGTTATGCTTATTATTCTCTTGAACATTCGATGATGCCAGCTGATTCTGGTGCCCCAAAGGGTGGGCATTGGCATCACCATCAGTGGTTTCATTTCCTATTATTTTCCTATGAATAATTCTAGTACAAGCAGGGATGACAAACCGGTTTCATGATGCCATATGTTGTCAATCTGGAGGGCTATCTTTGTTTACTATGGAAGGCCCCTGGGCTGGGAGCTAGACTAGAATCTATAGTCTTTCCGTTGACTTTCATTACTACTTCCAAGATCACCACAGCCATAACAGTAGCAGCAGAGAAAGCCGAGCAGTGATGGAAAAGGATCTAAGCAACGCTCTTCTAAGCCACGTTGAAGGCAATCGATCCCTAGTTGACAGGAAGCTTGAGTTGAAAGATGAGGAGGCCCATCATCCCACGCTTTGTTGGATTCTCTTCGATGTGATGGGAATGTTTCTGATGATCATCTCTCCCATCGACCCATTCTTTGGGGCATCTCAATCTCTTCTTCAACGTTTTAGCATCTCCCGGTTTCTGTGGAAGAATGCGGAAGCGGAGGCATATCCCTCTTTCGATCGATATCTGGACGAGCGCTCGCTCTTTTTAGGTCATCGCCATGACATGTCCTGCCTCATCTTCATCATGATGGAACCTCTTTGGATGAGGCTCATTGAAACAGAGTCAACGCGAAGGGCAGGCCCATTCTTCGTAGGATTTTCTTAAGCTAGTACGAAGAAAAAGTTAATGTACCTGTTGTGTCTGCTCTTGCGATATGTCTCGTTACCCTTTACACTAGAGGGAACCCCCTCTTCTCCCCTGCGAGACTATCTACACGAAGGCAGGAGAACCCCACCCAACACACAGCCACACCCACACACACACACACACAGAGAGTTGTCCCGAGTGAGAGAGAGAGAGAGAGAAGAAAAGGGTGTGCTCAGAGAGGTTCTTCTAGATCAGCGACCTCCGTGGCGAGTTCCGGGGGGAGTTCCTGGGGGAAAAAAGCCGGCGGGGGGATAAGAGGCCGACGTACCGCGGTGACGCCGTGCCGTCGATGGTGCGATAATCCGGCATGGAGAGGCCGTCCTCCCCGCGGAGACCCACGTCGCTGGCGATCATCGCCTGGGGGAAGGTCCCGCACTTCACCAGCCGCCCAAGCCATGACTTCTTCCGCGCTGGAGGAAACCTGCCGTTCATCCGTGCCGTCAGGTACTGGCGAACGGCGTCTAAGCTCTGCTCCACGACGTCCATCGGCGGAGAAACGAGCGGGTTTCCCTCGGCCTGCAGCTTTCGGAGCTTGCCAAGGCAGCTGAGGGAGTCGGGTAGGACGGCGATGGAGTTATAGCTGATGTCGAGCTCGATGAGGGAGGTGAGGAGGCCGATCGCCGGCGGGAGGGAGCGAAGGTACTGGAAATTCTGGCTGACGTTGAGGATTTCCAGTCGGGAGAGGTTCTCGAGGCCGTCGGGGATGGAGCGGAGGCAGTTAAGATGTGCGTCCAGGATTCGGAGGGAGGTCATGTGGGAGGTGGAGAGCGGCAAGGTGGCCAGCTTGTTGGAGTTCACGCATAGTTTTTGAAGGTTCGTAAGCTCGAAGCCCATCGTATCCGGTAGCGCCGTCAGCTTATTGAAGTTGGCCACCAGCTCCTCCAGAGCCCTGAAACCTCGATGATCAGACACTTCTCTTCCTTCGGATCACCCGTGGATTTCCGGTCGTTTGGGAAGATAGGTAGGAAGGGGACTCACCGGCAGTCCTCGATGGACTTGGGGAGGGACTCGAGCATGTTGCCGGAGACGTTGAGGACCCTGAGCTTGGACAGGCAGCCCATGGAGTTGGGGAGAGTCCTCAGCTGGTTCGAGTGAAGGTCCAGCACCACCACGTTCAGAAGTCGCGCCACCAGCGACTCCGGTATGCTCTGCGGCGAGCCAGCAACAGCAACTCAGCGGGAGGAACATGTGTAATAGGAAGGAAGAAGAAGAAGATTCCACCCGACCCAGAGAGAGGACGAGACAAAAGAAAAATGGAAACACTGGTCCAGCTACGAGACATCTAGGGCCAGATTTCCGATGAAGAAGAACGCGGAGGGATGAATAAACGTAGGATCATTCTTCCAAGATGGTGAACTCTCTGGGAGGGGGATGGAGGAGAGAGGATGATCCGAATGCCTGGCGTCATCAGTAATTGTAAAATACGGGACTTCAGGAATTGAAACAAAACCTGTTGCTAAGGACGAGATCTGGAACAGAAATACGGAGATTACTGTTCCTTATCTCTCTTTATCGATCGTGACTTAAGAATCTGAATTCTAGTATTTACTGTTCCATCATCTCTCTCTCTCCCTCCCTCTCTCCCTCCCTCCCTCTCTCCCTCCCTCTCTCTCTCTCTCTCTCTCTCTCTCTCTCTCTCTCTCTCTCTCTCTCACACACACACACACACACACCCCACACCTACCACCCCTCCCCCCCAAGAAGAGAAAAAAGAAAAAGAAGGAAAACTGATGATCGACCGCATTATGTCATTCTTACCTCGAGATTGTTGTTGGAGAGGTCCAGCTTCGTGACAACGGCCAGGTTGAGGGTGGGACTGGGCAGTGAATCCAAGGTCATTCCGCTCAGGTCCAAGTCCTTTCCCTCCTCCTTGTCCACCGCTGAAATTTTTGCTCCACCCCTTCTGGTTCCGATGGGGGACGGTCTCTTTCTCTCATCCATCCTCATCTTTTCTCCCACTTCTATCAGACACTAGAACACTGCGACAACAACGACAACCACATTACCGTCAATAAAAACGTCCCGAACGACCTGAGCTAAAGTCAGAGGGAAAGAAGCCTCAGGAGAAGCGTACCGAGATGGATATAACGGAGAACCCCTCGGTCAGTCCGCCGAGCAGCAGCGGCGGTCGCCCAGATGATCTCCGTGCCTTCCTCTTCTTCGAAACTGGAGAAGGAAGAAGGTGAGAGAAAGAGAAAGAGAGCAGGGGAATATCGATGAGACTTCAACGCCCAATGAACTCGTATATATGGAGATCGAGATCGAGATCCTCGCGCCCAGAGAGACGTACGTACGGACGTACCTTCCATCGCTGACGCGTTGCATCCGGACACCTAAGGCCAGAAAGTCTACTCTTGTGATGAAATGGGCACACCGGAACCTCGTCGGACTTTGTTCTATCGAATTGGCGGTGATGCTTCCTCCAAGGGGAAGCCTCCCGACCGTCGATCAGATCGGATGGAGAAGCTTGGTCCTTAAGCTATTCGCTGAATACGGGCTGTGATTCGGAATTCGAAATATGACATTTTTACCGTCAACGACTTCCCGACTTTTCTGCCTATCAAGTGCATATGAAAGATGCCGAAACTTGCGACTCAACCCCCCCCCTCAACGACATGTTTTAGGCTTTGTCCTTCAATTACGGCGGAGGGGTTTGACTTTTTGAATTTCCGAACACCACCTTCGTTTTTCTCCGGCCACTTGGACTTCAGCCTCACATGGGGCACTGTTCAGAAGCTGGCTGATCGATTCTTTTAGAGGGCTCAGCTACTCATCTGACGATGCATCGCGTCAACGACGGTAGCTGCGAAGCTGGGATCGGGTAGACCGGAGGAGCGGCCTCCATCTCCCGCCAGGCACCGTTGACGTCCCCGGGACAACAAGGACGGGCGACCCACTGCACCAGCTGTGACGGGCTGCATCGACGAGCCTATAGACTACCTCAGGATCCATGATTTTTTAATGTTTAGCCATGTGGAGCCCAAGACGATTTAATGTTTCTACAGCCGATTCTGGTCACCTCTCTACCATTTGTTCTATCTTCTTCTCACGAGACGCCGAGTGTGAAAGGCGACCGATCCATCGATTATAATCATGTAACCATCGTTGATATCAGCAAATCCACGATAAAACCTTCAAATCAGCACCTGGGCAGCATATGATGACATGCTAATCTCTTATTCCCCGGAAGAATTTCGCACGAGCAGAAGATCTTTCAACGAAAAAAGAAAAACCCCAAGTTGGGGTCCAGGACAAGCGAAAGGCGACGAAAGCTCCAGTCCCCGCCGCCCTCCCCACATGGCGCTCAATGGCTTCTCTGATGGGCCTGGCATCCAGTGCCGGCCCTTGACATGCATGTACACCTTGTCTCTGTGAGGAGGGACGGACAAAGACCCGTCGAAAGGAGATATTGAGATGAGATCGCTTTTAAGTGTTCCCATAGGAGATGTGACCAAGTTCAGCATATCCACTCGTCCTTATGTAGCAGGACATGGTCAGGGAGATGCTCATCTTAGTCGAAAGAACGGTGACTTCTTCGAAGAACAACGAGTTCTAATTTGACCTCTGTTTCATCAAGATTACCATTTCTGCGTTACCCGTCACCGTTCCTAACCTTTCAAGGTTTACTTGATTACCCTGACTTCACAACGAACGATCTCGAGTTATGGATGCGCAAATCATATTTCATTATGAAACTATGGGGTATTGCCTGCTCATAGATCTTATGTTAAAACAATGAGCATAAAATATTTCTTGCCGTGAGGTCATGCAGATTAACATATTCCTTCTTTGTTCTATGCACGTGGTGGGAACATCATGGTTAAATGATCCACGCTTCTGTCTTCATTTATCGAAATCTGCGTCGAAAGGAGGCTTGTCGCATGCGTGAAAGCATCCAATACATTAGCTGGAGGACTGGATGTACCTGCGTTTAGAAATAGCAGCTTGCTCTTCTGAGTCCTCTCTCTGATTGGGGGGGTGAAGGCAAATTGCCTTCATCCTCGCGCAGGAGCACTACCTCGTCAGTAAGGAGACTCTGGAGTGTGATAATGACAGGAAAACGGTAATAATGGTGATAAGGGATTACAATCCGTTGGTGGCTTCAATAGTGAGCCTGGGCAGCTAAATATGTGATGATCACACGCAGCATCATCGACAACGCACGTTTCTGAGAAAGTAAACCTTCGTGGATGCCGGGGGTAGTCGGATCGGTGGAATGTCGCCGTAGGATAACGCCGGCAACCGGTGACCTCTAATCTCAACGAACCTGCCTCAAGGACGGTCACAAAAAACAGAACTGAATGATTTCGTTCTTCCTTTCTCCACAGTTTCAACCTTGGTTCTTTCTTCAGCGATTAGCTTCCCATCTGCGTCTCGTCTTAGTCTCATCATCACCCCTTGACTTCGCGACCTGGAAAACAATGAAGGACGGGATATCTCTCTCTCTCTCTCTCCCTCTCTCTCTCTCTCTCTCTTCACGTCGTCATCCGAAATGACGTGTCTTCTCGGGATGCCCATTAACAACACATAAAGACGATAGGTTGGATTGAGGAAATCGAGCATCTTAATTGTGGATGGTTATTCTATATACTTTGAGGACATTCTGGAGCGAGACGGAGGGATTCTACCGCAGGATAAGGACCTTAAGAAACGGAAAACCGCTAGATGATTTCACTGTGTTCACACGCGCCTGGATTGCAGCCCAATTCATATCACCAAAACCCTCGGTCCTCCTGACCAAGAGATGACGAAACGGGAGAAGTGAGATGTGGCCTGAGTCATCTGGGTCACCAAGATGACGAGATCAGACGGTGAGACACCCGAAACCGCTCTGGGAAAACATCTCTTCGATTTCCTTTCATTACTCTTTCTAACTAATGTGAACAAACGTTGAATGACACGAGAGTTGACCATGAATACAGCTTAAGAATATAATAACTCCGCTTCTTTTTTTTAATTGAGATATTAGATTAGTGGTATTCCTCTTCACTATTTGGGTCGAGGGCCTGAATTATGTGGACAAAAATGGATTTGATAGACAATAACTATATTTTCCTCGGGGCAGTCTTCTCTCCACCTCATTTTTTATTTTTATTTTTGTACTGTAAATGCACAGTCTATCTACCATGGGGCTTTCCAACTTCGAGATTTATTTATTTTTTTTCTACTTTAATTTCTTTAAATGAGGCTCACTCCAATCGAGAAGCATACTTTGATCCTCGTTGATCGTAATTTATAGAAGAGTCACATTCCTTGGAGAAAACTCATACTCGTGGCCTAGTTGTTCTTCATCTTTTGCCAGACGCATGCGGGGTCAAATGGGCATATAAGACTAAGCCGGAAATCTTGACGAGGAAAAACATACCCTAAATGATAACTAGAGGAGAATGACGCTTATTATGAGAAGCCCTTTGAGCCGGTAGGGACTATGTCAACTGCAGTAGCTGTGGCAAGATGGGAACTGAAAGGATATGCTGATCAGTAGTATGACATTGATTACGAGATCTCATGTCCCAGCCCTTGGTGACTGATAACATGTGTCCATGAAAATTATTCTAGATGGATGCTAAAGTTGTATTTCTTAGTAGTGATGCTGATATAGTTTTTATATTCAACCTGCTCCTATTTATCCTCATACTTCCCATCAAACTCGAAATTTTCTTGAGACATTATATGACCTAAACAAGGCTCCACATCCTTGATTTAAGAAAAAAATAAAAACACTGTCAGAACCATCCGTTTCAACTGGAGACCACATTGTTTCATACTCTTTATGGCTACTCATCTCACCCACATTGCTAGTGTTCTCCTTATAGAGCACTAATAATTCCATTGCCTTCATTTTTCTGCGATTCCACTCAATTACATGATCGTCGCATTTTATATTGATTAAGTTTTCCCGACAAAACACTGATTTATTGGCATGGTAATAAAAAGCATTATTTCATGCTACAGGGAGTACAGTTTGGGACTTATTTGGCTTCATTAACTTCTGCAAGATTTGAAGGTCAATAGCTATGAACCAAAGTGGCATTCAAATTGTACAGAACGAGGTGGTGTATGGAAAAAGGTAAACACGCCAATATTGTCGGGTTAAGATATCCCTCGCAGGGTTCTTAAGCTGGTACTTGTTGCATGAAGTGCTCGAATTCCCAGTATAATCCTAGTAACGCGTGGATGGATGTGCCATCTTAGTGGAGAACAGTGCAGAGAACTGGAACATAATATGAGAGGAAAATCACATTGTATAATACTCCGCTAGAGAGCAACTCTTGCACACACTTGTGTGCAGGAAGCCTGACCATTACAGAACCTGAATATCACACGACAGCTGATGCAACGCAGGGGCTTCTGAAATATATGACTATAGAGACTTTCTAAATTGTACATAATAATCCGGTCTGTGGAAGAACATAATCACGTCAGATTGAACATGTTAGCATATTATTCGAGAGGTTCTTAGATCAGCAATTGTCATGTTAAGTGATCACATTGCTGATACAAGCCCTCTTAAATGTAGCATGTTAATGAGATAAGTGTGTAGATCGTAGCTTACTTCAATCACATGGAGTACTGTTGCACTCAAGAATGGCTCACGGGCACCTCCGATTTCGGGAAAGCTGGTCGTAAGAGAAGCTGGATATCGTGCACATGCTTGATCATCGTATTGCATGATATATTTTTTATTTGTCATTTGTCATGTAAAGTTCTAAAATGGTCGATATGAAACTCTAAGCATGTGGATGAAGCGGCGGGCGTATCACGTTAACAACATAGGCTGCGGAGAAGTGGAACAAGCTAATATTACGGTCATCTGGCACTCCGTCACGGCTTGCGTACGCCTCCGTGTACGGCAGAGCCGACGGTGGCGTGCAGTCATTTTGGGGTTGACTTTTCGTACAATGTGAGGACGAGAGACACACTTGTCGGGTCCTGCGAGCCTTGTGATTATCCTCTTTGTTTAAGCCCGGTAGATGATCAGCCGTCCGGGGGTTTATTTCGCTTATCTTCATCGTGGACTTTGTCAGCTGATGTGCCCGTGTACGGTCCATGTGTCTCTTCTTTCGGCGATTCCCCTGCAAGTTGCACTCATTGAAGTGGTTGTCACGGTTCCATCACCTACCGGCCCCCTTCATTCTCTGTCTCTCTCTGTCTCTCTCTCTCTCTCTCTCTCTAACTCTGTTTCTCTCTTCTTGTAGCTTTGGGTCAACGGTCTGAGAAGCCGGCAATCCACAGAGCTGTTCCGACCGTCGATTCCAAACGAAAACGAAACGCTCGCATTCCAGATGGCGTCGATCCATGCCCGCCGAACGTCAGAAGACGAGAGAGAGAGGGTACGCTTTGGCGTAGTTTTCTCGTTGCCGTCGTCCTCAGCGTGTCTGACCCGCCGTTCGTCTCTGCCTTGCGCTTCGGTCCGGTCGTCCTCGTCGGTGATATCATCCCCTGCCGATCTTTGCGATCCACAATCTTCCACTATTTTATCCTCGTTCTCTCGAAGGCTCCAGAGAGAGAGAGAGAGAGAGAGAGATGAGTACGTCAGAAGAAAGAGATAGCGTCGGGTTGAGAAATCCCCCGGTACGGCCGGTGTACTGCTGAAACTCCCTGAAAGGGCGCCAAGGAGGAAGAAGCTTCTTCCTGGTTTCCTTCCACATCGAAGTCGTCTCACTGAGCCTCCGACCGGCTGGCCCCATCCTCTCTCTCTCTCTCTCTCTCTCTCTCTCTCTCTCTCTCTCGCTAAAGGAGGTAGCCCAGGGTTTCAACGGGTGATTTAGACGGTGTTTGGTGGGCCGAAGGAAAGCCCACCAAATGAAGTTGACATGTCGATCAAGGCCCACGATTCGCGTCACATCGTATTGGACCTGGGGCGTGTCCATAAATCGGCCTATATGACGCAAGATCATGACAAAATGGCCCACTCCAAGCAACCTTCTGGGCTACTCTCGCAGAGCCCAGACACAGTTAGGATCCACAACAAATGGGCCCATTTGAGACGCCAAAAACCCATCTTGAAAGCGGCAAAAGCGGCACTCGGTATGCACTACACTGTGATGGGCTCGGGACAATCCATTAGCCCATTCATCAGAAGAATCGGGCCCAAATTTGACCAAAGCTAGCCCATCAAAATTGCCTAACCAAAAATATGCCCCTTTAGCCCCTTAATGATATTTTACCATAAATAACGTATTTATTTAATAATTAGATGTAAAAATAATATATATTTTTAATATAAATATATTTTACTAAATATAATTAGAAGCCCTGCTTCACAGAAATATATAATTTAAGAATGAATTAATATTTACATATAAAAATAAAATAAAATAAAATAATAAAAATGTACTATAAAAAAAATAAATTATTTTAAAGTACATATAAAGTTGTATAATTTAATCGTAAAATTACCATGATGAAAATTGTTTTAAATTATTTAATATATATAACTGAATATTAAATTACATATAATATGTATATATTAGTAATAAAATATTTTAAAAAGCACTGCCTCACGAAAAGGGGAGTAGTTGGGGGTCGTAGCGAAGAAGCCGGGTTAGGAACGGTTTCAGGGTGGGCGGAGTTTGACCCGGCGGAGACCGGGGAGGAGTGACGGCGTGAACTGAGGGGGTGAGAGTATCAGCGAGAGAGTTAAAATCCCGCCGCTCCACCGACGCTCCGACAGGGCTGTTGGGGTGGCGGGGTATATACCTGCTGCCTGAGCTGTCGGCGCGCGCCGCTGCGAGCTGTCCCTCTCTCCTTCTCCAGCTGCTCCGGTCGTTGTCGTCATCCAGCCGCGGCATTCCTTACCGCCGGGATCTCTGGGGATGTGGCGCGAGAGCGTGTGCTACGCGTGAACTGCCCTCCTCTGTCTGGATCTGCCTCCCCCACTGCTATCTGCGGCGGCGCTGGCCTGGCTGGCGGCACAGAAATGGCCTCCCTCGCGGGCATCTGACGCCGCCACCGGCTGCGATTCATTGATCTCCTTATTGTAGGGCGGCGGCGTAGGGGTTGGCGATGGCGGTGGATCCGAGACAGGTGCTGGGTGCCTTCCTCACCCTCTCCATGTTTGCCATGCTTAGTAACATGGTCAAGCGAGATTACTTCGACTCTTCCGAGGTAATGACAACACCCTTCTTCTTCTTCCTTTCTCTTGCTCGCAGGGTTTTGATCTCTTTCAGCATTTGGCTGGGTCTGATTTCATGTCAAACCGACGGTGCTGCTGTGCATGTGGCTGCTTCACCCGATAGGTGTCGCCAGGGATCTTGTCTTCTCTCACATCAGGGGAGAGTCCTCGAAATCGAGCCTAACCCTGTTCACCTCCATTACACCCACTGGATTTTATGTCGTTCGAGCGACTGGTTCGTCCTTCAGCAAGGTTTATCTAGCATTGGCAATGGACTCCGAATGGAAGTAGCCTCCCTCCGAAGACAGACCAAAACCCGTCCCCTCAATCCCTTCTACTCGAGACCTTCAGTACGATTCTTCATGTCGATCAGTCTTAGGCGGACTGCGTTCGATCCATTTCCGGACGCCGTCCTCAGTTTTTCCGTTAAAAGAAGGAATGCTGAGCCAGGTACAGAATGAACAATTGAGATCATCTTGGTGAGAGTTGCTATCCGTTTCCTTTAAGATTTTCAGTTCGAAAATCCCAAGATCCACGGCGCTTCTCTGAAGAAATGCAGTCGATGATATGCTACGGGCCGGATTTCACTGCGAATCAGCTCGATCTTTTCATTTCCTTTTTTTTTCTTGACCAACCAAAAAATGCTGCGCGTCTTGCATCCTCCCAGCTGGTTACAAAATCTGCTGGTATAAGATCTTCGGCATGTGATCGATCGTCGTCCACAGGTGGGCTTCCAAGGTGTCTCGAGTGTTCAGTTTGGGGTGATCAGGGTCGAAGATAAAGGTGTCGACGACCTTCCGTCTGCCAGCAAGGGGCCTTGGAGGGAGCGAGACCCGGAGCTGAAACCTTGCTGGACGAAGCCGTCCCCATGTAAGTTTCCTCTACCATATGAAGAAACTCAGAGTGATTAAGCTCTCGGGTAATTGAATCCCTTTTTTTCTTCCTCGACTCGGTCTGCATGCGAATTCAGTGCCAGCAAAGTCAAAGGGCTACATCACATTTTCGTTGACAAATGGTCCTGGGCATCACGAGCTACAGGCATGCGGCTTCTTCCGATCATTTTTATTCCCTATAATTATCACCAGCACAGATTATTATCTCGTGATTATATCTGGCGTTTCAGATGGCGGATGCGGTGGTCGTTGCAAGGTTCTTAGGGGCGGCGCTGGTTCTTCCAGAGATCAGGGGGAGGGAACTCGGGCAGCAGAGGTGATTCGCCCCTTTGGATTATAATCGCTTCGTCATGCGCACAATTCATCTTCTTCAGCGAGTCAAGATGGTCGCATCTTATTTGCAGGGCCTTTGGAGATGTTTACGATGTTGGGAAGCTGAGGAGCAGCCTGGATGGCGTTGTCGAGGTGATTGAGGAGCTCCCGGGTGAAGTAGCTGTAGAGCATCCAGCCGTCGTGAGGATCCCTGATGGAGTTACAGAGGGATATATTTCGAGCAATGTGGAACCCATTTTCCGGAAGAAAGGCCACCTGAGGCTTGCAGTCTTCTTCCCTCCGGGGAAGAAGAATCTGAGGGCGGGCTCAAGACCCAGAGAGGAGCTCGATTCTCTCAGATGCTTGGCTAGATTTGGAGCGCTTGAGCTGAGCCCGGAGATGCAGGAGGTGGCCGTCTCTATGGTTGACCGGCTCAGAGCCCCCGGCCAGAAGACGGATGGCCATTTTGTCGCCGTTGACCTGAGATTGGAGGTCTTGGACGGCAAGAGCTGCAAGGAGGAAGCCGTCCGGGGAAGGAGAAGCTGTTACAGTCCACAAGAGGTGGGGGAGTTCTTGACGAGGGCCGGCTTTGATGCGGGCACCACCGTCTATCTGACCCAGACCTGGTGGCACGAAAGTCTCGATGCTCTGAAGGGAATGTTCCCAAGAACGTTGACCAAGGTGGGAAATTTCTCTCTCTAAGACTGAAACCATGATTCTTCTGAGAAACCCACCGATGAGATATAGATACCCAGTTTGGGGGCTAACGAATCTCTGGTTTCCGAATTTGCAGGACGATATAATCCCCCCGGAGAAGAAGCGTCAGATCCTCAGCTCGGGGGGGGATGACCTGGGGAAGGTTCTCGATCTCTACATTTGCTCGCAGAGCGACGTCTTCTTGCCTGCCGTACCAGACCTCCCCTTCCACGGCAGCGTCGTCGGAAGAAGGATCGCCGCCGGCAGGACGCAGATACTCTCGCCGTCTTCTTCCCCGCCGGAGTTCATATCCGCCGCCGTCTCCGGCGGAGGCCACGAGGCGCTTTCCTGCTACTGCTGAGGCGGACGACCCCCACCCACCAGGGATCCAAAAGCCAGCTTGCTTATTCTAGGTTTTGATCGTCCCCGCAGGTGGCAACGTTCCGCAGTTCCGTCCTGGTCTCTCTCTATCAACAGGGAATTGACCGTAGCTGACTTTGTAAGAGGATTTTCAGAGTGATCACATGGCATGAGAGTAGAACGGGGGCGGGAAGGTACACGAAGAGGGCGTTGACCTCTCAAAATCCAGAGGACGATCAGAGACCGGGTGGGTTCGGCAGATACAAGGGGATCGTTGACCTCTCGAGATCTAGTAGGCGATCAGAAGCCAAGTGGGGCCGACCTGCCACATTTACAGTAGTTGGGAAAGAGATGGCAAGGCCCGCCGCGGGTGAGTTACTGCCCTCCGTTGCCTGGAGCAATATCCAAACAGTGATTAGGTTTCCTAGGAGATCGTGCGATAAATTACCAATTATGGAATCAATTTAGCCGCACCTTGATCTCCCTTCCGCCGGGATTTTTTCCGAAAATAGTCTCCAAATGGGTGCTCAGGCACGGGCAGGAGCTTCCCCAGAACGGCTAGCGGCCAGCTGCTCAGATTTTTCGCAAGGAGGAGGATTATAAGACGGATGAAGACAATAAAACGACCAGATAGCGTTGACCACTGAGATCTGGCGCTGACAAACAAACCTCACAAAGGCGATGGCCACGGAGGCGAGCCACAGCTTCCAGCTCAGTCTCACAGTTGATGCAAACTTCCCAAGGAACTCGATGATCATAATCTGCAGACATAAGATGACGACCGCAAGATCAGATCCCATGCCCGGTGGTCAAACAAATAGCACGGGGGAGCTGCCAGCAGCTGGTCGGTCAGTCAACCTGCATGATAACAGTTATCCCGACGATCATTATAAAAAGACGGTTGCTTGTAACACCGACGAACACGTTGACTTCATCCGGCTTCCGTGAGTTGAACTCATTGAATATCTGAGAAAATGTACAACATCAACGCTTCAGGATATATATTACATATAAAAAAATATATAAATTTATAGCGAACGGAGAGAGAGAGAGAGAGTAAACAGTGAAAAAGAATACCTGGCAGAGGACAAAAGTATTGAATATAAATGTGTTCTTCAGGTTATTAGCATACTCGTGAGTTTCACTCTCGAGATGCAGAATGCTCTTTCCGGAAAAGTTGAGCACGAGGAGGACGGTCACTTGATACAGAGCCTATGAATTGTGAAAAACGATTGAAAAAAAAAGAAAAAAAAAACGAAGAAGACGACGGTCACCTCTGAGAAAGAGAGATCAGATGAAGAAAATACATTGTAAAATAAAGAACACAAACCTGAACGACCAGATTTCTCCACATTATCTTCGTCACTAGCGGTTCCCTGGTAGCAAAAATTACCAGTGAGCAGAAACAGGGAAGAACTAGTCCACAAGAGAGACCCCCCTTTATCAAAGCTGAGATGGAGAACACTCCCCCCATACCCAAAAATAGAAAGAAAAGAAAAAGTCCAACATCCTTGGCAGGATAATGCGAACAGCTCGTTAAGGTCAACTGACCTCCGGCCAACAGGTGGCCTGTCCATGAGGTGATCTGTTGGCGGTTCAGTGGCTAACGCAAGAGCCCCAAGAGTGTCCATGATAAGGTTGACCCACAGAAGCTGTTTCAGCAATTCAAGAAGAGAGCAATTGAGACGACTAAATGAAGGAATGGAGGAAAAACTAAAGATACAGCCTTGATTATGGCGAAGGGCCCAACTCCAGACGTTGCTGATTGGGTCTGGGCTGGATGGTCCGATGATTCTAACTGCACCCTTTTGCATGCATGAGACCAGAGAGAGAGAGAGAGATGCAGTGAAATAACCAACCTGGACGGCATTAAGAGGAACATCGCCCGATGAGACTGCAGCGACGACATTAATCACAAGAGCGGCAACGTTGACGGTGAGTTGGAACTGGATGAACTTCTGAATATTTGCATAAACAGAGCGGCCCCAGCGAACAACCTGCAGTGATTTTTTGTAAAAAAAAAAAAGGGAATCCTCAGCATCACTGAGAGTTAAAGGGACCCACTGAAGTGATACCACATCCATTCACAGCAGCGAGGCCAACCTTCACGACAGAAGCAAAATTGTCATCTAAAATGATGATGTCTGAGCTTTCCTTTGCAACCTCCGTTCCTTGAATGCCCATCGCAAGGCCTACATCGGCCTATATAGCACAGGAAATATACAGCAGGAGAATGAAGAAATTAACAGGGCTCTCAAGTCATGAAGACGGTTCCGACCTCCAGCCGGGAAGAGAAGAAGAGCAGCGCAGAAGGCCAGACCTCATGCAATGCAGGGGCATCATTTGTACCATCTCCTGTGACGGCAACGACCTCTCCTCTTTTTCTTAGAGCTTGCACGAGTAAGAGCTTGTCGTTGGGGGAAGACCTCCCCATCACCTGCAGATGTAGATTCCCCATTAATCAAACGACCAAAGAACCTGCATTCATACCCACAGAGAACAGGAATTTGTATCCCATTTACAGTGATTCCAGTCTCGATGTGAACCCACAACATGATCAAACATGATTTCATAAAAATCACTTTTTTTTTTCAATGCTGCTGGAAGCGTACCGATATTTCACCGGCAATTTTTTCTCTTTGTTTCTCAGAATAAGCGCGGAAAGTTCTCCCCTCGATAACCGTTGGCTCAGTGGCGGCCTCTGAATCTAGTATACCACACTCCAAGGCTACGGCTTTGGCAGTTTGAATGTTATCTCCAGTGACCATGCGCACCTATCAAGTGAGATATATACATGAGACTAATGTATAACTTTGAATAATAAATTGCGGTTTAGAACAACCACAAGCAATGCATGCAGAAAAATCAGGATTAACATCGAAAACAAAAAGATTAGGCATTATAAGGTCAGAGATAAGAACAAAAATAATGACCCACCCTCCATTAAATACTTAAATTTCATCTAGATACATAATAATATGATCAAATAAATTCAGGTGTTTTCTGAACAACAGAAGAACGGCACCACTGAACACCACCTTGACACCTGCATGGATGCATCTCCGTACAGCATCTCTGACCCCAGGCCGGCAAGGATCCTACAAGGCAGGAATCAAGGTCCTAAGAACTCCATGTTGTTGAAAATATGACTGTAAGCAGGATTAGCACTATAAATTAGCATATTTGATAAAAATAAGTTCGTCAATGGTTACTTTTCTACACATGGAACGAATATGCAGAAATTCCAGGGACTAGTTATACCATGAGTGATTAATCACTGTTAACCATAGCCTCCTTTATATTTGAAATCCCGGAATCATTTTGATCAGTGATAAATGGCGAATGCAATATGATCACGATTTACATTTAAGTTCTGACTCATGTGGAAAGAACATGAAAGCTTATGTTATTCAAAAATGAAGCATCCAAAATACTTGATCCTTATTCCACTCTTTCTGAGGATTATTGACTATAATTTTCATCCCTTTCTAATGGCAAGCAGCAACATATCCAAATCTGAGTCAATCAGCAGGGAAATTACAACTGAATACCTTTAATCCCACAATACCAGTCAGAATGAGGTCATCCTCGGGCAGTATCCATGTTTCTCTCTCTTCCTCACTTGGAATATCCTTGTAGTCATATGGCCTAAAAGCAAAGGCCACACACCGCAAGCTTTTTGCCGCCATATCTTCAATATATTTCCTGAATTGATTCAGCTGCAGACAGAAAACATAGAATTTCAGAATATTTCCTGACTTTGGTAGGATCAAACTAACGTTGAGCAGGTTTCTTAAGTAATGGAGTTGATTAAATATTATAAGATGGTGAAGAGGGTATCAACCAAATCATCGTCCATGGGCATCACTTCTCCACTCTGGTCAAGCCACTTCGTACATGAGGATAGAACTATTTCAGCGGCTCCTTTCCAGTGTACATGAACTTCATGGTTACCCTGAATCAGAATGCGCAAAAGAAAGGAAATGAAAATTCAAACGAACATGGAGACAATTAGAGGTAAAAACTACAGGAGGTACAGCTTATTCAAACGTAAGCTGGATTTAAATTGATCAAATCAAATCAAAATTTTGAAAGCAGTCTACTGGCTGGTCTCAAACATGGGGTTAAGTTTTTCTGCAACTAGAAGACAACATCTCGCATCTACAATGTACGGTAGTTGTGTTAAAAAATTATTGATGCTGACATAATTGGCATCTGTGGATCAGAGAAAATGTTGGCACATCTAATCATAGTAAGTGATTTTTGTGAATAAGACTTCAAACGTATATTTCGACAAGTACACTAATAATGCAGGTTCCTGTAGTCTGCCGATATGAAAATAACAAATTTCAGCACCAATATAATTTGCATCCTCATACACAATGGTGCAGGACAGAAACGTAAAGCTGGTTAACGCATAATAAAATTTATCATTGGGTCATTCACTCTGAAATCAAAAGTTAGAAAATTATATTGCATGTTTCAACGGCAAGATTCTTTAGCTGTATAGTTGACTTGGGGTCAAGTCCGACCAGCAAGACCGCTCCAAACATACGCCCAGGAATTGAACATGGCACATCTAAGGCGATAAAGAAAATGAAACGGAAGACCAGTTAACTCTAATAGCAAAAGAAGAGAAAGCAACAGGTTAACAACCACAAGAGATGAATAGCTAACTTACCAGAAGCAAAGCTAAGCCACCACGCTTTTTTTCTGAGTTGAAAGGGAATACTTGAAGAATTGTGGAATTTCTTCTAACTTCTTCAAATTTCATCCCCATCTACAATAATCAGCACAAGTTGGGAAAGTTGGAAGCTATAGGTAACAACCAAAAATCACCGCAAACGCATGCACGCACCTCCACTCCCCATGCAAGGATGGCCTTTTCTGTAGGCGAGCCAGTAACCTCGATGTCACCCTTCTGTTCAATTTGTAACCTTCAAACAGTTATGCTCAAGCAGAAACATTCCATTTTCATGGCCAATGTATTATTTTGAATTAAAAAATGAATTATTCATGAATGAAGTAAGACAGCAGCCGTATTCAAGTAAAGAATATTATCAAATTAAAAGCCTTCATGTCAACCATCCCCACCATCAAATGAATTCAGCCAACAGATACTAATCACCCCAGAAAATATAACTTCCAATATCTTCCTACATAACATCTGATATCAGTCTAGAATCATCTTTTGATAGAGAATATTAAACTATTCCGCATAAAATATGAAATATACAGCATACAATCGATTTTCTTTGTTAGAGTAAGCCACCTTCTTTACTTTCGTATTGATGGGGGCATATTTATTTTCCATATCCTCTATTTGCTTTTATCTCACAAACAGCATTAACTATGACTTTTCTGTGACAGGGCTGCACAAACCCAATAAAGTGTGACATGGCACCCTTATGGCCTGTTATCATTCCCTCCATTCTTTCCCTTCGAACAACCAAAAAAATGCTCCCCAAAGATAAAACGAGGATGGAAGGCCCATATAGATCAGGAAAATGAAGATAAATCTCCGTGAAATGCAAGGGGGTTGGAGATGAGTGGAGGGATGGAAAAATACATAACAATAGTGACATTATCTGCCAAACAGCAAAAAAAACAATCAAAATTAGCAAGAAATAAATATTTCACCACCACAATCAGAATTCAACTAACAGAAAGCTTTCTTACACAACATGGAAAACATCTGGAGGATCCAGATATGAAACAATGAAGGAAATAGAAACTAATTAATTGACAAATGACGCAGGTAAAAAGCGTAGATTAATCATGAAACGTTAACATTTAAAACAAGAAACGAATCATTAAGCACAATTGCATACGCACATTTCTAACACAATGTCTAGGCCACAATCATCCATGAAATCACAGTAAGAGTTTCATCTTTCACTATCCCTGATGCAAGTAACATTTGACGGCAGGCAAATGAAAGACCAGGATGTTATGTGGAAGTTTCACATAACTTTCAAACAGAGTTCAAATCGAGCTAAACTTCTCGACCTTGATGCCTGGTGCAGGAAATTTACAGCTGTAGCCAAACAGTTTAAATACCTCAGGTGTGAAGACACTGCCTGTTGTATTCTGTGCAATGCCCTCAATTAGCACAGATGACACATTAGAGGCGAGTCGTTTGATATCATTTGGGGGATCCAATTTTCCAGCCCCAACGTAAGCCTCAACAACTGTCATCTGAAAAAAAAGGTACAAATTACTACTATGAATAAACAACGGGACTCGTCAAACTGTTGTAGCTAACAAAGTTTTCTACGGTGAATTTTGTAGTGAAAGAATACAAGAGACAAGATCATGTTGTTTAAAAATTAATGGACTAAAAAACCATAATAAAAAAATAAATAAATAGTGAACCTGGTTTAATGTCAGAGTTCCCGTTTTATCACTGCAGATTGTTGTAGCAGATCCCATAGTTTCACACGCAGAAAGCCTCCTTACCTGGAATTAGCAGTCGAAAGATATTAGATAACAGAAAAAATAAATCACTTAAATTAAAAAAGACCAAGCACATGCCAGGGCTTTGTCTGCCATCATTTTGCGCATAGAGTATGCAAGCCTGCATTGACAAAGACCAGATACTTAGCAGTCAAGATCCAAGCAAACAACGCAGATCTAGCAATAAAAATATCACAAAAAACTCACGTCAGAGTAACAGCCAAGGGAAGACCTTCAGGAACAGCGACTACCACAATGGTGACCTAACAATACGATTCGCAACTGCTTTAGCTCCAAAGATATCACTTTCTAGTTATTACTGAAAGAAACACTTCGAAGATGACATACAGCAACGGTCAAAATTCTGATAACTCCATTTACTGCAGATTTTGCGCTCGTCTTTCCAGCAATGAACTGTGTGCTCCCATCAGGATTCTTAGTATGTCCAGTAAAAAATCTGGAAAAAAATCCAGTTTGAAAACTTTGGCAACCAATCCAGTTAAAAACTAGTAGTAGTGCACTAAGGCATACCTGACAATAAGCACAACAAGCACTGCACAAGCGACCGAAAGGCCAACAGTACCAATAAAGGTGGCAACACCATTCAGTCGTACCTTTTTTTTTTTAAGAGCAAAGGATTTATGTAAAGTCAACATGGTAAAAGAATTTCATAAAAAGACAGCAACCATGAGAACTCTAACAAAATATGATGTATTTATTAGAAGCAAACCTGAAGAGGAGTTTCTTCTCCTGAGTCTTCTGATATACTAGCCATCAATAAACCCCATTCAGTATTGATTCCAACGGCCGTAACCTGCAATAAGTATTATCAGCAGCTTACGACTATAAATAAAAAAGCCTGAGAAAGACAAAAGTAAATGAAACAGTATCTACTAAATGGTAAATTCTCCATCAAAATCTGTTAACGTTGTCCATCATGGAATGTACTAAAGTTTGTCTAATTCCACAGATGCCACCAGGGATGGCCATTTAAAATTGCATCAGTCCAAATAGTCCACCATCACACGGGAATGCCCGCTAATAATTCTCAAAATACCCAAGTTCATACAAAAATTACAATCAATGTTCTTGCTTTGATCCTTGTACGGCAACTATCAGGTTTTGTGGAAAGTTTAAACTATTTATTTATAATATATGCTGACTGTGCACCCTGAATTTTAAAGCTAGGAATTCGAAATATGTGTGAGCAACGATGTTAAAGAAAACTAAGATCACTATATATGCCGTCATCAAAACAAGATAAAATAAAATAATATCAACATAATCAATCCTTCCAATCGAATTTCAAATCCCTGATAAGTGTGAAGATTACAGTTGCAAGTTTCAAAAGTGAAGGGACAGAAATTAGAATTAGCTAAACAGCAAGCTCACTCTTCTTCATTCTCCTTCATCAACACTATAATTATTTTCTATAACCTCTCTCTCTTCTTCTGTTGTTTAGAATTAGCTCCTTTCTCCACGGTCTCCTTGTTTATGCACTTCGTTGTCATCAAATTATCCCCCTCTATTTCTCTTTCTTTCTCTTCTTCCCCTACTGACATAAAGAAGCCCACATGGCCTTCTAAACTAGTCTGGCCGCTCCAACTCAGGCAGCCAGTTTGACTGAGATCAACCAGCAATCCTACTAGGTTTTCCTCCAGGAAACAATACCAAGAAGAAGACAAACTATGCAATCTATGAAAGGAAAATACTATGCACCAATTAGAAAAGTATGCTTTCTTGAAATTAGTATGCCTAGCCCAATGCATCAAAAACTGTTTTCCACTTAAACTTTAAAGGGACCAAAAAAAACACCCCCGTCAAACCCAGTTACCAGATTCTTAGAATATGTTCTGTGTGCGATGACAGGCATATCATCCGACAACTCAAAGATAGTATCAATCAAGTTCATTAAGTGTCATATTTATTAAAAAAGACTATGCTACATCGCTCATGGCCCCATTTATCTTTTCAGACTTCTTACATTTATCATGTTAATAACCTTACCAGCATGGTGCCATATCCATCACCAACTTTGCACCCAGATAACAGGAATGGTGCCTTCTGATCTTTATGGACCTGCAAGAAGCAAACACTTAATATTGCTGCTTTGTTTGACTCCAAAATTTGCAAAGAGAAATTACTTACAATCTTGCTCTCTCCAGTCATACTAGATTCATCGATTGAAAGAGAGTGACCAGAGATCAAGACCCCATCAGCAGGGACCTAAATGAGGAAATTTGGAAAGATATGAACAAAAAAAGTGTAAAACTGAAGACATGTTCTGAGCGACAAAGAATTCAGGTACTCTGCAAACCTGATCACCAATTTTGAGAGGAACAACATCACCAACAACAAGATCAAATATTGAAACTTCAATTCTTCTTCCACCTCTAGTTACCTGCGCATAACGTGAATCAATCTTAATAATAAGGGAAGGTGGAAAAGGTTAATAACAAGTAATTAAATTTCATTTACCTCCAACCGAATGTTGCGCTTCTCCTCATGCAGATTTTGAAACTGAAGGGACTGTTTGTAATCACTGAAAGCTGAAAAGAGATTTGCAGCAACCAGGAGTAAGCCGAGGATTCAAACAACAAGCAAAAATAGATATTCAAGGCATCATGTCACACCATAATGTATTTAACAGAGAATTTATGAAAGAAGCACATCATAACATCTGAAACCACAGAAAGCGAAAGCAAATATAGAGAGAGATAAAGGCAATAATTAGTTCCCTATGTTGGCAGAACATGCCTGTGACAAAGATAACGATGATAACGGCAAATGCAATGCTCCCTCCATCATACCACCCTTCTTCTATACCCTAAACAAAAAATGGAAATAATTTACAACCATCACAAAGAAACAATTAAAGATAGAAATAATAGAGACAAATGAGCATCACGACTAACATTCAAGGCAGTGTTATGATTTTTTTCGAATTCTGCCGACTAACTGATGCGAACCCATATCTTATGGGGGATAACCCAATTTAATTTTTCTATCATACGTTTTGATTATGGAATAGGGAACAAAGATTACTGAAGCTGCACCTTCAGTTCCTTTGGATGACAAACCAGCTTAAATGAACTTAAAAGTCTGAGAAAAAAAAAAAGTTATAAAAAGGAATTCACACAAATCTTAGATACGTTATATTAGAAGCAAAAAATTGGTGCGATAAGTTCCCTACTGTAATATTTTGTACAAGGAGAAAAAAGAAACTAAAACAAGAATGGTTATATCACAAAATAGCTCTCACTGAAGAAAGCTTCGGCTGATAAGGTCAACTAGACCAGAAAGATAGATAATATATATAGATACCAGAGGGCACTAAATCAGCTAAAAGTATTGAATGGGTAAGTTAAAAGGCAGAACGTGAGGAAAAGAACCTACGAAGTAGAAGTAACCACAGGATAACCACAACAGCATCCTAAATTGAAAAGAAATAAATATACCTCTGTCTTTATGCCCAGTATCAAGGATAATGCAGCAGCTATCATCAAGATGACGAGTGTTAAGTCTTGCCATGATTCCCACAGGAAAACCTGCAAGGTGAACCATGAACTCCATGTAACGAATTATGTTTAGGGTTACCATAAATATGCCTTTCTATCGAGGATATGTATTAAAAGATACCCAAAAGCTCCTCCCTTTCTTTCGAGGGTATGTATTAGACCCAAATGCAGTTCTACGACGTGACAGGTCTGCATCATCTCCTGCAACTCCCTTGTCTAAGTTCGTCCCTAGTAAAGCAGCCAATCCATTGACCTGATTCACAAAAAAAAAAATCATGAACTAAAAAATTAATCGAAAATTTACACGATGGCACAAAGTTACGGACGCTTACCCCACCATATCCTTGTAAAGAGGAGAGAGCATGGTCCCTAGTCATTGAAGTGAGGTGCTCTGCTCCAATCCCATAACCGGCAGAAGATGTTATGGGTGATACTCCGAATGGACCTATGAATATCCGGAAGAATGTCACATAACTACGATGAGTAAAGAAGCTAGCATCATGAATACCAGTGGATGTGATACCAGGTAGATCCCTTTCACCAGCCTCCTTGAATAATAATGCAGCCTGGAAGGTTAATAATATATTAAAGACATGTTGTAAACCTAAAAACAAAAATGTTCAGGAGAAGTGGCAGCTTCGGTCTTTACCCGTATGACTTGAGAATGAGCTCTGATTTTCCTTCTTATTTGCTCTTTTTCTTCATCTTTTCTCAGGTCAAGAGTATACCTAAATCTTCGGGAAGCATTCAACACAAGTGCTGCTTGCTGCAGTGAATAGAAGATAGGTGTAAATTATGAAGGTCCCCCAAAATCTCTCTACAGCAAGCTACAATGATTCAAGAGCCAAAAGCCCCTCGAGATGGATGCTACATCTAAAAATGAGAACAAAAAACTATCAAATAACCTGAGGCCTCTATCGAAAAGAAGACAACCACCGTTTAGTTCGGTATTATTTCTTCTGGAATTGAATAAAATGTATATCATAAAGAAAGAACAATAAAAATATTTCACCCACGGATTCGGCACCCAACAATTTTAGAATTTAACAAAAAAACGTATGCCTCATCCCCCCTTTGGGGCCCAAAAAAAGACATAATGGATCAAAAATCCATCTCCATACAGACTCCCCACCCATACTGTTGCATGCAATTACTGTTGTCTTCATATTAGTTCCCTAGTCACCATGTTAAAGATTGACCCACCGCTTTGTGTAGTTGTTGGCAATAATGAGTGGCAAACCCTTGAATATGGGTGATATAGGAGCAAGGCAGTTTAAAAGAAAGGGTGAGGATGATGCGTGGAGAGATTGCCATCAGTCATCCTAAAAAAATAAAAAAGCAACACTGATGTCATGCCATTTCAGTCATCCCTCATCAATTTTCTGACATCAACGTCCTCAGAGAAGGAACAGAACCCTCAACACACTCTCCCACCTCTTATGCCATCACAGCACCACCTGAGCCCTCCTCTTATGCTCCCCACAACCCAACTCCTCCATGATCACTTTCTTCCCCAGTTACTGCTCCAACAAAGGCCCTAACAGAGAGTGCCGATTCATCCACTTTCTCTAAAGAGGCATAATAAGGTGATTATAGACGGCTGTAATCAGCCAAAACAAGATAAGGTGACAAAGAAACAGACCATGCACATGATACGTGGAATCAATAATTAATCATCGAGTATTCAATCTCGTAACAGTCACACAAATATATCGCGGTGGGTGAGATTTCACAAGAGATTGTGGTCGAGTCACAGGCAAAAGAAGATAAATATGAATGCATTAATCCACAGCTGTTCGGATTTTTTACTGTTCTATTTCTAAACGAGAAAAAAGGGCATGTTCTGTCAGTGTGGCTGCATGCGGCAGCAAATTTAAGAACTAAACGTCATCTGCAAAACTAGCCATGGTGATGAATGAAATCTGAAGAACTTCGGCCAACTGAAGAAATCCACAGAACGCAAATTCATGTAATCAAGGGGAATCAAGAGTAAAGAATATGGGTCTCGAAACAGAATAAAATTGCAGATGTAGGGACTATTCTTTGGTAATTATTAGTCCATGCTGACAAGATATCAAACAGTCTGGTGTATAATCACCATCAGAAAGTCAGAGGGGGAGAGCAGCCAATTCTACCTCCATAGAACAATAAATCTCTTCATATCCATATTGGTAAATCCTCGTCATGTAGAGCCATGCACGAGAAAAACAAATCCATATTGGAATATCCCCGTCACCGAGCATCAAAACCAAAGCTTCCTCGAATAAATTTAAACATCTTTGAAGAACATTACTTAGCAGGGAGCCAGATCATGGTTTTTAGACCCAGAAAGGTGACGACCAATATTGGAAGAAGTTGAAAGCAGCTTTTAGGTGGAAAATGCGCCAAAATACTCTTAATCATCTGGCCAGATAATGGTAGGTCTGGAAGAACCAACCTGTGCGCCAGTTTTTATTTTTGGCAAATAGTAATTTACTGTAAAAAAAATATTAGGCTCGTTAATTAATAAGTTCTCATTTTTGCACTCGTCTTATTCATAATCGTATAATAATTGAAGGTATTTGGATGAGGAACAACAACGTAGACTCGCGCTTCAAAAGCAACTTGATCGTTATGCTCCTATCCATTTACATGCAGAGGTAAATAATCTGTTTTCATCTTCTGACCCACTTTTGATTTTAAATGTTGTCAGTTACTGTAACTGTTTTCCTTTTATTACTGTCGCACCCCACTAGATGTGATCTGCTTGCACAACATCATTTGTAGAGATTTTTTTAGTCTTAATTTCCCAATCTATGCACTCAGCCTCCTGTTATTTTCTGATGTTGGTAAACTGAAATTTTCCTTGATCATTGAATAAGAAAATCGACTTATCTCCCGTGACTTTGACTAAAATTGTACTCCAGATGACCCGTCTGAGTTTCTTATGCATGATTTTCTGTTCGTTTTCTCACTTTATGCTTGTAGACTGCTGTGGAATTATTTTCTTTGAGTAAGCGGTCAATCTGAGTGTGCAGGTAGAGTATCCTGTGCTTGAGGACTTTGTGGCATTCAATTCGGAGTCAGATAGTAAAATGAAGTAACAAGGACTACACTGATGTTTTTGCAATTTAGCTGCTGACATGAGTTTTTGCAATCTGGAAGAACCAACCTGTGCGCCAGTTTTTATTTTTGGCAAATTCTACAAAAATAATAATATGTTGATAAATGGTTCGTGATGCTACTAGACTCCGGGTTGCAGCTGCTTCCAGATTAATGAAGAGAGCAGGAGTTTCGATGTCACAGACAATGATTGGTTTGCGACTTCAGTCGTCAAAGCAGTGTGAAATATGCTACCCAGAGGCATCGCATGATGTCAGGGTGTCGAGACACAAAATGCGATACCTGATCGATAGATTAGAGAAAATGTAGGTGATTCCGGGTGATTTCTCCCTCCCCGATCCCCTCCGTCGTTTCATTACGTATGTACAGTGAAGTTTGAGCAATGGCGTACCCTCCACCGCTTAAGACGCTCTATCGAGGCGTTCTTCGGCGGGATATCGAAGGTGTCACTGGGAGAGAAGTCGTCTTCCTCGATAGTACCACCGCCATTCCCCCAGGGGCCGCCTCCGCCGGACTCCTCGTCGTAGTACCTGTGATTCTGGAGCGGGGAGGCTGCCTTCTCAGGGGCACGGTCATTCATTTTCGTCGCTATCACAGGAAAGATGACACCCGAGCGAGGGCCCGCACGAATGGAGAGCACGACCACGCGCGCAACAGCAAACTCCCTTCTGCCACCAGACGAACAATGAGGAGGAGGAAGAGGAGGAGGAGCTAGGAGGCGAAAAACGATGATCCCCCGTACAATGCCGTGCCGGCAAGAAAGAAAATGCGAAGAAAAGGAACAAAAGAGGAGTGAAGCCGACGGCTTGTGCGAAGAAGTATGATGGCGAGGAAGGGAGTTACCGGAGGGGAAGAAGGCCCCGGGTAAGGAGGGTTTGCAGGAGATGCCCGGGGATCTTCGCGGCAGCTTCCCCCCGACCCCCACCCTTCCCCCCTGCTGCCCCTCACCTCGAGGAAGTTGCCGAGACCCTTCCTTGCAGAACCGTCGAGACAAATAGGGGAAGCTGAGACAAAAGAACTAATAATACTCGAGGCCGTTGGGGGGGCCGGGGAGAGGCGATATTAACTTGCACGGACGGCGTTCACGGGCAGATCTTTCGCCGGAGAACCCGCCGGTGCTGCCCCGTGTCCTCCTCCGGCGAGGCCACACATGAACGACGACGATAACCTGAGACGCTGCCTTCACTCGATGACGCACCAGAATGGGCCTGCGCCTCTTCCTCCAGCACGGCCCTCTGCTGTATCGTCCCATTCCCCGATGTCTCCTCTGTCCCCCACGGCAGCAGGAATGGCCAAGGAGACACAGTAAACCACCCCCTACGCAACCGAGCCTCCTCCTGCTATCTTGGTGGCAACCAGATAAGTTTGATTTTAACATGTACAAGGTGAGGTTCCACTGTCAGGACAAGAGAAGAGCCCCTTCAGAATCCGACAAACGGGGGTGGGGGCCTTCCGAGCTGCGTGCTCCGTCCCGTTCGCCGGCCGCTGACGTACATTTAAGTATTGCACGGATATCGTCTGTCGCCGTCCGTCGCAAGGGCCATCTCCCTCACCCCGCCGCGGGGGTTTCAGATAGCCGTGGGGCCCGCATAAAAGCACTTCGAGCAAAACCAACACCGACATTTGCATGTACCTTCCGCAGTGTGATTTAAATTATTACGGTTAAATTGCACGATAATAGATAAATCAGCTTAAGGTGTACGACTGCAAGTGTACTTTACTTTAAAATGGACAAATTTTGCGTAAAATAGCATGCGTGCATGCGTGCATGCATGCATAAAAAGTTGTCATCATTTCCATGTAAAAGTAGAAAAATGGATTAATATGGTATTAATTAAAGACTGACAATATTGGGAACAGATCCTCTAGATATAGAATGAAATGAAGGTAGGGAGACCATAAATGATTTCCGAGGAATGAGGAGCGACGTTCATTGCTGATGTTATTAGAAAAATATCTCAATTGCCATTAAATGCGTCAATAAGAAGACTACCCCCATTTTCAAAGGTTCCCCAAAATTTTATTTATAAGGGTCAACTAGTAAATTGACAATGGTCACATGGTGTTTTCAATTATTTATTAACAAAGTAGAAAGTCATTTTTTTATAATATAGCTGGTATGTGAAAATATTGTGTAGATACATGTTATTTGAAGCTTAGGAGTAATTATAATGATGAGCTTGTGTGATTTTAAATTATTTTTCAGATGTTAAATAGGTCTCCCCATTCAACAAATATGGCACATGTCTCTTGGAAGATAATTTTAGAAATATATCTGATAATGAGTGCGCCTATATATCATCATGTGATGAGATAATTTGCAATTATTGTGATAATTTTAATATCAAAGCATGTCCAAAAGATGTATGACATGGAGAGTTTCATCCTAGCCCTATAATAGTATTATATAAAGTATGAATTATAAGTCAACTTCATTAGACACGAGATTGAGTGATAGTCAAACGTGGTAAACTAGAATGTTCTTGGTGCATATATGAATCCTTATTATTTGATCGATCAATATTCATATCAATACTTCATTATTAATACATTAAATATCAAAAATATGTATAATATTAATATTAAAGTATAGGCATCAAAAGAAGATAATTGATTGTCAACATGTCTAATTGAAACTTAGAATTATCACTATTAGGTTACAAGTACCATTGGTTTAAACTATATATTCTCATATGTTTAAATTTTATTTTCTTAATTATATATATGTGAAGTCAATGATTCATTATAATGGTTCATGTATTTTGATATATTATTCACTAAAATGGTGGCATTCTTATCTTTCATAGTATTTAAAATATTCTAACAATATGCCAAACAAAATAAAGTTTGGTGTCGACACAAAAATGAAGGATTAATGTTGAGTGTTGGAAACCTATGAGCTTTTATGTTGACAGAAGGGCACTACTCAATGTACTTGCCTTATGTCCACACTTCAACACATTGAAATTGATTTAGTTGATCAAATAAACCTACATAACATCCAAACTGATGTGGTGTAGCATGCCCACAATGTTATAGCAAATGTGAATTGCATAAATTTCTTGATGATTTGTGCGACAACAATAGATTACAACCTACCCAATAAAGCTCCTATACGAGATAGTTTGAACAGTGAAAATAATAATTTGATCTCCACAATTTGACTGAGATAAAAAAATAAAATCTATTATAGAAGTAAAAATTCAAAAAAAGAATTATTGATACTTTTACTACTACTTTAAGCCATTCTTACAAACCATCTGACTCCTTTATAACTTTGGGAAATGGTTTCAAGCTCTATTATTTTAGTAATTTCAAAATGTTCGAATCATTTCATATTTTTGAATTTAAAATCCCATGTGTCAACCCTCAATACAGATTTTCACTTTAGTGTTATAAAATAAACTTTAATTTACATTTTTATAATGATTCTTGGTGGTAGAAAAATATCATTAATAGTATTTGCCTTGCATCACTCTGTTATTTCTACACCATGACAATGAAGAACAAAGAGTTGATATGAGAAAACTAGTGTATGGCCTCGTATAGTTGTAAATTCATAAGAAATTAGTTGGGTGATAATTCGGTTGCCCTCCTAGAGTTAATGTCCCTTTAGAGTTATGACTTTATAAGTGGTGAATAAGGTAATAATCTACTTACTTAATCTACTAAAACCAGGAATCCAATAAAAACAAGTTGACTCTTTTGGAGTTCACTACTTGCACTTGTTAGATATTGCATCCAATACATCTCATTTTCTTCTTTTTTTTCTTTTTTAAAATTAAATTGTACTAACCCATTATGTAGTAGTCCAATTGAACTATATAAAGAGATATAGTTAAATCATACACAACTATTTGAAGAAGTGAGAATGTCATAATCTTCATTCAAGATAAGAAATATTTATTTCTCAACACAATTATGCCATGGACCTTCTAAAGGAGATTTTTATGATAGTTTGTCGACCATCTGATACTTTTATAGATGTCAATGTCAAACTTTAGGATGCTGATGAAGCCAACAAAGTAGACCAAAAGGTGTATCAATTTTAGATTGGATGAGTAATTTATCTTTCACATACATAACATGATATAATTTATACATTAAGTATATTTAATTATTTATACAAAACCCCAAACAAATAGACCTAGATGTAGTCTAATCAATATTACAGTATCTTAGAGGTACAATTGAGAAAAGTATTTTGTTCAAAAAAAAAAGTGGCTTAAAAAATAAGATTTATCATAATGTTGATTTTACAGGTTTCATAATCAAAAAATGATCTATTTTTAAATATTGTACCTTTCTCTGCAAAAATCTCATCACATCTAGAAACATAAAATAAAGTGTTGTAGTAAGATCAAATGCAAAAGTTATTGTTCAAAGCTACGACTCAAAATATTTGTGAATTACTATTGCTCAAGATCATATATTAGAATCTACTTTGATGAACTATTAAGAATTTATTATGATAACATATTTGTCATCAGCACATTTACAATCTTAAAAAAAATGATAGCATCAAGCACATAAAGATCAACATATACTTCATTCAAGAAAAAGATGCAAAGTTGATAAATTTACATACCACCAACTATAGATGGAGCATCATTAACACATTCTAGTGTTTAGTCTCAAGTTAAGAATAGATGATTTGCATCCACCAACTACAGGTTGAGCATCATTAAATATTATCTAAATTAGACCAGCCCAATATGTTAGCAGTCCAATCCAACCATGTAAAGGGATTTGATTAAAATCAGGCAGAACGTTTTTGAATTGAGTGAGAATGCCCTAATTTTTTATTAGAGCTCCAATTCTCTCTTCCATTGGCAATTTTTCTTCTCTGTTGTAACAACATTAAATGCCATAAATATTTTTCAAATTTATAAGTTATATATCATCTGAAAGGCAATATCACTATGAAGATTTTTGGGGTTCATATAGAGGGACTTATCTTGTGTTTAGAAAAACAATAAAAAATAAAAAAATGTGGCTTATTTTTCAATTCAAGGGAAAAGCTTTTGGTTCATTTTAGGGTCCTCGGGAACCCAACAGTTTGCAGATAATTAGCCCAACTTTGGTAGATCACAAAGAAATAAGAAAACCACGAATAGATTTATGAGCTGAATTGGTAAAAACAAATACATTTTACGGAGACGAATTGACCGGATGAATCGTTGACGATCGGATCCGATCAAAGATAATCGTTTGCCAGACTTCAGCAACTTTGTTCATCAACTCCGAAAAGATTCTTCAAGATGCTCGTACTATGAGACAGTAAGCTATCATCCATCAAGAATCCACCGTCTGCCATTGCTGACTTCTGAAAGATCTCATATTTTCGACGAGAAGCTGGGGCCAGAGGATCCTGGTGTACCTGCGCTTGACCTGGAAGCGGAGCGGGAGGAGGCAGAGCCTTCGCTAGTTCTCCACGTAGGTGGCCATCTCTACGTACATTTCCTCCGTCATCGTCTTCTCCGTGGACGCGCCGCTTACTGAGACACGTTGCGTCTGAACGAGGTATTGGCAGCTTCCGTCGGGCTCAGTTTGTTAGCCAACGCTCGATTTTGATGGAGAGGAGCGATCCTCTCCCTGGGTAGCTCTGGAGATGAATTCCGTGGGAATATCCTTCAGTGTGAGAACTTCTGCAGCGAAGCGGTACTCTGCAGTCCCGGGGGAGCTTCTTCAACCTCTTGCAGCCGCTGATGTTTAAGGTCCTCAGGCAGGGCATCGCCTCGTCTGCCACTTCCCACTGCTCCAACTCTTCCAGGTTCTCGAGTCTCATCGTCTCCAAGCTTGGGGAACCCGCCGCGGACGCAGGCGCCGCCGGCCTCCCAGCGTAGGAATCCTCCATCATCGCCAGAATCCTGATGTCTTGGAGCTCCTGGAGCGCCTCGAACGTGTCTTCCTCCAACGAGAGATTGACGAGATTGGAGGGCCACCGACGGTGGCGGCCTGCCCAGACGCCCGACCAAGGTCAGCACCTGAAGATTACGGAGCCCGGACAGCATCGGCGAAACGGCGGGGATCGACCGGTCTGTATGTGTTCAGGAGGATTTGACCTAGCCAAGTTGGTCGTCGGCTCCGTGGGCCATGACGCGGCGATTCCCTCCCCTCCATAAGTCCGCCATCCGCGATGCCCCTTCCAGGTTGGAGGAGAGGGAGGGATTTAAGCTGCAGTTGAAATCAGAAGCCCCCTCAATGTACCGGCCGATTTCTGCATTTTCTGTCTACATTCTCTCCCTCTGCCTCTGTATCACCTTCTCCCTCTTTCTTATCTTCTTCACAGACTGCAGCCGTGAATCAGCAGCCCTCTCGATTCTCTCTGCAGTGGAAACTGGTGAGACCTCCTCTCTCTCTCTCTCTCTCTCTCTCTCTCTCTCTCGCTCTGTCTCCTCCCACGGATTTCTCCCCTTTCTTTTCCTCCACTGGTTTCCGTATTGCGAGGTGATGATATAGAACGATCATGAGAGCTTGCTCGTCATCTCCGACCTTCAAATCTAGAATCATCGTCTTCACAGCTTGTTGCGTGGATCGGTTCTTTGGGCCCTGGATCTACTCGGTGTGAACACGAATCATTCTCGTCGAGTATCTGCATTCATCAGATCTATGATCTAGGGGACCTGTGACGCCTTCTAGACGACGGGATCGATCCCCGGGTTCCGATTTCTTCCGCCACCAAGTAGCTTAGATTAGACATCCCATCTCTGTTTCATTTTGGCACCCATCGGAGTAGCTCTTTGACGTCCTTTCTCTCTCTAAATTCTTGTCCTATCGTTCATCCGGTCTGATTTCCATGGCAGGAACTGGTAACGGGGCGAGAACCGTTAGCTGGAGCCCCATCGAATAGATTCTGCATTTGCAGGCAATGGCTAATTCAGCCATCAGCTCGATCCTGAAGAAAGTGGACGAGGTGCTCTCGCAGGAAATCAACTTGCTAGGTCATGTCAGGCCGGAATTCGAATCCCTGCAAGGAGTACTCAGGATCATAAACGCATCCCTGGCAGATTTCGACCGGAACAGAGCTCAAGTTCCAGCTCAGGTGGAGGAACTGGTCCAGCAGCTGAGAGAAGCGGCCCTTGAAGCTGGGGACATCATCGACGATTTCTATCTCATGATCGACCAGAAGAAGCTCAGCGGCATCAGAGGCTCCCTGATGAGCTTCCTCATCTGTGTGAGCGAAAGCTCTGCTCGTCACGAGCTGGGTACCCGCATTAAAGATTCCAAGAGGAGGATCGACGAGATTCACAAAAATATGGGGACCTAAAACATAAAACTCAAACCAGTAGATGAATCCCCTTCCTCCTCCTCTGTAGCGCGATGTACTTCTGAGCTGGATAAGGCTGCTCTATCCCAGGGCCTGAGTGTCGTGGGATTTGCAGAGGCCGAGCGATCCATGAGGGAGCAGCTGTTGAATTGGAAAGGCAAGCTCGCAGTCATATCCCTGGTGGGAATAGGAGGAATAGGGAAGACCACAATCTCCAAGGTCTACAACCACGATGCAGTTGATGGCCATTTTGGTTACAGAGCTTGGGTCAACGTTAGCCAGAAATTCACACCAACTGTAGCTGCTGCAGAACACTCTGAGAAGCATCCTAGACTGCATCCCGGGAACGAGGAGAGAGAAGGAGGTGATCAGGAGCTTGACAGACATGCGGCTGGTGGAGAAGCTCAAAGCCCGCCTGAAGAAGGTGAGGTACCTTGTGATCATCGACGATATCTGGGAGAAGGAGGCCTGGGATCTCATAAATTCCGCCCTGCCGCCCTCCCCAGGGAGCAGAGTGATGCTCACCACCCGCATAGATGCTGTCGCCAAGGTATGCCCAGAGAGAAATCCACAGGCTTCCCTTTCTGCGCGAGGAGGAGAGCTGGGAGCTGTTCTGCGCGAAGGTGTTTCCCGGCGGCGAGGGGTACCCCCCGGAGCTGGAGGAGGTGGGGAAGGAGATGGTGAGAAGATGCCGCTGTCTACCCCTGGCTGTCGTCGTTCTCGGCGGTCTGCTGATCGAGAAGGAGAATGGAGGTCCTCCGCCGGCGTCTTACCGAGAAACTGAGCGCGGATAGAAACGAGATGATCAAGAACATACTCGCTTTGAGTTATGACGATTTGAGTAACGATCTGAAGATATGCTTCCGCTACATAGGGCTCTTCCCCGAGGACATGGAGATCGACGCCACCAAGCTGGTTCAACTGTGGGTTGCAGAGGGGTTCATCGTGCAGGCAAGGGGGCTCACCCTGAAAGAAACTGCGGAGCAGCACCTCGAGCAGCTCGCAAACAGGTCCGCTCTTCAGGTAGTGGACAGAGATCCATTGGGGCGGGTCGACAAATGCAGGATCCACGATCTTCTCCTCGATCTCGCGAAGGATGAAGGAGGGAAGAACCAGTTCGTCGAAGTCCATGAGGGGCTCACCCCCACGCACGCCGTGAGGTCGCACAGGCTCGCCGTCCACGAGAATGCGAGCTTCTGCCTCACAAGCTCGAGCTGCCTTGTTTTGAACCTGCGCTCTCTGCTCTGCTTCAACCTGCACGGCCAGGAGCTCAGCGATTCCTTCGTGAAACTGTGCTCTCTGAAGCTTCTTAGGGTGATCGTCTCGATTTCTCCCTGATTCAGCTGCTACAGAAGCTGAACTTCATTCATTAACTCATCCCATTCTTCGCTCGATACAAACGGCGAAGAATTTCTTCCAAGGATCCTTCTCCGAACACCGCGGTACACTTGGAGTGGAACCACGGCCGTCAATCGGTTCCAGCAAGTGACAGTTGTTGGGATCGTCATTCATCGACTAGAGGTCGTATAGGAATCCATTCTGTGTACCGTGCCTACACAAATCGATCCAATACGAGCATAAATTCGATCGTCGACCGTTCCGCCCATTCTTTCTTAAAACTTGAATCTTTGCATGATTTTACTTTCTTTTTAATTTATATTTTTTTTTATTCCGTTATACATTGTCTTACGAACAATTTATCTTTTTAAATCAAAGTTTATTTCGAAGTTGGGGATGTTCTTCACGGACTGACGTCTGCTGACGTCACAATCCGTCAATTCTTTCTTTTAAAGTATTTCTATTCATTTTTGCAATTATAAATTCGGAAAAAAATAATCTATCAATTGGAAAGTATAAATTTAATTAAATATTTCTTATCTTCCTTGCGTTCCACCTGGAAACCTTTATAAAATTAAATTATTCTAAACTGGCTTATTTTCCAGCATTTATAAATTATAAATTTGCTGGATTTTCTTTACAACGACAGAAAAGATTCATACGGCATCTGAAGGCTCTGTGCCGAAACCGGCGTTGCATTTCCCCTCTTCCGGACCCGAGAAGGAACAGTGTGAAGAGCCTAGGGCCGGCAGCGGGGAAGGGAACACGAGGACGGGCGGAGCGGGGTGTCTTGGACGGCGGAGCGGTACTTCCACCTGTTCCAGGCGAGGAAAAGGAGGAGCGCGCCGGCGTGCGCCATGGGGAGAAACCAGACGCGAAGTAACGAGAGAATAGGAAGGGCAAGGCATGACCAGAGCACAAAAGCCGCTGAAGCTGAAACGATGGCGACGATTCTGCAAACTGTTGTATCAAGGCCATCGCCGGAGCAGCTCCCCCTCCAGAGAGGCAGAGGGAGAGAACGGAGAGGACGACCGCCGCCGTGAAGGTGAGGGAAACAAAGGCTGAGTACAGATCGAAGAGGAGGAGACTTCTAGTTCCCTGCGTTAGTTGCTGAGTGTCTGACATCGTGAAGCAGACAACCATCAAAGCTAACGATAACGATAACTGTTGTTGCCTGGACTGATTCTCCACCGGGATGCAGAGGGAGGGCGTTCCAGATGGAATGGTTGCCACGGGGGGTCCCTTTAATCCAAATTCGAAGAACCCAGAAAAAAGGTGGCACGATGGGAGGAGAAGAACCAAAGCTGAGTGGTTCCGCCTACTCAAAATGTTTTTGCTTCCAATGCTTTTGCTTCCATTCCTCCTTCCTCCTTCGGGTTGTTCGTTGACCTCGCTCATCCGATCAAGTTGGTCGAGGGTTCCAAACCTTAGCTAGTCCTATCTTTCACTCTTATCTGGGAGAATGAGAGATTGAGGAATGTATCTACCTTGAGAAAGACCTGAATTCTTCGTCAAACTTTCCGGTGGAATGGTATCTCTCTCTCTCTCTCTCTCTCTCTCTCTCTCTCTCTCTCCCTTGAGAGAGACCTGAATTCTTTGTCCAATTATTCCGGCGGTGTTGTGTACAACTATTCTTTGTCACTCCTTTTTATATATATATTTTCTTTCATTTATCTCAAAAATAGAATTATATAAAATCACATAATCAGCCAAAAAATCACAGTAACCAACTAAAAAATTATTTTTTTATAATTTAACACATAATTATTATTTATCATGAGTTAAGACTAAAACTATATTATTAAGTAATTATTAACTAATGATAATTAAGACTTATCACCAACTCATAATCAGCTAATTTCTCCAGAGTCAATTTGAACTTATTTATATAACTTGAGAAGAGCTCAATATCCATCTTGTATCTAAATCAAGTTTTCCTTTCACCTTTTATCCATGTAACAATCGATGTGTAATTGTCGAGATGCTCTCTTTGAAACTTGATTTTTTTTTATTTTCTTGATAATTTAATATATGTAAGTTTTAGAGAATTTATATATGTAAGTTCCCTTCCTCTTCGCATCGGCGTTCCCAAGGAAGTAGCCCATCGCCCGGAGCTCCTCCTTCGCCGATCTGCTTCACGACGGTTGGTCACCACCGGTCCGGTCATCTCGATCGATACACGCGTCCCCGGCAGCATCTATCTTTGGGGAGAAGATCGACTGATTACTTCCGGCGGGGTCGGCCTTTCGCTCCGGCGGTGGTTGTCCGGTTGACCTCTCTCTCTCTCTCTCTCTCTCTCTCTCTCTCTCTCTCTCTCTCTCTGTCGCTATGGAGGAAGCCAGGCGCATGCATTAACGGCGACCAGCTGGTGGCGCCTCACCACGAAGGGGCCGCTGTCCACCGCGGCTTCGCGGGTTCCTCCTGACGAGAGGAAGCCCCCCCGTCGGAGGGCTATCCCTCGAAATCAAACGGAAGTCCAACAAGACCCAATAGGAGCCGTTGACCGGATGATCTCACAAGACCCGAAGTAGGTGGGCGCGGCAACACGAGAATTTAGACGAGGGGATGTCAACACTATCCCGGCCCGGTCAACCGAAAGTCAAAGAATGGGAGGCATGATCCTTACAGCTGGGAAGGGAGATCCTGCAGGTCAAGGCGACGGGCTCGTGGGATCGTGGGCCTCGATGTCAACGTGGCGAATCCCGGGAACGATCTTCTGGATCTCTGTCTCCAGCCTGTCGACTTCGCTGCCCAGGGCCTCCACTAGTTCCTCGCCTAAATTCGGAAGGCCAGGTCAGATCAAGATTAAACCAGAGGATAATGTTTTTTTAAAATAATAATAATAATCATAATATAAAAGCCGTCACAGGTACCATAGGATGCCATCGTCTTTAACAGGGCTGCATCGTCTCCGTCTCCGGCGGCTTCTCTGAACTGCAGAAAAAGGAGTTCATTTTTATTAATTTTAAAATGATGCTACAATTTTATTTTATTTTCAAAAATAGCCTTTTCAAATGATGCATGGAAAATATTCTCGCGTTATCAGGGACATATAATCTCTATTTTTAGAACAGTACAGAGTTCTCCAAAGGTAAAAAAAAAAGAAGAAAAAAGAAATGGAAATACTTTAAAAATAAAACCTATAGCGGGTAATATATAACAGGGCAATATTATTTTTTCCCCAAGACTAATAATATGAATAAAGGGCAAGTGGAATGCTCTATTTTTAGAACTGTAAAGAGGTTTTCAAAGATAAAATAAAAATAGAAATGGAAATACTTTTATAAAAAAATAAAATAAAAAATCCCCTAGTGGTTCATAATAATGCCGATAAGATTTCATGTTGCGAGGTGTTTGTCGCATAAAGGGGTGGAGAGAAAAACCTTGGCGGCCCATTTTTCTCGCCCAGTCCTCTTGAGATAATTTTGCACTACGACCATCCCGTTGAAATCTGTTGATTTTAGCAAAAGATAAAGCTTTATGAGAAAATAATATAATTTCTCTTCGCTTATCTTGGATTTTTTCCATCGTAAAACCTGTGATTAAATAATTTACAGGCACAACAGCCGGAGGAAATCTTAATATCAAGACCACCATATTAATGAACAATTATAATGTACCAAAAAAATATAAAATTAAAAAAAAAGGCAACAATCACCTATTTCAGCCTTGAATCTAAAAAACCCAGGTCCAATCACCTCACTTTTGCAGTCGTACAAAGAATCCACGACCTGCAACGATCAGAAGATTGAGAAAGTCAAACATCATAAGGGGATGATGCCGTGGGCTGCCCGTGGAAGAAGAAAACAAAGAAGAAGATGAGCTTCAACCGGGTCGGATCTCAGGAATTCGAGTACTCTCTGCATGTCATGGTCGTCAATCGCCCTGCCGATCAATGCATGCCGATTTCTCTGGATTAGGAATATGGCAACCTGGAAAGGGTAAATATTAAGGTTGACTGAGAACAATTCAGAGAACAGAAATATACAAAAATAAAGAAGTAAATAAATAAATAAATTCCATATTTTCGTAGAGTTTAGACAAGTGTTTGCAATAAGTGAGAGACCAGAAATACAAATAAATAAATAAAGTAGATGCCACAATTCTTTAGAGTTTTAGACAAGTGTCTGCAATATTTCACAGAACAGAAATATTAAAAATTAATTAAATCTCATATTTCTTTAGAGTTTAGCCAAGTGTCTGCAATAACTCAGAGAACAGAACTAAAAATAACTAAAGAAATAAGCAAATGCCACATTTCTTTGGAGTTTGGACGGACGAGTTTCTGCAAGAACCTTGCTAGTGCAGATAAACATATTACGTCTTAATGGCCTGTGATATCATACTCTCCAATTACCTGGCATGGAAGATGGTGGTGTGGTTTTTTTCTTCTTTCTTTTCGTTGGAGGGTTTTTTAAAAATAAAATATATAAAAAAAAAACGTTCACCACTACAGATCAAAGGAAACAGCAATCAATAACCAGAAAAAAAAGGGCAATTAACAACCTCGTCTACACATCTGGAGAGGTGTCAAATAAGCAATGAAAGGAAACAAACATGAACTATTCCTCCTCCCCTTAATCTTAGCCAAACGGATAGAATTGATATCTTCATCAATCTCCATTCCTTCAGCCCATATCTCCACATGATACGCGCTTTGTCAACGATTGTTTGTAGATCTTAAAGTTCTGATTAAGGTCGTCGTTTGCCCCTCTCTATCGATGGTCATAGTTCTTTCTGCCACTCAATTTCCTTGAGCAATGAACAATCTCTTGCCAACGTAATATTAAATCCTTGGTATCTGTATGGTCACCAACCCAACTTATGCCAGCATGAAATACAATCATTACACCACGAGCCATTTATGAAGTCTTTCGCTGACTAATTTCCATAATACATATATGTATATATATTTGCTGGGAACTTCTTTTTTCCAAAGTGAGTTTGATCCTCACCATCCACATCCCCCATCTCCATCAATTTTGTAAAATGGCCTAACATGGAACTCCCCTTCTTCGATCCACATTCAAATCCTCAGTTCCTTTGGATTTTATCAGAAGAACTAATCGATAAAAGATAAAAAATGTAGACCATTAATCAGTTCATTGATGAAGCTCACAATTTACGTTTCTGCCTTTTATCTTGGTCAGGAGGGATTACAAGGTAGCAAACACAATAGAAGATGATTAACAACAAAAAGGCTCAGAAAGGCAAGAAACCAGCGCAAAAGCACGCCAAAATTTCCCTAGTTGATACCGTATGGGATTTTTTGTTCTTGTAATGACAGCAAGAACCTGTGTCATGAGCATCCATATCACAAAACCCTAGGTACCCCTCCGAAAGCTACTTCAGCACCTAAACCTGAAATTAACGCTCTTCATTTGTCTCACTGTGTATAGAATATCTCTGGAATGAGAGCAAAGAGACTTCTTTACAGAAAAAAAAGAAAAGGAGAGAAAATTAGTAAACCAAAACTTAAATCTCTTTGCTCCATAGAAAACCTCTAAAATCAGAGGAAAGAGAATTCTTGTGAGAAAAAAGAGAATGAAACCTGAAGGGAGAAAACTTAAGATCACAAAAAAGCATGGCACTCAAACAAAAATAAGATCACAGACGTAGAGGAAGACAGTTGACAGAAAGAGAAGATGGAAATACTAGGAAAGCACCAAGAACAGTGTGAGTGCACATTTCAAGACGCCCAAGAATAAATTTTGAAACAGAGAGAGTAGCAGCTAAGTTCATTATAAGAGTTTACAATAACCATAACAGGAAAGGGGAAGAGGCCACTGAACAACTAAATCCCCTTGGTACCATTTTAAAAGAAAACTTCACAGCGTTGCCCATCTACTGACAAATGTCGTTAACATGTTATTCAACTAGAAAAAACTTTCTCCTTTGACACAGCAGACGAGCATGAGATAACCAGTGGTAATATTTAACTGACAGTTTGACTGAATTAAAACAATATTAAACATTGATTATCATTCTATTAAATATTTATAGCTGAATAATAAAAAAATTAATGACACAATTGACAGAGCAGTCGAATTTTCCTTTTCAATAATGTTCATCAATAGATCAGCAAAACTTATGGGTAACATATACACATTGTGGAACTATGATTGTCTTACAGTGATCTACCCAATCCACCTAGTGAGAATTTCAGGATGGAAACCTATCTCTTCGCTCAGCACTTGAAGTAACTAGTTTCTTGCACAGATATATTTATTTGCCGTTTTTTTTCTCCAACGAAATAGTGATCCATTACTAACAGTAATGAAACGAAAATTGTGCTGAGAAACAAAAGATGAGAGAGAACACACCATTCCAAGTAAGTTGCCAACAATAATTGAACCGATTGGATCATACATCGGATTTCCTGTGGTATTAACCGCAACTAATGACCCAGCTGCAATAGCGAGGCCTGTAACAGCAGCACCATCCTGCAGAACCAGTCCTAATTTTAGATGCGCAGAGCCAAAATGAAAACAAGAGGATAATGGACACCGTGTTATAAAGAACCAATCATTTCCTGCTCCAGACTCTTCAACCAGGGAACATCAAAGTATTTTTAAAAAGGCATGAATATCGGTTAGTTCAAAGGAAGAAGAGAACCTCCGTCATGACAGCAACAGATGTTGGATCATGACCACGCCAAACATAGTCCCACATTTTCATTCCTTCTGCAGCAGCACCTTTCTTGACAGCATTTATAGCAACAACCAGCGACGCACCTGAAAATGTAAACTCGGTCAGCTATAATGAAGCAACAAGGCAACTGATTATCAAGGGATGGAGGAACACCTTCAATTAGAAATGAACCCCCAATCACCAAAGCAGCATATTGCATATTTTCAGGCGGCTGTTCAGCAAAAACCATCTTCAAATATTTGACTCAGAAAAAAAGAGATAAACTTGCAGGTCGATCACCATACAATACCTCTGCGCTCCACAAGTTCTGAACGCCATGCACAATGGTAGCACCAGAACCCAAGCAAAAGATTCCAACCGCGGATATCAACGACCAGACAAATCGTTCTTTCGAATAACCATAACTGAAGAAAAGTGTTTAAATTATATAAATTTAGTAGCGGAGAGATAAACAAAGGTTCGAATATAAATTAAGATTTCCAGTAAAGCAGGTGGCTAATTTACAACGGGGGAACCTAAAAGAGAAAATAATCATTTAACAATAAAGTCATTAAGAAGAAGGAACGCTCATGGTAAACACCCAGGAAAATCCGAAATCCCCCCACTTTGATGATGATAAAGGTCATCTCTTTCACACAGCTCCAACGTAAGACTTATTTAGCAGATACTAGAGGTTAGGAGGGAGAAACTGACGGATGCATGGCATCTGGTGCGCGCCTTGAGCTACTCAGACCATAAGCAAGAAGAGCCTACAATGGAAAATTAGTAGCAAGGTTCAGTTGCTTGGCTTGAGATATCCACAGCCCAAAAACTTAACAAAAAAAGACAACTCTAGGAAAAGGCGATGATTTATAACAAAAACAGTGTAAAGGTTCAGATTGAAAGAGAAAAGACACCACGTAACTCAAACGTAAGATGTGGCTAAATACCTGGTTTGCAAAATCGGCAATCGAATGTATCATCTCAGCCAGCATTACGTGGCTAGAAGTTACCAACCATACGCCAAATTTGAGGGAAAACACAAGAAAATTGCACCATAAAGCGGTAGTCACTGCTCGTTGGCTGCAGATGCATCAAACGTGTGAACACAAGGGTCAGCATTCCAATTTATGAAGTCATCTAATCATTCAACTCAACACAAACTGGCAATAGCCCAATTTCTCCATTTGTATAATCATGGATTTATTGTATCTACCAATAAAGATTCTTGATCTCCTGACAGACAAGTCAGCGTTTATGACTGTCACCTACATAGTATTGATCGTGGATCACAAGAAGAACAATCTACTCTAGCATGCTTACTCAGAATTAATCGCCAATGTGTAGAATAGACCCATGTTTATCGTTGCCACGAGTCTACCTTTTTTGTGATCACTAAGAGACTATTATCAACCCCCACGAGTCACCTTCATCCTCATTCACTTTTTTCCCCTTCGTGTACTCCGGTTATTAGGATTCAAATCCGAATCCCGGTTGCTGGCAACCAAACCAATAGTTTCAGCCTCCCACCTCCTAAGAATAGACGCATTCGTATGAAATCGCAGGACGGAAAAGAGGAGAAGCTGATACCTCAACTCGTCATCGAACACTGCTTTCTTGACCTTTGCAACCCGAAGAGAATAACCTGCAGATAAGGAGGGCAAAGACAGAACCCAACAAAAATCCCCTCAAAATCTGGGAGGAATGGAAAGAAGAAGAAAGGAGCCAAGCGAGAGAAAGAGAGATACAAATGAAAAATGCATACTTCGCACAAAGGGCAATAAAACCGGTTGGTGCCTCGACGACGGCGGCGGCGACGGATCTCCGAATCTCCTGGAGAACAGCATGATCTCATGCGAAGGCCTGGTGGAGAAGATATGACGCCCCGCAAGATGGAAACCGGCCCCATTCCCCGACACGACCGCGGGCTTCGATGGCGAAGAGGGGGCCTCTTCCTCAATCGCAACCGCTGTTCCCGTTTCATCGCCTTCTCCTACAGCCGAAGGACGCCTGATGCTACTGTGGGACTGATTGTGCTGCAGAGAGTAGGGGTGGAGGAAGGCCGACCGCGCGGGTAGGATCGACTCCCGAATACGCACGACGAGCCGCGACGTGCGCATATAGGTGAAATGGGGGTTCCCCTTCTGCATGTTATCCGCTGCTGCGCTCACCGCCGCCGCCGGAGCTGCGCCTTCCCTTGGAACGGCGCCGCCGGTGCTCCTCCCCCTCAACCATCACTTTAAAACTACACTCTTCATACGCAAAAACCTCGCAGAAATGGATACGCCCTCGATACGCTTCACTGGAGTTCTCGCTGCTCCAACCCTGCGCAGCTAGCGAGGGCGAGAGAGAGAGAGAGAAAGAGAGACCTGCAGTCGCTCCACCGAGACATTTAAGCGCTGTAACTCGCTGACGTGGAACGCATATTCTATTCTAATACACAACGTAGACGTCCGACGTGGCCCACACGCCACAGCCGTATGCCCGTACAGATCACGCGCGAGGAGCTGCCGACACGTGGAGAACCCGGGGCATCCATCCGGGCAGTGCCCGAAAAACAATCCGAATACAGGTTTACAAGATACACAAAATGAAAGCCTCTAGCAAAAGTTTTCCGGCCAAATTCTTCAGTAAAAATGAACGAGATCGCCGAGAACCAGACCACCCAACCGGTGCAGTCTGAGGAGAAGGAGAGAGAGAGAGAGAGAGAGAGAGAGAGAGAGAGAGAGAGCTAAGCGATCGGCACGAAGAAGCTCCGGCGGCTTACAGGCTCCGGTAGTCGATGACGGTGACCTCGTCCTCGGGAGCGTCGAGATCTTGGTAGCTGGCGGCGAGCGCAAGCGAGAACAGAGAGGACTTCAATTCACAACGGCCGGAGGGAAAAGAAAAGGTTAAGGTCGGATGGTTATATACCTCCTGAGGCGCCGAGGGTCCTGCCGAAAGGGTGGCGGCGGCATGCCGAGGATCTGGGCCGGGCCGGGCATCGGTGGACCCGGGCGCTTCCTCCCCCGGGGGCCGCCGTTGCCGTCGAATGGCGGCGGCGGCGCGCCGCCTTGCTCCCTCAGCATCCTCATCGCCACCTCCGGCGGGGCCGGCACGAACGGGCCCAACGGGCTGCAGGGAGATGATGCAGGAGAGTGGGCAAATGATGATCGCGCAGAGAGAGTAATAACACACCGCAGGGTTGAGGATTGGCGGCTGGCTTACCCGGCGCCGGGCACGGGCATCAGGACCGGCGGCGGAGGGATGTCGGAAGGGAAGGGGCCCCCGTGCAGGCCCTGAGCGCCGAATGCATCGAACAGAGGCTCGTCGGGGTTCATTCCCTCGGGCGCGCCGCCGTTCCTGGCCTGGAAATCAGCTGGCGGCGAGTTCTCACCCCTCTCGAATCTGTCCTCGTCGGCGCCCCGTTCAACTCTGTCGTGGTCTCTCCGGGGGCCGCGCTCCGGCCTTGTTCGCTGTCCTCGGTCCCTCTGAAAGAAAATCAACAAGACCCACATCAATACCATGCTCTCCGGCCACAGAAAGAACCTGAATCGGGGATGAAGAATGAATCTTTCTTAAACCATCAGCAGATCTGGACTGCCTCACGAAGCAGGCTCATGAACACAGAACTGCGATGTAATGTAATATATATACACTGAGATCTCAAAGCTTGCATACCACAAAGATGGACCAGGTACTCTATTGATTTCAGGTCTCTGTGGGCACCACATATTCATATCAAGAAACTTTCTTCTGATCTAAAGAGGACGACACAACATCATCACATTCGGATCAGATACTAGGATTCGATGTGAACAAGCTACTACAGGCCGGGACTGATCATGAACCATATGATCACAAGGAAAATGATGGATTTGATTGAAAAAGAGAGTGAATATAACAATGTTTTTTTAAATACAAAACCTATATTTAAAAAATAGCTTTCATCAAACAGGATAATATAAATAATATTTTTCCAAAAAAAAAAAAAAGGCTCCAACAGCAGCCCCTCCCTTCCCCCCTTTTTCCCTTTTTTCACCTCTTCTCTGCCTGCTGCCCCATCCCGTTACTTCCAGTTAGTGGGCTCAGATCTCAGAGGCAGCAGTGTGGAGGTGGCCACAGATCTCAGAGCCAGAGAGTCTGGAGGAAGAAGAAGAAAGGGGATAACAAAAGGAGAAAAGGAAGGAGAGAGAGACTGTAGTCGCAGCAGTGCCTGAAAATGATCGTTCAATGCCTCAGTTTTTTGTTCCATCCACTTTTCTCCCGTTCCTCCCTCCCCTGACCTTTCCTTTTTCTCCATCTGGAACAATAAGCGCAAAGAACCTGAAAACTATTGATTCTAATGGGTTGGATCTGCATCCCTAGCTAAGTTTCGACTTTACAAATCCATGGTTGACTCTCACCGAGGGTAAACCTTTTTTCAAATACATCCTACACATGGGATTGAGCTGAAGGTTAAAACCGTCCATGTTGATATTGGCCATGGAGTCTTTTAAATCAAACAAACATAAATCGCTAAAAATTAAAAAGAATGCTCGCCAATTAAAAGTTTTAGTCACAGCAACAACTTACTGGTGCAGGTTGCTGCATGATGGGAGTCCCGCCGGGAGCATTTGGGTCGCTACATTCAAGACAGAAACTTGCAGTTATGTAAAGGTACTGATTAGAATGAACAACAAGCGTTCTGTGAAACTACTACTTACCTCATGTAGTTTTGAAAGTATAGATCTTCACGAACTTTAGATGTCAGCTCCAGGACGAGCTCAGGGTGCTTAAGCTTTAGATGCTTATGGACAAACTCAGCACCATGAAAAAGCTTTGTGCAGCCCTTGGCTCCACAGCCATATTTCCAGCCGTATTTTTCATCCCTTATCTTCCTAACAAAAGGATCTAAAGCCTCAGCACCAGCGGCATCAATCTTCTCCTTGGCGGTCCTCGTTTCCAAAGGGTCATTCCCAGACAATCTTCCCCGCCAGAAAGTCTCAAGCTTCTTCTCCCATTCGGCCGCAGCCGGATTTGTAGCATCATAATTCTTAACATCAACTCTGACATGGCGTAGACCTTTAGCTTCGTTAGTCTCAGTCATGCCATAGTAGTCCACACCATGAACACGCCATAGATAGGTGATCAGAGTATCCAGTAGCTCAACACCTTCCAGGCCCTTGAAGGCCGTCAAACCGCGTATTATTATAATTGGTCCCGTTGATCCAGCGCGTGACCTCTCACCCTCCAGATTGTCACTATTGCTGGTAGACAGAACATTTTCTTCAATGCCCTTTTCGGCATCAAGTTTACGTATCAGAGACTGAGCCAATTCCACGTCAGACTGGATTCGCCGTGGTTCAGAACTCACTGGGTGTGCCTTTGGAGCTGAAGAGACGAGATCACTTTCTTTTGCAGGCCCTCGGCCATGCCTTCTTCTTTTCCCACCAGCATCAACTTCATCCTCAGAGTTTGGGTCACTACCATGTCCGGATTTATTCAATGAGGACGCTGTCAGCCCCGGACCACTGCACAAAAACGTAATAAGATCAACCCAAGAATTAAGCATCAATCTTTTACAAGAACCAAAGGACAAGTATCTCACATGTCCAATGTCCCACTATGCAAATCGAGCAGCAGCTCTTTCGCAACTGTCCTTGCATTTTCGTTTCTCCTGTGGAAGAAAGAAAGCAATAGGAAATGAAAACCAGGAACACAAGTAAAAAACCAACCTTACAGGATGAAGAAGTACTACAGACTACAAAGAAAGAAAAATTATTTCTAACGATGCATTATTTAAATAAAGCCACAAAAATACCGGGAAGGGTCAGGTATAGTTATTGCAGTACCAAATAAAAATTCTTGAAATTAATTTATCAGGTTGGTCAGAATATTCCTCTAGAAGTTTACCTAAATAACTCGCAAAACATTTTTCTTGGATCCCCGGTAGAGTATATACAAAATCACAATGTGACAAGTTTTATTGCTCTGGGTATCAGTTTTCATCAGAGACTTTGAATTATCCCCATCCCACCACTCTATTAGTTGACTAAGTTTTGCAAGGCAAAAACATGCAGACTAACAGCACAGCTTTCTATTAAAATGCAGATTTACAGCTCACCTCTCTATAACAGTGACTAAGTTTGTAGGATGATACTTATCCTTCAACCTATAACAAAAATGCATGAAAAAGTCAGTCAAGATATATATGGGAAGACAGGCTGAAATGAAAAAGAAAACGAGAATCACCAGTCTTCATCCTTGTGAGCTTCAAAAAAAGCACGTTTCTGGGTTGCAATATATTCTGATCTGTATTCCTCATATCTTGCAGATTAAAGACAACAAATTTAAAGGTAAATAATATCAGCCTACAATGGCATTGCAAAGCAGCATACAAGTGTAGACCATCGGTTCATAAAGAAAGAAAATAATGTAAAAAATGCAAAAAAGGATCAGAATATATTTCCAAACGCAAACTATTTGTCTGAACCAATTCTACACCCCCACCCCGACCCACTACCCACAGATCGAAAAGATCCCCATGCACACTGAACTGAGAATGCAAAACCAGGTTCACTAACTCAGCTCCATTTTATTAAAAATCAAATCGTACTCCTCAATAGAAAAAACCAGTAACTAGTAGTTTACCCTTTTACCTTCGGCGATATAGGGAGAAAGGTGTGGCATAATGCACCTCACTACTTGTTTCCCATCTCTATTCTCTCTATTTCTTTTTCTTCACACTCGAGCAGCATAATCCATTAAGAATACTAATGAATTCACAAATTAATATATGTGAAGGGAAAATAGAGCAACTAGAACCTGCGCTCTGCTTCTGCGGGCAATATATCATCTTCAAGCTCCTGAATAAATTGCTTATATGACATCAAACCTTCCCTGAAATAGATTGAAGTTATTCACAATGATACGGCATTAAACTAGTTCAACATGTAACTCAAATGTTAAGATAATGAAACAGGGAAGCACCTCACAAAAAGTAGATGTGTCACACAGAGTTAAAAGACAAAATTTGCAAACCAGACAATTCTGAGAGGATCATGTGTAGTTAGAGTACACACGTTCCTATGAATTTCCCAATATAATTAAGGCATAAAAAACTGGGGAGCATAGTAACATTAGGACAGGCGAATATTCAATGAAGATGCAAAACTTAGTAAGACCTAATGAGACAATAAGGATTATAGATTTTCAAAAAGGAAAATGTTGCATCGGAACTGTACATTAAAAATTTAATCCAAAAAGTTCAAATTGGTTCAAAGGCAAGAGTACAATGTAAATAAGTCCATAAGAACGCATGAGTAAGTTAGTTCAAATTGTTTTGAGATGGGACTTCAGACTTTAACCCGAAAGAGAAATAACAGTCTCGATCGAGAGAACTTTCATACACCTCATCATAAGTACCATCCACTGATAACTTGGATTAGGTACATGATTAGAGTCTCTACACCAGGCACGAACAGAGATGAACCCTAAGTTGTTTGGGGAAAAGTTTTTAAGCGTTGAAGGCGGTATGGTTTCTAGGTTACTTAGGATCAAATTCTGTAGGCAACACAAGAGAACTCGTCGCAACAAATTCATGGTTTCTTGCGGACACAGGACAAAGAAGTACAAACCACTAAGCACGACATGAAAAAGGACATAACCACGTCCATGTCTGTCTGACCTTTTGGTGAAGGTTTTCAAGGTCAACAAGGCAATCATGGCAGAAGGGCAATGGTCTGTGTTCCTCTCGCCCATTCAACTTTTAAGTTTTAAAAGTTAATATGTTAATATTTATAGAATATTTAAGTGAATATTTTCTATTATGATTATGATTTGTCTCTTATAGTTCATTCGTACTTAGATAGTTTTCAAGGTACCAGAAATTTAGATGATTCAAAAATTCAAGAAAAAAATATCTACTGTTTTCAGTTTGAAAAACCCGCATTGCAAGTTTGCCTCAACTGGATGCAAAATGGATGTCCGTTCCATTGCTCGGGTAAAACAAAGGCATCTGTCAACGTGCATTGTCAGTAAAAGCGTAAACATGGAATGTGTCCATTGAACGGCAACACAAACATTGAATTAAGGAAATGCCCCGACGTCCCAATTGGGCTGCTTGAATAAAACAAACCTGTCTTGGGAAAGATGCCAACAACAGAAAACTTGACATCTGAGAACAACGGTCCCAAATCCCGCGGAATAAATAGCAAGAGAAACAAGGGGGAAGATGAAAAAATGACTTAAAGCACGAGTTGAGGGATCTTATTCTCGAAAAAAATAAGAAAACAAGATGGGAAATGGTGTCATCTTTGGCATGACAGACAGGCTTAACTACATCAACCTTGCCAATATTAATGACTTATAACTCTTTTCCTAAAAGCCAAGAGCAAACCGCGGTCAACCTAAAGTGTGGTTAACCTAAGCATGGTAAACTATTGACTTGTTTAACCAAATTACAGGAGAAATTACTATTCCCTATGAATAAAAATCGGCATTACAAATCAAGCTAATTCAGCCCAGGACTGAAAAGACTAAAAATCGGCATTTACAAAGTTATAGCCATATCCTTCAGATAAAAAATCACCAAATTAGTGCAATCTTCATTGGATCATATCTGATCAATCCAACAGCCAAGTCCTGTTCCTGTTCAGATGACCATGTGAAGACTAAGAACTTCTGGGAAACTTTCAGCCCAAAATATTGAGAGCCTCTTTTTGGGAGCAGAGAAACAGAGCGAAAAGAGACTGGCCAGGTTATTTTATCTTTTCTCAAACCAAGTTTACAATTAGTGCAAACTTGTGGGAAGAAAGGCATGAAATCCCTACAGTTCCATTCTAGGACTTGTCATAACAATATAGCCAATAGACTAAAAAAACCGCTGAAGAACAAGAAAAAATATACTTGTAGATAAGCTAGCTAGCAACGTTCAGATCTAAATAAAGGAACGAAACGTACCCACCCTCCTTCATTTCCATCCAATGTTGCCTTGATCTTAAATCTTGTTAAGTCACAAGATGTATGCCTCAAAGATTTAGAGTTGAAACAAACCCACAAAAGTTCATCTATGGGTTAAATATAAAACAACTTATCACGGATCCACCAAAAAGACAAAAAGATAAGTTTTTTTTTCAAAATAAATAAATAAAATTTAGTACAAAAACTTACGTTAAAGCTGCCATATAGAAAATTTGGGTTTTTGGAATCCTACACTAATTGAAATCTAGCCCACGTAAAAACTCTTAAATTTAATAGAACTACTGGTTTCTTGGTTTGCAGTTCAAACATGAAAATACAACAGGCCATTGAACCAGAGTGATTTATGCACGACACTGATCATTTTCCTCACATACCAAGACATTGTTTTGTGGTCATTTCAGATCACACAGTACAATAATTTACGATTTAGAATACTTGTGAGCGTGCACTTCTGAAGCATGAGCAATCAAGTTACGATTATATTACCGTTAACAATCTATTGAAATTAGAGTCACAATGGCAATCTATGTTTTCTCACATAATAGCAACCTAAACAAGAGGTGTTCGTTACATACCAATACAAATTAACTACGTTGGTTCAAGGTGTTAAACATAGGACAAAAAGGTAAAGCTGAATTATTTATCAAGGTATCCCAAGCATTCAGAGAAATTGAAATCAACAGAAACAGAAGGTTAAAAAAAACAGAAACTGAACAAATACAATACACAGAAACAGCAAGGTGCACCAAATGCTAAGTAGCTAACCTTTGACCACCGTCCCTAAGGCTAGCTCGTCCAGATTCAGACCACTCTGCAGAAAATTTGAATGAAAAGCTCCGCCTCAGATAAAAGAATATATTCAATAATCATCAATATCGACAAGTGAGCGCAATATGTCAACTGGAAAGGTAAAAGTTAAACTGTCTTTATGTGGACGCGACAGTGACTCGTCACAATATTACAGTGCGCTCGGATAATCTCCACACAACTTATGTCACAGCTCACATTTTAGCCAAAAATGAGCACTCGAACTAAAATAATAAGTCTATCAACCCAAGCAATTCTGGCCCACGACATCTGCAAGTATTAGGCCAACCATTATCCAAAGAGAGGATTTTCTGTGTAACACAGGCAATCTTGATTTTTCAAAGTTCTTGTTAACAACAGGTTGGCAACATGGCAGATCTTTATTGGACAAAGCATTATGTAGACCCCAACAGGTTGGCAACTTTGCGAAAGTTAGAATTCCATACATTTGTTCAATACTTGAAAATTAGAACCCAACAAGTATCAACGTGGTTGGCGTGCACATCGGGGATACAGATGAGTCAACATGGCGCATTTAAAGTTCCATTCAGACTATTTAAAAAACATTAAAAAATGGATTTTCAGTAATGTTTTTCTTTCTTTTTAAAGGCAAGCTTACAATGGCATTTCCGAAAATTGGAACACCAAATTCTCTGTTGTTGACAGTAAAGATGAGTACCACTGAAAAAACTCCAAAAAAAAAAAAAAGGAATTGTAAACATCGCTCAATATGGTTCCCTCATTTTAAACATGTGAAGCAGACATATAACTGTAAAACCAAAAAATTAAAGCCATTTAAACAAGAATATAAATACATACAACAGAATGACAAAGTCATCAACGTCAAATAACATCATCAATGTCGACATCTGAAGGAAGAGATACCCTAATAACTAAAACCAAGGTGAAATTTAACAGGAAGTCAATGATAAAATGGGTAATCACCTGATGTCCGATAACGGGCATGCATCCTTTCATCAGCATAACCAGGCCTACCTCCAGGTCCACCTCTGTCATAACCACCGACATAATCATAACTAAGCCTGAAAGAAAAAAAATATCATTTCGGAGGTAAAATCAAAAGAATGGACGGAAGAAACGAAAAGGACAGCCAGATATAAATACTGTAATCAATCATGTCTTTTCTTCGCCACCAAGTCTATTAATTAAAACAAGCGTGAATATTAAGGTCAGCTGGAGACATTCTGTTCATTTCCAGACTACCATCTTCACGAGAAAGAAATAGCCAAAGGTGCCTGAGAAACAACAGTTCGTAACTTATTATAGCCAGAGAGATAGGCAGTAGTCCTGATAAAAAATCTTAAAGGCACAGGCCTCACGTAAAGTTCACAATAGTCAGTGAAAAAATTAAGCCAAATGTAATTCACAAAGCCCATCCAAGTCCGTGAAAAAATTAAGCCAAATGTGAAATATGTAGATAACTCCCAGCAATAATACAGATTTGATAAGCCCAGTGTTTCTAGCTTTATTGCGCACCCACAGAGCCGCCCATCCTCTGACGCAATGAGCCATGAAGCACATGTCACCATTCCTTTGTGGCATACATACCGACTATAATGCAGTGGACACGACAAGCTCGCACTAAGAAGCAAAAACTCAGATTCCGCCCCTCGAGTGTCAAGAATGCGTGTGAACAAGCAGACGACTCGAGGGTAGCTTTCAGGACTTTTCAGTGATAATCTGATTACCCTGCCATGGAACAGGCGCATCTCGTATGGCTATTTTGAGCCTACTCGTGACCACTACATCCTTCAAGTTTTTGCTCAGCGGCTATTGCGCTCTATTTGTAATGATTACAGGTAAAAATACGAAAATGGCTAGGCGAAGACCTGATTTCTGCAGTTAATAGATAAACTAACCATTCATCATCGTCAGAGAGCTCACCTCCTTTCATCAAATCCACCCCGAGGACTACCGCGGCGCTTGTCGTACCCACCATCGTCCCTCCGAGACCGCTTAAACTGCCCCGGCGGAGGGGACCTCCGAGGTGGAGAGTGACGGCGGTCGCGGTACGCCGGAGGACTGGGGCTGCTCCTCCTGCGGTACTCCCTGTCCCCCCTCGACGACCCCGCAGCCGCCACAGGTGGCCCCGGCGGAGGAGGGGGAGGCAAAGGGAGACCAGGGGACCTGTTCCTTGAATCGTGGTAGTCATCCCTCCGGTTCGCCGGGCGGTCGACGTCCCTGTCTTCCCTCCTGTCTCTTGTAAAATCCTTCTCCCTCCTCCTGGCTGGCGGAGGCGGCGGCGACTCCTCCGGCTGCGTCCTCTCCCTCTTGTCCGGCTGCCGGTCGCGGCGGCGATCCATGGCCTCTACAGGCATGTCCATGACATCCGCCATGCGAGGACCGGCGCCTAACTGCAGAAACCAGCAATCGAGGCCGAAATCTCCGAGATAAACTCCGGCGAGACGCAACCTAAAGGCGGAGATCGATCGGACAGAGAATCGCTGAAGAGAGAGGGAGAGAGAAACAGAAAACCTAGCGGACACAGAACAGGAACAAGGGGACCTTCTTTCCCCGGACGGCTCCCCTGGTTGCTTGCCACTATGCTTGGATACTTCTATCCATCGGAACGGCCCACAACCAGGAAAACAGATGTTTAATTGGATGTGGCCCAATAATATCTTTCCAGATAGGCCAATTAGTCAAGCCCAACATTTCCACCCAATAACGGGTACGGCCCATTATGAGCAGAACATCTACTTGTAAGGCCCGTATCATCGGGCCCGAGTGTGAGTGACGGGCTATCCAGGGGCCCAAATGGGCCCATATGGTGCAGTCATATGGTGCCCTGAGTATGAATGGAATTATCAACTTTTAACGGTATTTAATTATTTCTCATAAAATCAAGGGCCTAACGAAAATATTCACGGAATAAACTTGCCGGTTGACGCTGAGAGGGACAAAATAGGCATTTCGAAAAGTTTTGAAAAGTTACAGAGACGAAGTGAACGAGGAAGAAGGACGGTTGAGGTCGGAAAGAAGGGGTTGCTCTCTCGTCAGATCGGGGCAGCGGGCGTCCATGGCGACGCGGGCGGCGATGGATCGGAGGAAACCGCGAGGGATCCACAGGTCTCCTCCGAGGTCGCCAGCGATGGCGTCTTCTTCTTCCTCCTCGGCGGAGACGTTGAGATCGAGGGCTCTTGTGGAGATTCTCTGGTTCTTGAGTCTTCTCTGCCAGGGAGCGTCGGATTCAGCACTCCTCTTGCTGCCCGTCGCGAGGACGAAGATGGCCTGAGACGAGGTGACGGACCTTCCGCATCGGCCCCTCGCCCCTCCGTTTTCAAACATCTCCGCGAGGAATTTCAAGAAATCGGCGTCCGCCCGGTGGATCTCCTCGACGGAGACAACGCAACCGGGGTCCTTCCTCAGAGCCTCCACGATCATCTCAGAATGTGAGCTGATCTGAGGTTTCCCTAGGTTTACTTGGGTGAGACGATCTGCGGAGCCGCAAATGGACTGTGCAATCGCCACCGGTAGCCTTCTCTTTGCGACGCCGTCGTTCCCCTCCACCAGCAACCAAGCTCCCTTCCTCCCGTTCAATCTCTGGTTCAGAAGCGCCTCCGCGACGGATCTCACGGTCTCAGATTGCCAGGGGATGCTCTCCCTCAGGCTTTGCCACAGATCGAACTGGTCGGTTGCCGTCCTGAACCCTAAACCCACCGGCGCCTGGCATCCCCCATTTCCCTTCACCGACTGCGCCAGGAGGCTGGAACTCCCGCCGCCGGGTTTAGCGATCGAGTCGGCGAATGGAGAAGGGCTCGAAACTGTGGAGAGGCTCTGGTTCTGGTTCTTCCACGGCAGGCTTGGACTGAATAGGGGCTGGTTCTGGTCACGGTCGAGGTTTTGGCACCACATCATGGTCCATCTCCTCCTCAGCTCAGCCACAGCACCCTGGAATTTGCGGGAAGACCCTCGGTGAGATCGAAGAGAGCTTCCCGGATCATAGAATCGGAGGAGGAAGGAGAACAACGCACTCACCTCTTGATGGGCGCCTGGTCTCTGCGATTTCAACCAGAAGGGCAGGGTCGAAGAACTATCCTCGTGCTCGTCCGAGTCGAGATGGAGCGGCGGAGCTGCTGCGCCGTGGCGGCCGAGCTTGAACATCGACACCTCCCCCTCGACGCCGGAAGAGCTCTCATCCCCGCAGATCAGCTCGCGCTGTTGTTCTTCAGCCGGATGGAGGGGATCCCGCGACACCCTCGAATCCCGGGCGCTGCAACAGGTGATCAGAGATCATGGAACATGAACATCTTCCGGTAAGAAAAAAAACCAGATCTTGGATTCTCTTACAACTGGGTTTTCTCTACTGTTCGAGCATTAAATATCCAGAAATAGAATGGGGTGTTTTATTTATTTATTTTTTTACCTAAAATCGTGTACGAGTATGGATGGGTTTCTAAAGAGCGTGGGCTTCGTCACAGAGGCGACACTTTGGCCAGAACGAGGAGCTAAGAAAATGACAGTCCTGCATGGACAGCGAGGTTTCCTCCCTCCTTCGGTGACGGCGGGTCTCGAAACCCACATGACTCGGAGAGGGCAAGAGAAGAGGAACCAGAGCAGAAAAGGCGGTGCCTCATATACACTAGTGGCAAAGCAGAGATATTGACACATCGAGGAAACACAGTAGAGAGAGAGACAGACAGACAGAGACAGAGAGAGAGATGGACTCACCTTTGAGCATGGAGGCTGAGAGCAAGCCCATCTGAGGGGACAAACACTGGTTGCATTGCCCACTGGGACTCGAAGGAAGGCCGCCTCGTCTTGCACCTCATGTAGGTCTGGTAATTGGCGGTGGCCACGAGCCAGATTCTGGTTCTGCTTCTCGCTTCGAGCTCCGCCACCAACCTCGCCAACTCCGCCACCAGATGGTCTGCTGCTTCCGCTTCTGCGACCGTCGTCTCGTCGCCGGCGGCCCATCGGAGGTCGCCCACGTAGATGACGACAACGCCGCTCCACGGGAGCACGGCGTCGACCTTCGTCCTCAAGTGGGAGACCGTCGTCTCCGCCTCGCCCCTGTTCATGAGCGTCGAGCTGGCTGGAGAGAGCTGGAAGTTGACAAACTGCGCCAATCGGAGCTCCTCCCGGACCTTCCCCCTCCTCACCCTGGACATCAGCCCCCCCACCAGCCCCTCGCAGTAGGAGAGAGAGTCCCCCACCACGACGGCGTTGCTCTTCTTCCTGTTCCTCCGCCCCAGGAGGGCCTCCGTCAGAAGCTCGACGTCCTCCTCCTCCTGAGGAGAGGAAGGAGGGCAGAAGCTGCTCGGGTTGACGATGGTTTCTGGCCGACGGCGGTGGCCGTCGAGGAAGAAGGTGGAGGAAGGGTGGGCGGCGCCCCGGTCTTCGATAGCCTTCTTGACGCAGGTGCTGGAGAAGCCGGCCTCCCGCATGACCCGGCTCACGCCGGGGTCGTCGAGGATGGAGATGACGAGCTGCTCCAGCTCCACCTTGACGGGCAGCAGCGGCGGAGACTGCGGCGGCGCCGGCTGGTGGTGGTGGTTGTGCTGGTCGGCGCCGCCACGGCGCTGGTGGGCCTGGGCGCGCTTGAGGGCTGCGACAAGGGCGTTGGAGAGGGCGGGGTGGTCGGAGGAGGGCGGCGGAATGGTGGGGAGGCGGTTGAGGGCGACGGTGAAGCAGAGCTCGAGGGCTCGGCAGTGGAGCGGGTGGGGGGAGTCGCGGTGGAGTGGGTGGGACCTGAGGCAGGCCCGCCGGAACAGAGCGGCGCCGCCGCCCTCCCGTGTGGAACTCAGCAGGGCGGCCCCCACATGCAGCGGCGTCACCTGCGCGTGGCCCCTCCGCCTGGCCAGGCCCAGCGCCTGCCTCAGCACCGCCGCCGCGTCGCCGCTGAGCGCCTGTTGCACCGTCCAGCCTCCCGTTCGCATCCCTCCCTCCCTCTCTCTCTCACACCCTTTTTCTTCTTCTTCTCCTTCCTCGCTCTCTTCTCTCCTCCCTTCGTTTGACCAGAAAAGCCCCGCCCTCCCCTCTGTACCCCCTATTATCTCGTCTCTCGGAACTGTCGCTTTAACACCACCTCTCTCTCTCTCTCTCTCTCTCTCTCTCTCTCTCTCTCTCTCTCTCGGGAATCCGTTTTATCTCAGACGATCGACAAAAGCTGCAGCTTGAAGAGATCTCAAGCAGAGGCTCGTATGCGTCATTATTCCGAAATTAGTGGGATATTATACTCTGCGAGCGCTTTCAGAAAGGTGGCGAGGGGAAAGCGGGAAGCCTAAACCAGATCAGAGTGGGAGGAGGAGGAGGCTCGAGGGAGGACGATGACGCAATGAGAGGAGGCAGAGGAATCAGAGGATAAAGGGGGAGATGCCTCATCGTCTGCTGCTTTCGATGTTTATGCTCGTATATTTGGTCGGGAGACCTTTTCTCCCGACGGGCCGGCTTCCATTTTTATATCCTCTCCTGCTGCTGTCGGGCTACGTGACGGAGAGCTGCCATTGCCGCGGGCTTTCCACATTAGAAAAAAGAAGGATAGAGAGAGAAAGATAGAGAGAGAGAGAGAGACAGAGAGAGGCAACTCTCTCTCTCTCTCCCTGCCCCTGTAGGCTTCGTTAGCACGGGTGTTCTTCCTAGTCTTTATCTCACTCAAATCGACTCTCTCTCTCTCTCTCTCCCTCTCTCCTAACCGAGCTCATGAGAACGGGCATTCTTCGCCTCTCTCTAATCATCTCCCTCTCTCTCCCGTCATCTGCTTGCGAGCCCGACTTTTTGACCGGCAGTAACTTTACGCCGTTGGAAGCCCATGGGAGGGAAGACCCGCTTGAGCTCCATGGGTGACTCCTCCGAGCTCGGCTGAGAGCTCTCTGGGAGCCACCAGAGGACGAGGAGGGCCCTCTGAGTTTGAGAAATTCCCCATCTTCTTCATCATTGCATGCAGAAAGCAAATTAAAAAAACAAAAAAGTTCCCGCTTGAAGAAGGAGAGAGAAGCCCAAGGCCCCCCCCGTTCGATCAACGGGGGAGGATGGAAAGGTCCGGTCTTTCCACCGCCGCCCGAATCCCGACGATGTCCCCCGTTCCCCGTCGTCGTCGCAGCCTTCCGCCATGGCCGGCCTTCTTCCTCCTCGGTCACCGCAAAGGCCGAGGAGAGTGTACGAGCGTGGGCCTTCTCCTGCCTCCCCCCGACATTCCCCTCGGCGCCGCCGACTAGCGAGCTCCGGCAACGAAGCACGGGCGCGCCGCCGATCGATCCTCCGCCGCCCACCGGACTGGCCCTCGCAGTCTCACCCCCCACACAGAGGAAGATAGTGAGAGAGAGAGACAGAGAGATAGAGAGAGAGAGAGAGACAGAGAGAGAGAGGGAGGGAGGGTGGCATGTTGGGAGAGGTCTGAGACTATCATCGGGAGGGGTTGGAGGAGGCCAAAGGAGGTGAGGGAAAAAGTTCGCTTTACGTTCCTTTTCCGGAGGAATTGAAGAGAGAGAGGGAGAGAGAGAGAGAGAGAGCCCTAGAAAACAAAAAGAGAAACCCGAGTGGGCAGGCAGTAAAGCGATTCTGAGCCTCAAGAGATGATGTTCGACCGAAGCCTTGGCCTCGTGGGAGACCAATCCTGAGGAGGATCTCTCTCTCTCTCTCTCTCTCTCTCTCTCTCGCTCTCTGCATGGCGTCTAGAACAAGCGGTGGAAGGCAGGCGAGTCCATGACGATGAGCCTCAGTGCCTTTCTGCTTGGAGATCCAATCTTGTTAGGCCCAACAGGGCAGAGTTGGGCATGTTGTGGCCCTAAATGGGCCTTCTCGGTCAGTCTGAACGGCATCGTATGGCCCAATAATATGATCTAAAAGCCCATTGGACTAGCGTCGTCAAGCCAAACTTCCAACTTTCCGTAGAAATCCCACTCCTGCTGCTGCTGCCGCTGCTCTCTCTCTCTCTCTCTCTCTCTCTCTCTCTCTCTCTCTCTACTGTTCGCCTCTGAATGGCAGCAGTGGTCGGACTAGTGTGGAGAGCAGAGAGAGAGAGAGAGGGAGAATGGGGCTCTTCCTCGCGCGTTAGCTCCATCGGTCCAGGGGCTTTTGGAGATGGGTTTTGGCGTGTTACTGAGGAGGCCTCGGGGAGAGGAAGGCCAGGAATCGGTTCAGAGGAGGCGGCGAGGGGGGAAGCCCCTTCGGCTGCCGGGCTCTCTGCACTAGAGGGAGAAACAGAGAGATGGAGAGAGGACGGAGCGTCTTCCTCCTCCAGGGGGAAGGACGTAGCGCGCTGGAAGGCTTCACCACCACTGCCTCTGCCTCTGTCTCTGTCTCTCTCCTTCTAGCTCTCCCTCGAGGCGACAAATGGCGGTGGAGGGGGAGGGGGGAGGGTGTTCTTCTCAGTAGGGGCAGCGAGTTGTCGCAGTCGCCGGTAGGCTGGTGCCATCGCAACCGACTGTGAGGACGGGGAGGCGTAGAGCAGGAGGATCTCGCGACCAGTTGCCCTGTGCGTCTGCTTCTCATACTAGAGCAGAACAAAACCAGCTGCTGCTGCACTGCCCCCCCCCTCTCTTCCTGCCTGCATCTCCCCGGCAAAACGGTTCCTCTCTCTCTCTCTCTTGAAAAGGCAGGACGGCGAAGGAGGCAGCGTTGTCGGAGTCTTACATCGAATAGGGGACCGGCCATAGGGCTCGACGAGGGCGCAGGGGGCAGCGTCTGATGAGGGAGAAGCAGAGAGAGAGAGAGGGCGTCTGATGAGGGAGAGAGAGAGAGGGCCCTCTCTCTCTCTCGATCGTCCGACGAAGGCGTCTGCCGCAAAGAGATGAGCGAGCGTACGGAGCAAGATCCCAGCCTCGGCCCGGAGGTTCACGAAGGTACACTTTCTGTCTCGACGACCGCAGCTTTCCCTCCTCTGACGTATGTACGTCGTACGCAAGCGCCCCACTTTCTCTCTCTCTCTTTCACTATTTCATTGTGTTCACATTATCTTGTTCAGAATTTTCCTTTGACAGGGACTGAGTATCTCAGACAAAAAATATTAATTTTTCGATTTTAAAAAATATTAATTTTGTTCACATCATCTTCGGCCAAGTATATGAAGTCTTCTCAAATGTAACAAACAAAAATATGAAAATTATAAAATTCGAGGAAATAGTAACAGGCGACTACATTAAGACAGAAAAATGCTAAAACACGAAGAAATAAATTATAAACTAAAACATTAAAAGAGACAATCAAAGAAGATGTCCCTGCGTGATTAACAGATCACATAAATCTTGGTAGAACAAATACGCAAAGATATTTAGAAAAAATGAAAAAAAATACAATGTCTGCTTTGACAATATGTGTAACAAATAATGGAGAGAAAAACGGAGGAAACTAAGTATGAAGGCAGAGGCAGAAAAAAATTAATTAGTTTTTAATAATATAAATATTTGTGGGAAATGGAGATTTCTACAGGCAATCACATTATTTACATGATGCATAAAATATTCAACAGAAAGTACACTGAAAGAGAATAAATCTACAATTTATATAATTTTGCATCACTGTGGACCTCCTCCGTATGTGCTCGTCTAAGATGGGTAAGCATCAATGAAAAAAAACTAGATTAAAAAGAGCATGTACATATATGCTAACCTCAAACCTCATAAAACTGTACTGAATATGATTATGAGAAAACAGTGACTGTGATAAATGTTCCAGCTTGTGGAATTCAGACGTGTAGCATTCTCGGGAATGTTCTTGCTCTCAGCAACATACGGTAGGAAGAACTGTATGAAAATATTTATCATCAAAAATTTTGTAGGATTAATTGGGCAGGAATTCAGATATATGTCAAAATTATTGAGACTACCGCATAAGTAATTTTACATAATATTATCCAGTAAAAATGTAAAATGCGAAAAGAGGGAAAAAAAAAAATCGACCAAAGATGTGGGTACATTATTATGTGCCCTGTAATCCCCCGAGACTCGAGAAAACTCTAGAATGCTTTACAAGTGGCAACCAATTCCCCATCGACATCTCGATGTGATACGGCCCTTTGCAAGGGCCCAGTGGAAGATGCTCAAATTACTTGTAAGCGATCGCACCCACCACAAAGTTTTCACAAGCAACTGATGACGGTATTCAGACATGGAATACAGAGAGAAGGCGTGCTCTAAAACACACGTTGACTTCGTAAGTCAACCGAGGATGTATTCTGTCACTCGGACTCAATCTGTTTGTGCCGCAGCCCCACGGTAGCAGGGTTGATGCTCCTTACCAAACTAAATGGCGGTGGTCGTGAAGGAGAGAGTTGGTCTCGATGAGAGCTTCACACCTCGCGGTGTCGACACCTCTCGGCTATCGAAGTTCTCAGTTCAAGGTCACTTAGTAAAAAAAGTTGGAAGCTCACGGGTGAGGATAAGACGCTCGACTTCATCGGATTTTTCAAAGTGATGTTAGAGGCGAAGTGTGATGCCTTGGGGAAGGCCGCATCACAATAAGAACCAAGTCATGAACATCAGGAACCGAAAACTAAGGCGGGAGCTGAATCAAATTTGGTTGAAGTCATGGCACGTTACATGGCTAGCAAATCCCCAAATGCCTTCGAAAAACGTGAAGTATTTACAAGCATGAAAATGTTGAGGAACAAAATTTTCATGACTAGTCACTGTGTCCGCAGACTCGAAATTTTTAAAAACATGTAAATAATTCGATTTTGGAGAAGACAGCGCATTACGAATTTCATCGAGTGCCTACCTAAGTACAACAACAAATCTTATGATGGAGCTAAAATCGTTTTGAGTGCCGAGAGCCCCGATTCACGATCAGTCGTTAAATACGGCGCTAGAATGCAAACTTCAAATCAAGGTAGGTAGAAATAATGAAAATGTGGCATTCGGAACCAGAATCTATACATAGCATATGTATAAGATCAGCCATTTCCCCGTGAAAAATGCTCGGAAAATCTGAATCACAATGCCTAGAAGTGATTCAGAGGCACAAAATGTAACGTGGTCTTCGAATCTCACTCTATGGAGCTCCGACGCAGGGAGAAAATATGAGCCGGAAACAGATGAAGCCATCTCTCTACGTCTGTCGAAACCCCTCCGCCATCCGCTCTCCCAGCGAGGCTTCCCTAACCCTACCGGCGTCGCCCCTCTCTCTCTCCCTATCTGATCGGAGACTTCGGCGGAGGTGAGGGGATCGAAGACCAAACGTCCCGATCCACTCAGAGAGGTTGGAAGGGGAGTGAGCACAACTGCCCCCAGGCCAGAGGTCGGAAGGCGATAATCTCTGGAAGGTTCGAAAACGGTTACGGGATTTCCAATTTATTACCATTAAACCTATTAAATATGTATAATTCATTCGCCACGCTGACGATGAGGGGGGCCCGAGCGCGGCCGGTTCACGGCTGGCGGATGGGAAGCGATTGCTACGTGTCAAACATCAACGAATCGGGTCACACGGGTGTCACGCGTATGAGGAGACTAGAGCGTCTAGAAATCGCACGCGCCGTTTTGGCCGATCCCAGGTTTTATTCACACACGTGGTGGAAATAAACCTGTCTGTGGCCTGGTATCGGATGTCAACGCGGTATGAGAGACTTTTCGTGGGGTCCAGTGGGAAGCCAGATATCGCGAAAATCCGATTCCGGCAATCAGTCAATGAGCGTCTTACCCGCGTGGGTTGCTGTCCGACCGTATAAGTATTCCCACCCTTCTTCGCCTTCCCCACTCCCTCGCCGTCACTTCTCCGCTTAGCTTCCAGCACCAGCACCTCCTCCGAATTCGACATGGATCCCTTCGGTGGAAGCGGCTTTGACGACCAATGGGACACGCCGTTTTTCTTCGACACCGACGACCTCGACAGGTCTCTCTCTCTCTCTCTCTCTCTCTCTCTCTCTCTCTCTCTCTCGCTCTATATATATATATATATATTAATGAGCCGGTTGGTTCTGAAGCAGCTGGGGGTTTGAGGATGCTCTGTCCGGGTACTACGACTCGAGCTCCCCGGACGGAATTGCGAGCTCCTCAGCGGCGAAGAAGAGCATCGCCCAGGAGAGAGAGCGGAGGAAGAAGTTCAACGAGAAGCTGTACACTCTGCGGAGCCTGGTTCCCAGCATCACCAAGGTGAGAGATTGCCGCTGATCCAAAACGGTCGCCGTAGGGATCTCAATTGCACCGCGGCTTGAACCCTGATGGGCTCTGCAGATGGACAAGGCCTCCATCGTCAAGGACGCCATCGACTACATCGTGGAGCTTCAGGAGGAGGAGAGGAGGCTCCTCACCGAGATATCGGAGCTCGAGCAGGAGAATAATGGCAAGAGGAGGAACGACCCGGGGCGGTGCGACCCGGCGAATCAGGCAGCGGGGAAGCGGCCGCGGCTGTCGCCGGGAACCCAGTCACAGATGGGGTCTCCGATCAACGTGATGGAAGTGAGCTCTCTCTCTCTCTCTCTCTCTAAGAACCTGGGGTTTGAACTGGGCTTGTGCCGTCTCCGAGGAATCAATCGCTCATTCGTGACTCGGTGCTTCCTCCGCCTTCAGCTCCAGGTGAGCGACGTGGGGGACGAGGCCTGCGTCGTGAGCATCACTTGCAGCCGGAAGAGGAACACCATGACCCGCCTATGCCAGGCCCTCGAGCTCCTCCCCCTGGACATACTCGCCGCCAACATCACCTCCTTCTCCGGCAAAGTCCTCCACACATTGCTGCTCGAGGTCACTCCTCTCTCTCTCTCTCTCTCTCTCTCTCTCCTCGCAGTCTCATATCGGAAAACTACAGGGGGGGACCGAATTTTGGCGGCGCGCGGGATGTGACGAATATAATTAGTATGCGGCGGCGAGAGACTGGATATAGCCGCAGCCCCTTTCCTTTAGAAGAAAAAACTCCAACTTTATATTGATGGTGGTAATTTCCTGCGGTGCAGACCCATGGGGTTAGTGGGACCCACATGAAGGAGACGATAAACGCAGCGCTCACCGGGCTGTGACCAACCAGCTTTCGAAGCCGCCGGGGCACGTGCGGCAGTATCTTCACACGCTTGCCTTATTCTTTTCTTTATAAAGTATATCTCCATAATTCGGTTTAGGCTTATCTTAACGGCGGACAACCGCCATGTGCTTGAATGAAAGGCCGCGGTCTTAACACGTAAACTATTGATGTTCAATTCCCAACGTGCTCGATTGTTTCCGATTTCCTGCGGGCGATTTGATGCGCCGCCTTTCTGGGCACGTGTTAAATGCGTGACTTTCCCGAGTCGTCGCCCCTCATGGGCCTCCTCATCTTTTTGGGCTTTTATAATGGGCTCGGGATGAGCGGGCCCACTAAAGCCCATTAAAAGAGCCACAAACGTCTTGACTTGGGGTCTAAATGGGTCGGGTACAGCAAGCCTTGACCATACCAAATATGGGTTTTTGGGCTTTTAGGTTGGGCCGTACTAAAGCCTTGACCTGGCCCAAATTATATCGGCTTCACCGGGGGCAAGGCCCGCATTATGAGGTCCAAATATGGGGAAAAACTAACCAAATAAGGGCTCATCGGCGTCCCTAGTTTTCGACACGTCAGCTTTTTATTTTTTTTATTAAAATAATATACAATTATTAATCAATTAATATGTATTTAAAAATCCTTCTTTGCCGCGGCCCGGTCCCGGTCCCGGTCCCAGTCCCGGTTCGTCTTCATATAGAGCGGTCCGGGCCGGCCCGACGACGTTCATTGTGAAACAGATGACAAGACCGTGAGAAATGAACGAGAAATGTTTTCCTCGTCCGCCGTTAAGGGACGGAAGAGCCTGCCACCAGATCTGTGCGGGAAATCTATAACAATTAAACTGCTCTCTCTCTCTCTCTCTCTCTACACCTTCCTCCAAACGGGGAAGCGACCGACGGGGAGAAGACGAGGACGAAGAGGAAGACGAAGGAGGAAGTTAGGGGGAATCGGAGCGGCGTCTCTCCCCATCCGGTTTCTACAGGAGTAATCCCTGCGAAGAGGAGGTTCAGTTTGCTTGGTTCTTATATTTAATTTCTATGACTTTTTCCCCAGAGATCTGTGTTTTTCCGCATCCGAATCTTAGGGTTCTGAGAGCTGCTCCCTTGTTTTTATCCGCGAACGGAGTGGATTCTGATTGGATCAGTCTTTTTGTTGCCTGAGTCTGATGGTTTTGGAAAATTGGTAGGTCTGTGTCCGAGGAAGATTGAGGACGGTTCGGGTTGTCGATGAGGATGGAAGGCCATTGATCTGTGGATCCTGTTTGGCCCCTCAGTGGGGATTCGATGGAGAGGAACAAGAACAGGACTGATCTTCTCGCAGCCGGTCGGAAGAAGGTTCTTCCCCGTTTCCGATTCGTGCTTCTGAAATGCCTCCTTCTCGTATCTTTAAGCTTCTGCAACTCGTGTTGTTGATATTGCATGTTAACCTTTTTCCATTTTCTTATTCTCTCCCTACGACAATCCAGCTACAGCAATTCAGGCAAAAGAAGGATCACAAGTCTTCCAACAATAGAACCAGCAGCCAAGTGAAGTCTTCCGAAGGGGCTGGAAAGCATGAAGAGGACGAGAATGCCGAAATTATTCCCCACGTATCTTTAGCTGGCCTCGAGTCAGTGGAGTCATCGTCCGAAGTGAACACCATAGAGGCTGATACAGTGATAGGTGCTCAGGTGGTGCTGCCAGTCACAGAACTGCCGGTCACTTTACCCGAAGGTGATTCTGGAATGACCATCGGACAAGAACACACGCCTGATGGGTCCTCATCGTCAACCATGGCTTACGGAACGAGTGGAAACGTGGAGGAGCTGAAGGATTCTGGAGATCCTACAGATCCATCATCCGAGGATAGGGCCAGGTGGCCTTGTCAGACGTCTAACCAGGTAGGAGTGAAAACTTTTCATTGAAGGAGCAGTGAGGAGTAGACTAGGGAGGGTCATTGGATTTAATGTATAATTTAATTCTCATTTGATGATGCTTAGGGGCAATGCAGGATCCTGGCACTTCAGGAGTGGAACTATGCAACGGGAGTTCTGAAAATCTTCCTGGAAGTTGTGAAATTGAGATTTCAAAAAGTGAAAGAGATGAAGACAGTGAAATTACGTCTAATGCATATGTTCCAACGCTTGAACTTCAAGATGGAGGAAAAGCAGACGTTCCAACGTTCACAGGTCCCAGAGTTGTGGGAATCGAGGAGGCAAATTCTATGCCTCTTCCACTTTTAGAAGAGGCTAAGCAGGTGGATGAAGACACTTCCACGTCAGAAAGTGTGGGCGCTGATACTATTTGTAGTCATGGAATTGGTACAGATCAAGTTGTTGGTCAATTGACGACGATGGAGATTTTAAAGGACGAACCATTTATTTCGTCACAGAATCATGTCGTGGTCGTACATGAGATGAGTAAAGATGTCGGTGTCTGTGTTAATCCTGGAGATGAAACTCAGGTGTCACATGCTGTTCAGCTTCCTTCTGATGCGAGTCTCATGGTTGATGATCCTTGCTTGGACACCAGTTCTTCTGCTCAAGATGTCTCCAAAAGAGAGATAGAAGGTGCTGCCAACCTAGCAGATGTGAAAGGAGTGGATAAATTTGATGGAAAGGGATCTGAGGAAAAAGATCCTCGTAGTTTTCCTTTTACTGTTGAAAATGTGATTGCCAGAACATACCAAAAGGAAGATCCAGTCCTCCAAAAGGATGTGGAGGTGGAGGTGCTCCGACCAGAACAAGAAACATCTTCGAATTCTATTCGCAGGTTGTCTGCAGGGAACAAAGATGTAGATATGATGGAGATTCTGAAAAGGCATCTTTATTTGTCCAGTGTCACAAAGGATTTTCTCCAGTTGCAAATTGCTGAGCATATTGACAAAAAAGTAGAATTTGATCCTAATTTGTCTGAAGTTTCCAGGCTCCAGGATTTAGTCAGAGAGAGTGAAGAAAGAAATGCTAGCATTAATAAAGAGCTCAATCAGTATAAAGCTGATCTTCAAGTCATATCTTCCAGCAAGAAGGACCTTGAGATCCAATGTCTTTCTGCTAGAGATGAAATTGAAGAACTCAGATTAGAGGTCTCGGAAATCCAGAATGAACTGGAAATGTCAAAAAAGGGATCTACAAATCTGTCAGCAGAATTGGCCGACTGTAGAAATGTAATGGAGACACTACAGGCCGAAAATTCAAAGATATCAGTGCAAATTCTTGCAGAAGCAGAGGAGTCACACAAGCTTAAGGCGGAAAAAGAATGCTGTACAGTGCAAATTGAGGAACTCAACAATCGAATATATCTATTGACAAATGAAATGGAAGACTCCAAAAGGGAGTTAGCAAAGTATTTGGCAGAATTGACTGAATGCAGATATCTTGTCACGTCATTGCAGATGGAAAATTCAAAATTGATTTCACAAATGCTCTCAGGCTCTGAAGACATGAATAAAATTAAGGCAGAAAGAGAACACCTTGCAAATGAAAACATGAAGATTGCTGCTGCATTATCTGAGGAAAAGTATCAGTTATCTGTTGCACTTCAAAAAATGGATCAGCTTGAGGGAGAATTCAAAGAGACAGTTACCTCTGTTGAGAAGCTTACTGAGGAAAAATTTTATCTCCTGAGTTGTCTGGATATACATAAAGTAAAGGTTAAAGAGCTCGTGAATGTCTTACAGGAGTCATGTTCCCAAGAACAGGAATCCGGGATACTGACAAAAGATTCTATTGCTGGTAGTATGGATGGTAACGATGCAACTGGAGGGTCTCAGACAAGCCATGCTGATTGTACAGGAGCTAGTTTCAACAAATCGGATAATTCCTTAGACCAATGTCCTGAAAAACCGCGTTATAGACAAGTTGAAAAGAGTGATTTCAGTGAACATACCATTTCTTGTGTCATGAAAGGGCGATCGGTTGAAGCTGAGGAAATGCTGCTGAAGCTTGAAAAGGCAGCTGCGGATATGTACGAGCATTGTATCTCCTTGGGTAATGTGGGGGACAGAGTGGCAACCTCTGGAGTCTCAAAACTAATTCAGGCTTTTGAATCGAAAACTCATTCGTGTGTCATGCCATCAGTTGAGGTACCGCCAGTTGAAGGACAGAGTTTGGCGGAACTAGATTCATTTAACCTGGTAAAAGAGGAAATAGGCAATCTGAGATCTATTTTGAGGCATATGGACTTGGATACAGAAATGGCAAAAATTCCTTGCAAGAAAGAACACGATAATGAGATTGCCAAGGAGGTTGAAGTTGAGTGCGAAGTTTTAACGTTGAGAAATAATGAACTCCGTGGAACAATTGATGAACTTGTTATGAAACTGGCTGAGTGTAAAACGAATATTGATGATCTACAGATCCAGTTGGATTCTACATGCGCAAATGCTGAAGAAATCTCAAGAAGGCTTTTAAATCAGGTAGAGTCATTGCAGAAGGAGGTGAATGGAATGGCAAATTCTCTTGAGGAGCTAGGCATGATGAAGGATGCGATTTTATTGTCAACTCAGAAGCTTGATGCATGTACTGGGCTGCGGGTACCTGGTGATTCCGATGTTGATTCTCATCTAACCATTTCAGTAAACGCTGTCACCAAAATGATTGAGGATTTGAAAGATAAGCTTGAAGCTGCTTGTCTGGAGCGTGACAAAAGCCATGCTTCTTCTGAGGAGCTTTATAGAGATTATACTTGCTTGCACAAAAATCAGGAATCGGCTAATAGGATTTTATATAGAATTCACAATATCTTGTTCAAAGACATAAATAATTCTTCAACTACTGGGGAGGAACCTGAACTTGTCTCTTGTGAGAATTCAGTTGATGTGAAGGGCAAGGAAGTGCAGCAACCGACTACAGAAGATTTCGAAATGCTTTCTGACCATTTGAATAAGCTTTTGAATGAAAAATTACTGCTTCATTCTGCAAAGCATGAACTTGAGTTCGAGCTTGCACGCAGAAACCAAGCAATGGAAGAACTCCTGGAACAATGCAACAATTTGACTAAAACTTTGGAAGAAAACAATTGTACAATGGCGGAGCTCAGATCGTTATCAATCAGAAGGGATCAAGATTTCAATGAGCTGAACAGAGGATGTCTAACATTGGCTAAGAAGCTTGAAAATTGGGAAATGAATGCATCTCGAGTTGTCAGCCCTGAGTTGCATGAGCATAATGAAGTTACGAATCCTGAGAAGATGGAGATGGACGCAGTTAGCCTACTACTGATGCATCTAGATGATCTGGTTACATCAGTTATTCAAGATCATGGAGAAGCTTTACAGCAACTAAAGTTGTCCAAAAGCCATTTGCTTGAAGCTTTTTCCCGCTCAGAATCTTTGGATCTAAGGCAATCAGACCCGTTGCATACATTTGTAGAGAAGGAGATCGTACCCAGGATTTTTGAGTTATCAGGTTTGGAGGAAAAATTGAACGCATTAACGTCGAAAAGTTTGCTACAGGAAAACGAAATGCAAACTCTCGAGGATAATTTGAGAAAAACGGGAGAAGCTCTCGAAATTGCTCGTTCTGAGTTGAGTTACAAAGTAACTGAACTCGAGCAATCTGAACAGAGGCTTTCATCTGTCAGAGAGAAGCTTGGCATAGCTGTTGCAAAAGGCAAGGGTTTAGTTGTGCAACGTGACAGTCTTAAGCAGTCATTTTTGGAGGCATCGTCTGAACTTGAAATGTGCAAGCAGGAGCTTCAGACAAAGGAGGCAAAACTCGGTGATCTTGAGGCAAAGCTTAAATCTTCAGAAGCAGATCGTATTGAAGCTTTGGAGTCGGAGCTCTCATATATTCGAAATTCAGCCACTCAATTTAGAGATTATTTCCTTCAAAAAGATTCTATTCTTCAAAAAGTTGAAGAAACTGTGGAAGAGCTAGATTTGCCAGAGGAGTTTCATTCTAAAGACATAGTAGAAAAAGTTGAGTGGCTAGCTAAATCTGTTGCTGGCAGTACTTCCCTCTCCTTAACTGATTGGCAACGACAAACTACTTCAGCGGAATCTCATGCAGACACTGGCCTTGTCAGTATGGATGGTTGGAAAGATGGCTTGCCGTCAGTTTCTACTCTGCAGTTAGATGATCTGAATAGAAAATATGAGGAGCTTCAGAGTAAATTCTATAGTTTGGCTGAGCAAAATGATATGCTGGAGCAGTCTCTTAGAGAGAGGAACAGCCTTGTTCAAAGGTGGGAAAAAGTATTAGACGGAATTGACATGCCACAACAGTTAAGATCTTCAGAACCAGAAGATCGGATTGAGTGGTTAGGAAGAAAACTCTTGGAAGTTCAGCAAGAAAGAGATTCTTTGTCACTGAGGATTGAAAACCTTGATGCAGGCCTTGTCACCATTAGACGTGAAAATGAACTTCTTTCAAGGAATCTTGATGAACTCAGGTCTGAATACTCAGAAATATCAGACACAGCTGCCCAAAATGAATTCGAGAAAGATAGTTTGCAAAGGGAGATATCTGCTTTACAGGAAAAATTGATGGGGAAATTCAATGAAGAGTATACTGAAATTGAGATTGAGGTGAAGAACTTAATTGATTTAGTGAGTGAAGCACTTACTGATCAAGACAAACCAGATATATCTTCAATTGATAACAATGCCAAGCATTTGGGAAGATTAGTTGGAAAGCTTGTAGAGAGCTATAAAACCCTTTGTTTGGAGAAATGTGTAACTCCTGATGATTCTTCTAGTGCTCATAATGATATGATATCCGAGGAACAGAATCTCAAAGAATCGATTTATGAGAAGGAGCAGACCTTGGTGGCGCTGAAGGTTGAACTTGATGAAGTGTCCCGTAATTTGGCCATTGCCAGGGAGGAGAGGGATGCAATCATTGAGAAGTATCACATGCAGACTTCTGGAATGGAAGCGTTGGTAATACAAAAGGATGCATTGCAGGAAGAGAGAGACAGAGCTATGGACAAGTATCAATCTCTTTCTTCAGAATTTGAGTTAATGACTAAACAGAGGGATCTATTGCAGGATCAACTTAATCAGGAGGAACAAAGGTCAGCATCCACAAGAGAGAAGTTAACTGTTGCAGTCAGGAAAGGAAAAGGGCTGGTTCAGCAAAGAGACAGCCTTAAAAAAACTTTAGAAGAAATGAATACTGACTTGGAACGCTCGAAGAAAGAGGTTAACCAACAAGTGGAAACCCTTCAGTCAGAGAATCAGCGGCTGACAAATGCCCTTTCAGAGGCTGAGAATGCTCTGCATCATCATTCACAGACCTTAAATAATTTTTTGACTGCTTTACATTCCATTGATCTCGGTGTTGACATTGACATAGTTGATCCTGTTCAGAAGATCGAATGGATTCATAAGCTAAGTCACGATCTGCGTGCAGAAGTTCATTCTTCTGCAAATGAGGCAGTTAAATCTAAAAGGGCAGCTGAATTGCTTTTTGCTGAGTTGAATGAGGTACAGGAAAGAGCTGATAGTCTCCAGGAGGACCTGGGGAAGGCTGAAGCCGCTCTTGCTCAACGATCCCTAGAAAGAGATATTGCTGAGGCTGGAAGAAGTGATGCTCTTTCACATCTTGAGCACTTTGTGATGAATCGCACGGAAGAAAAAAAGATCCAGCTTGGTTATATCATGGAATTAAAAGATGACATATTAGAACTGAGAAAAGGCTTGCTGGGTCTTACTGATGCTCTCGCCCTTGCCCTTTCTAGGGATGTGGATCTCTTCTGCAGTATGCAGTCCAGTGTGGCTTCTGTTATGAAGCTGATGGATGGCACCAATCCAAATGACCTTCCTCTCCTTGCACCTGTCAGCCTTTTCTCCATTGATGTGATAAATGAGGTAATTCCTCTATTTCATTTCTTTTCCCGCTAGAAATAACTCGTGGTAGCATCTATAGTTACGGGTATCCCTGAATACGTGTGTTTTATATGATTCTTCGGGAACTTTTTTCCTATTCTTAAAATATCCTGTAGTTAGCCATGCCTAGTTTCTTCAGAACATTCTTCTTAACTTTGGCTTATGCCTACGTGAATGGCATATTATTCCTTGGTCAACTAGAGAGGTATTCTAGCGTGTTGATTTAATTTCTTACTTTCTACGTCAGAGAGGGGAGGCTATTGGTCTATCAACTGATAAAATGCAATCGGATGTTTGGGGTACTGTAAGTGATAAAGGGGTCGTAACTCATATCACAGGAAGAAACTTTGCACAGAGTTAAAGTTAAAGATATGTGTACTGCTCTTCCCTCTCTTGCTCTTTGACGAGATGCAGCACTCATAGCAATTGCTATGAGCCGTCCAGTAAATAAAAAACCCACTTACAAGGTCTACCCACTAAGGAGTCAGACTCCTTAGGCCAATTCCTTCTCTTTTCTGTCTCATTTGCTTCAGACTGGAAGAATCTGTTCCATTATGTCAGCTTTATTGAAGGATGCCATTGACTCCTGGTCTCTGTGCGTCGTGTCTTCACATTATCGTAAATGTTAATATGGAATCATCTGGAACTGGACAATAAGTTTCTCCCCGGTGATACCTTAGTTTTTCAGGTGATATCAAGGAACCCATGAGTCTTCTACGTATGGAAATGGTTCTCTTGTCAACAAGGGACTGCAGCAGACTTTGGGCTATCCTGTTGACCTTAAGTAGCTATCTTCCGAAACAGTGTTAGCCTTCAACTCTATGACGGTTTTGGAGTGCAAGTGTAAGAATGCGTCACTACTATATCCAGATCCGTAAGCCCATTGATTGGTAGATTTGTAGTGGCTCGATGGCATAACCTGTGGAAGTAATCACCATGTTAAGTCTGGGACCTTCTAGCTCGGTGGCGAGGAGCTTAAAATATGATGGGTTGGAAACACCTACAGTAGTGCTACGACTGCAATGTGGTGAGTTGATTTTAGGTGAATTACATGCAGAAATTAGGGCAAATCATGATGACAGGTGATCACATGATGACTTGAGATATTTATAGTATTGTCAACGAGGGACTGCTTGCCAAGTCAGCCTTGAAATTTTATTGCGTCATCCAATCAACAAAGTTTCTCCCGGTCACCAATTTAGTTTCACGTGCAAAGCCAAGCCATGCTCAATAATAAGCTCGTTCTTATATCACAAGAGCGATGAAAACGAAATTAAAAATTCACAAATAGACTTAAAAAAGTAGAAATAGACAAGATGCATCAGAAGCTTTAATGAAAGATTGCTGCAACTTTGTTTTCACTTCAATCACTCACTTGAGATGTAGAAACTTGTATAACTTGGAGTGCTTGTGCCTTAGATTTTATCCTCAGGCTTTTTCCAATTACAAAAGCTTATTTATAAGCCTTGAATGTGCCCTTGTTCGTGGCTTGAGGAAGTGACCCCAAAAATAGGCATAGATCTCATATTATTCTATTATTATTATTTTCTTGTATTGAAAGGGTTGGCAATCGCTGGTAGGTTGTCAAAACCAATGTCATCTGCATAGCATGGTCTGTTGGCTCAGGTTCATGACTGCTGACACCTTAGTCAAGTTGTCAGCACCAGTGAAGAAATTATGAATTATTGAACTCACTGTGTTGAGACATATCAATAGTTGTTATCGTTCTATATTGCTTTCGATTTCGTAGTTGGGTTGACTATTGGGATGACACTCACTGGAAGAAAATGTCAGAACACTTGGTATGTTGACACCAGAGTCGCAACATACTCAATAGAAAAAGTGCATGTTTCATAAAGCATAATTTTTTTTTAAAAGAAGTGTTGCATCTAAAGTTTTGTACATATGAATTGGAAACTCCACACCGACCCTTTGCACACTAATAATGGTGAAGTTTCATCACCAAACTGACCTCTTCTTTTCTCTGTTGGTGCCTCTTCACTTGCCACACGGAGATTGCGGGTTATGCAATGCATATTTGGGGTTTAGCAAAGTTGGTGGCAAGGACTTTGGGAAGGGTGGGTGAATATGCTCTGGTCTAGCTGATAAAGGATGAGGAGGTGATCCTCACCTGCGAATGGATCGAGTATATAATTTCAAATTCACCATCACTGGGGCCATAAAAAAATTCGATTTCTAAACGGCTGAAAAAAGGGGCAGAATGAACCTCTTGTCATCTTTGTTGTTGTTCATCAAGGCATGATGAATACAATAATTGAATTGTATTTTTGATAATTTAAGATGATTCCATGAAGCGTAATGGGGATTTTCCTATAAAATGTAGATCCATGTCTATTGCTATATCACGTCCTATACGTGGAGGTGAGTTATTTTTTGAATCGTAATTGTTAATCATCAGATAAAATTATGAACGGCATATCTTCATTTTTTTTTATATACCCACTCTCAAACAACATGGATGGCTGTTTTTCTCTTCCATTGAAGGGTTTTCCTAATTGGTGTTTTTTCTGTGCTTTACGACTCTCCCTTATTTTCTTGGAATTGTCATGATTTCTTGACAATTTCTCTCTTCTACTGATGTTACCTTAGGACAAGTATTCTGCTGCCGATGGCTTCTCTGAAGCAGATATATCTGAAGATGATGAGAGTGGTCTAATTACCCAATATCAAAAACTTGCTGGTCACAGCTTACGTCAATGCATCAAGGATTTTGCTCATCTGAAGGAGAAACTTAATAAACGCTCTTCTGCTGTCGATCAACATAATAAAGATCTTTCTAGAATGATGGAGGCCACTCAAAGTAGGATGGTATCTCAAGAATTATCGTCTGAATCCCTAAAGAAAGACATTGCACATTTTGAGACGATGACTAGGGACAAGGAGAAGGAGCTGAGTTCATTACACGAAAATATTTCTTTGCTGTTTGAAGCATGCAGAAGATCGGTTTTAGAACTTGAAAATAGACGAACGCAGATGGTTGGAAAGTCTGGGGCATCGTTGGCATTACCAAGTTGGCTTCACAGAGAAGGAGCTGGAGATAAACGAGCTTTGTTTAGTGATGATTTCGTCAGAGCAGTCGCGGATTCCATGTTGACTAGTGTTGAGAGTTTAGGTGATGTGAAAGAGGTCGTCGAGGAGAAACAGAGGGAATTCAAAGCCGCCATATCAGATTTGCAGAGAGAGATACAGGAAAAGGATGTGCAGCAGAACATAATCTGTGCAGAGCTTGTGTCACAAATAAGAGATGCCGAGGCCGTTGCAGAGAAATTTTCCGTAGATCTTGATTCTGCAAAGAGACTGGTTGAGGAACTACAGTCTCAGATCAAAGAGATGAAAAATGATAAAAAGTTAGAGACTGCCAGAAAAGAGTATGAACAGAGGATCAAGTCCTTAATGGATTCTCTAACCGCCAAAGATCAAGGCAAGTCAAATTTTGAACTTTTTTATAATTATCTTAACAATTGATTTCCCAATTAAATGTAGCTATTTGGCTTATTGATCGAGTTCGTTGCACATCCCTTTGTTTTTTTTTTTTTTTTTTTCCTTATGTTGCAGAAATCGAGAGCCTCATGCAAGCACTTGATGAAGAAGAATCTCAGATGGAAACCTTGCAAAGTCGGAATCAAGAACTAGAGCAAATTGTTTTGAAAAATAATCTAGCACTGGAGACTGTTGAGGCTTCTCGGGCAAAAGCTCTGACGAAGCTCTCGACGACTCTGACCAGATTTGAGGAGTTGCATCATCTATCAGAAAACCTTCTTGCCGAGGTCGAAAACCTTCAAGTTCAAATGCAGGAGCGGGATTCAGAGATTTCATTCTTGCGTCAAGAGGTAGCCAGGTGTACTAGTGATGTTCTTGGCAAGCAGGAAAGCAACAAGAAGCTCTCTTCTGACTTGGACGAGGTGCAGACCTGGATGGATGCGATGGTTTTACGCCTTGGGGGAAATAAATTCAATGCAGACGATCAGAACCCTAGCCGTATTCATTCTCACATTATGTACCTCAACAAGCAGATTCCAACCGTTATTGCCGAACTCGAAGACTTGCGTTTAGCTGGGCAGAACAAAGATGCTCAGCTGGATGCCGAAAAAGGTAAGGTGAATGAGCTTTCCCGGAAGGTGGGAGTTCTTGAGACTTCGTTACAGGAGAGAGAATCCCAAATACACTCCTTTGGGGGTACAAGAGATCCTGGACAGACGTTGACTGTGAAGTCTCCAGATTCGTTGGAAATCGAGCCCGTGGTGCGTCCAAAACTCACATTTGCCATTTTATATCTATTTCATGTATTCGGTGATCTATTGAACACATATGAGCATTGATCCTCACTAAGAACTATTCAAAACTCATTAAAACTACCTGATGGAAGTTGTGTTGCGTAGCTTTTATTCTATTCCATAATCTAAAGTATTGTTACCGTATATAGCTTTTATTGTGTTGCGTAGCTTTTATTCTATTCCATAATCTAAAGTATATAATCTAAAGTATTTATTCTATTCCATCCAACCAACCGACCACATAGAATCTCTCTCATCTGTAGTGGCATGCACACTGATTTGGTCACACATGCCTCTTCTTTAGATCTTGATTCAACGCAGCTTCTGGGCTTATCTAAGTCCTGCTCTTCTCCAGGTCCAAAGTAAGATTTTCCTGCCAGAATCCGACCTAATTTCCGTTTTGATATTGCGCCGCAGATGAACAAAAGATCTACTTCAGCCTCTGTCACGCCACATGCCCGCAGCGGGCGCAGGGTCAACAGCGAGCAGGTTTCTGTAGCCATAGATATAGAGCAAGACAATGCCTCCCTTGATGATGAAGACGATGATAAAGGTGAGCTCCATTGCACTGGTCTTGACTCCTTCTTCGTCTTATATAGTAGTAAAAAAAAAAAAAAAAAAAGAGGCTCTGACCCCTCTGTGTTTTTTTTCCTTCTATTTATGGAAGCCCATGGATTCAAATCACTCACGATGTCAAAGATCGTTCCGAGAGCCGCTCGACCTGTTGCCGACCGAATCGACGGGCTATGGTAGGCGCGCGACCCTCCCTGTTCAAAGTTCAAAGTTCAAAGTTCAAAGTTCACACTCACCGACGTGTTGCCTGCACTCTTTGAAACACCAGGGTTGCCATTGAGCGGCTACTCATGAGGCAACCTTCTCTACGGCTTGGGCTAATGCTCTACTGGGTTCTGCTCCATGCCATGCTCGCTGCCTCCATTTGAAAAGATTGCCATAAATGGTATGCATTCCTCTCTTCTTCCCTTGTCATGTTCTTTTCTGCGTGATTACATCAGATCATCATACACGATTTATTGGTTCTGCTGCAACTTCTTCCAATGCATAAAGCACATGAACTAGGAAAATGACGAGGAAAATACCAACATCTTATTCTTTCCCAAATAGAGGACAAAAGGAAGGGGAGACTTCCGGATTGCCTTGGTGGATCTTTTGCACCTCAATAAGGATCCGCCTCTCTATGTCATAATGTCTCATGCAGCCATATGGTTTGAGTAGCTTCTGGGGTATTATATGGAATAGTATTTATAATGTGTGGGATTTCTTCTGAACCTTGACCCCCCTTCCTCCCTTCTCTCTCTCTCTCTCTCTCTCTCTCTCTCTCTCTCTCTCTCATCTCTGCAGCGATGCGAAAAGAAACGAGGAAAAGGGGGGAGGATCTTCTGCGTGATTACGTGGGCATTTGTACAGAAATTTATTCTTCATATACAACAACGCGCTGGAAAGAGTCAACTGTCCGGTGGTCAACTTGGGCGGCTGCGATTTCTATGTATTTTTTGTTTTAGTAAATCGCTGTTTCCCTTGATTGCATCCCAGTACAGAGTTATATATATACCCCTTATCCTCCAACCCCACTCTCTCTCTCTCTCTCCCCACTCTGCCTCGCAAGTACCTCCAAGGTTCTCCTTCCTCTTCCCATGGGTAGAGAGAGAGAGAGAGAGAGAGAGCTGATTCGACCATCTCGAAGAAAGGAGAGTGTTTTCTGGGAGGGAAGCGCATATTAAAGAGGCCCATTTACGAGGTTTAAAGTCGACTTTTTAAAAATTCCTCTGGGATTCGGACTTCGTCAGCAGGCAAGCTACGTGTGGAGTTTGTCGCCGCAAAAAATGTTCGGATGATAGCTTTGTCGACTAGCAGAGTGGGCTCGGCCTGCGAACTAGGGACACGTGGTAGTCAAAGCCTCCTAAGCTAAGTTGTCTTTGATCTCTGACCCAATGAACGCGACTGTTAGCTCTCGTCGACTCCCCAGCTAGCGGCGCTGACATGATCCGCAACTTCGTGGCGGGTAGTGACGGCCGCCTTCAATCTTTCCCCCACCGCCGCCTTGATGGAGAGCTATATTACTCAAAAGCCATAATTACAAATTATTAAATTACTTTTTCCCTCGTCGGCAAATTATAAACACACTTTATATTTTATATATTGCCTTTTCTTTTTTATCCTTCCACGTGGACGGGCCCTATCCGACGGCCACGGAAGCGTGCCAGTGGGCCCGAGGCGCGCATTTCGAGACAATCACGTGGCCCGCTGACCTGATCGCAGTCGCGCCTCCCAGATGACAACGCGTGGCGATCGGCGGACCCTCCTGCGGCGGCAGAGTCGCCGCTCACACGTCATCGTATTCCCCTTCCTGAAGACGACCCCCGCCTGCTCGCCTCCCACCGTTTTGCCTCGCCGCCGCCGGTTTCGCCTCTGAAACCGCCCGACTTCGTCCCGGTTTCCACGGAGCCTCCTCCCCTCCCTCATCCTCCAATTCTCCGGTCATTACTTCCCTGATTGGTATATAAATCCCCCCTCCCCTTCTTTCTTCTCTCTGCGCCGCCGCCGACAGTCCCTCCCTTTCCTGAGGAACCCGTCTCTCTCTCTCTGAGGAGCCGACAACGATGGAGGCGAGGAGGGCGTGCGAGCTCTGCGAGGGCGAAGCGGCGGTGCACTGCGAGTCGGACTCGGCGTTCCTCTGCTGGGCCTGCGACGCGGCCGTCCACGGCGCCAACTTCCTCGTCGCCCGCCACCGCCGCCGCTCCCGCTGCCCGGAATGCGGCACCTTTGACGTCTCTGACCAGGGGCCCCTCTCTGGGGCCACCCTCCTCCCCGTCCTCTTCATCTGCCACTCCTGCCACTCCCTCGCGCAGGACGACGCCTCGGTCTCGGATTCCGATTCTCAGTCGTCTGCGCGCTCGTCGTCCTCGCTGTGCTCTTCCACCTCTTCCTCCCACGTCTCCAGCGCTGAATCTGGAGCGGCGGTGACGGCGGCGGAGTGGGCGAAGTCCGGCAGGAGGAGGAGACGGCGCGCCGCTAGCGGGGAGCTCGACGCCATGATAGACGTCGTTCTCGCAAACTGGTGCCGCCGGCTAGGCCTGGAAGGAGGCGCCGCCGCCGCCGCCTCTCACGCTCTCCTCATGGGGACGAGACGCATGCCGGCGCTGCCCCTCCGTGTGATCATGGCCACCGCCGTGTGGTTCGCCGCGAGGCTCCGGTTCTCGACGGGAGGCTCCCGGCGCGGGGCGGCGGCGCTGCTGAGGCTCCTGGAGGAGTGCTCCGGCGTCCCCGTGAAGCTCATCTCGATGGGGGAGGCGAAGCTCTCCCGCGCCCTCCGGCGGTGCCACGTGGCCGAGGACACCGAAGGCTGGGCCGAGTGCTCCTGACGCAGGCAGACACCCCCATGAAACAAGCTCCAGATAGACAGATGGATAGATCGATAGATACCCTCTCCTACTCCTCCTCCTCCTCCTCTTCGTCTAGCTCTGCTGAACCTTTATTGGTCTTGCGGCAACAAGAGATTTTCTTTGGTGGCGGTCAATATCCCGCTCTGCAAATTATGTACTCGGGGGGGGTCTTCTCCCCCTTAACCGATCAAAGACACGAAATTTGGCGCTTCCCTCAGAAAAAAACCGAGCATCCGAGAGGAAGACGAACGCGACGTGGGGTGAGCCAATGAAGAACGGAAGCGCACGGGGGACGCCACGCCTCCTTTCCCATGTGCCTGGAGTGAGACGGGAAGAGAGTGAAAGGGGAGTGCCCCCCTCGTTTGCCGATGGAAGGAGGAGGCAACTTCACCCGCTCGATCGCCGCCACCACGGACCCCCCGATGTGGATGGGACCCCCCGCCGTACCTGACCAGGTGCGGCGTAGCCCCTGCCGCCATAAAACATTCTATTTCCTCTTTCTCTCTCCCTCCGCCCACAGGAAATTCACAGTACATCATCCGGGGACGGCGACGGGGACCGGTGCGGCTGCACGGCGACCTTTGACTACGCGGAAGATGTGAAGTCAGAGAATAATTATTAATTAAAACGTATCAATGGCGACGTTTTCCGGTCCTTCGCTCACCAACTCAAGACTCTGTATGGGCGGGAAGTCGTCGTCCTCGTCCGGCGGTTTCCCTCCCCGATCAGGGGGCTTCCCAGAAGAAAGTGTATCATCTCTCTCTCTCTCTCTACCCCTCCCCAACGGGTGGGTATCATCGAGACCTGCACTGGTCCGAGCGCCGCCTCTCTTCCGCCACGAGCCCGGCAACCGAGCTCTTGAGCCTCCTCCCGGAGGGCCCGGGCTCGACGGCGCCGATGTCTCCCCAGCTCCCGCATTGGGCCTTCTCCGCCGCCTCCGCCGCTCCTTCCGTGCACCGCCACCTCCCGGCGGCGGAGGAGCGCCTCAGAACCTTCCTGTCCAGATTCCTCAGAACGACGTCGTCCTCCGCAAACCGCCGCGCGAACGCCGCCCCGCTCCTCACGATCCGCCGGAAGTGCGTCATGTTGAGCAAGAGCGGCTCCTCCTTCGGGGGGTTGTCCCAGACGAAGAACCGCAGGTCACCGTTGACCGTCGTATTCCTGAACTGCGGGGAGTTGCAGAGAACCGTGTGGAAGTAGAACTCCAGAGGGAATGGCACGTTGGCGGCGTACATCAGCAGCTGCCTCGGCAGGTTCTCCCAGCCATGAACGCAGTACTCCACGAAACTCCTGCTGAGAATCACCCACGGAGATCCTGCAACGTCGTGGGGGATGATCAGATCACAAACAGTCTAGCTCCCTTCTCGGTCAAGAACACCAAGGTCATACGGGGATGACGAACTAGATGAAGGCGGAGACCAACCGGTGAAGATGGTGAATGCGTCGGGCGATCTGCGGGATTCCTTGGCGATGAAGGGTTTACTATTATTGCCCATGTAGAGATTCGGATCAACGGTGATTCTTTCAAATCGATGGTACCTGACCACGGTGTATGCGAAGTCAATTAATCACGGGAGCGGAACCAGATTATGCGGCAGGAAGTGAAAGAGATGCCGCCACTCACCGTTTCCAGCCGAGATCACTCGTGTGGTCAACGAAATTCAGGTCCCTCGGCAGATCGGTGAAGGTGTGGAGAAGATCTAACAAAAAGGAAAAAAGAAGGAAATTTTATCTATCTATGGAAAGGGAAATGAACAGATGATCCAATGAATATAAATGAATCGATCGGATTCCCCTACTCTCCGGGTGGCTGCCCAGAAAGATGAAGAACAGACGGGATCAGACCTCAGAGCCTTCCAATCGCGATCGGAGGAGGGAGGTGAGCGTGCTGGCGGAAGCTTACCGTCCTGGGTGACGATCGGGTAGTCCGAGGAGCTCAAGGTGACGAACCAGTCCCACTCGCCCCCCATCTTCAGGAGCACGGCGGCGCCGTGCAGCGTTGCAGCGAGAGAGGACGGGCCTGTGCTGTCGACTGCGTAGCTCTTGCCCACCATATGAACATTTCTGAAAACCCTAAAAACCTTCTCCAACCTCACGCAGACGGCTAAGGCAGTTCTCTCCTCCTCCGATGACACCGCGTCCATGTAGAGAAGGTACTTGTTCCTCGGGTGGTAGACCGCCTTCAGAAGCCTCAGCATCCTCTTGCTCTCGCCGCCGGTGCCGGAAATCAAGTAGGCGAACGCCGGAGGAAATCCGGGCACGCCGGAGGGAGTTCTGGCCACGAATTCGAGCCCTTCGCGAGGGTTCCACACGCCGCGAAAAGAGCTCGTCAGAACCCCCAAAATCACAGTGCCTGCTATGAAGGCTACGAGAATCGGCCATGGAGACGATCTGGAGATCCTCATCGATCCAGGGCAAGATCGAAACCCACCCGATTCAGCAGCACGGGGAACCCAATCCGCCCAGAAATCTGAAACTGAGAAGAAGAAGATGAAAAATGGATCACAGCTCCGATCCCCGGCGAATATCGTCGCTCGGAGGAGCCCGCACGGCGGAAGCGTGCGTCAGTCCCCGACGGGGAAAATAAAACGGAAGACTCGCCAACGCCATCGCCACCGCTGACCGGAAGGAAAGTGGGGCTGATACAGGACGGCACCTGCAGAAGCGGAGCCCTCCCCGGCCGCCGCTCCGAGGAGACTCCGTCGGGGGGAACAAGCCGAGCGTTTCACGTAGATCCCGAGAGAGATGAGGAGAAGCGGACTCCCGATCGAAGACCGGCAAGGCACCTCCTCGGAGAGGCAGACGGGGCCGAAAGTGGTGTGGGAGGTCGAGAGCTCTCAAATTCTGCAGTACCCAACGCCGCCGCGAAGAAGTCGTGCCGGGGATCGAGCAGAAGGAGAAGCTCTTTCTTCGGCTTGGTGATCGCCGCCTGGAATCACTGGGCGAAACCCCCCTGACGGGGAAACTCCGAGGATGTCAAGTAGGTGATTAGTAATAGATATCATAATCGAATCGATAAAATCATTTTAGAAAATATAATTTTAGCACGGTTGCCCAAGTCTCAATCTTAATGAATATTCTCTCTCTCTATCCATCAGTCGCATGCCACGTAATGGATGAGGTCTGGTCTTCTGACACTGACGACATGATGACGTCATCTCTGCGCGAGGCTCCCCGAACTCCCACCGGCCATTCGGCGGATAATCTCCCTGGGAGTGATTTCCTTCGGGATTCTCGCGAAATCCGGATTCCCCACCCTGCCGGCCAGGATGTCGGCGCTTCCGGATCTGTGGGCCCACGAAGATTCCCTGTGTAAGGAAACGTGGTCAAATTCATCTGACCCGTTGTTTAATCGTGGCAGAGACTCCACGTTATGATTCACGTGCACTTCGTTGTCCGCTATTGGGCTATTGAAACCCCGGCCGGGCTATTGGACTCCAAGAAGGATAAAACCGGCCCATTAATGACATTTCCGTAAGAGTGTTGTCCTCAGGTGGGGGCGGGAAATGGAACACGCGCAGGAAAATGTAGACGATGGAAAATATAACACGGACCCCCCTGAAATTAATTATATTAAAAAAAAGCCTCACGTAAAAACAACCTCTTTTGGGATACGGGGGTTCCTATCCGTACGCCTTCCTTGCAAATGGGTCCCCTGGTTCTACATGGCCCATTATTTTTCCTGGAGGCCCATATAGCGCAGTTTCGGCCCAAAAAGCTCATTCAATTGACTCGCCTTCTCTCTCTCTCTCCCTCTCTCTCTCTATCTCTACCAACAACTTGGCCCCTTCTAAACATCTCTTTCTCTCTCTCTCTCTCTATATATATATATCTTACCAATAACTTAGCTCCTCTCTAAACATTTCTCTTTCTCTCTCTGTCTTTAGCAATAGCTTCGTCCCTGTCTAAACATCTCTCTCTCTCTCTCCTCTCCCTCTCCAAAATACTATAATCTCTCCGCAAGCATCTCCCTTCTGTCTTCATTATTCTGATCTCTCACTAAACATCCCTGGGTCTGCCTGCGTCAGAGACGATCATGTCTCCCTAAACGTCTGTTTTCATGTCACTCTCTCCCTACCTCTCTCTCTCTCTACAAAGAAGCCATTGGATTTGGCGCTACGGACAAAGAGGATCTGACGCGGGAGGAGAGAGAGACTTAGGATGGGCTGGAGAGGATCGCGACCGTGCGAGGGGCGCGACGTGGTCGCTCTGGAGACCGCACGAAGGAGAAGATAGACCCCATTGGAGGGGATAAAACGCGATAAGGCGAGCTTGGCTGAGGACGGAGCGCGAGTCTGGCGCCGTGGTGGTAGAGCTGCCACCGTGCTACGGTGCGCCGCCACCCATCCGAGGCAAGGAAACGACGGGATTCTCCTCCCACACCCCCCCACCCCCCCCCCCGCCGTCCTTTCACCCTTTTTACCGCGAGATATTATTTATTACCTTAAAACCTTCTCAGCCTTCTCTGCCAGCCGTAGACTTGGCAGGCGGAGGGCCGGCCACGTCAGAGACGGCGGGGCCGACCTGGCGCGCGGTTCTCACCACCTTGGCACTTAGCAGGTAACAGCGCCGCGTTTGGTGGCGTGCCACGTCGGAGTCCATGTGATCGCCACGTGCCCACCGCGGAAAAGGTACATCGTGAGATTTATTTATTTTTTAAAAAAATATATAATAGAAAGAGAGAAGGGAATAAAAGATCTTACATCGCTTCCACGGATACTAAGAACGTCGGGGCCAAGTCGTCAATATAAAAATATCCTCTCTCTCTCTCTCTCTCGCTAAACCCCGTGAATAGAAAAAATCGGCGCGGTTGTCCCTCTAGAAATCATCCTCTCTCTTTCTCTCTCTACCTCTCTCCGTGTCTGTGTCTGCATGTGGATAAGATTACGAGCTCATCATTAGCGACTGAATGGGGAGAGCACAACGTAGGTCCTAAATCTGCCACACACTCCGAGTGGAGAGGATAAAGAAGAAGGGAATGGGGAAGAGTGAGAAGATGGTAACAAGGTCCATGATCGTGGGGGAGACAGCCGGAGATCTGCGCCTCCCCGGTGGGCCCACCGCAGGCAAGGGGAAGAGCCGCGGCTCACGTGAGGGTAGGACGGCCCGTACTCTCTCTAAAATCTAGGGACCCCAACGAGAAGTCGCCACGTGGCAAGATAAGAAGCCAGTCCTCTTCCACCGCAGGCGGGAGGATCTTACTGTGAGGCCCCCCGGCCCTGTGGGACTGCTGAGGGGGTGCGGTGCTTGAGGGTGTTTTTGGTCACATCACATGGCGAAGGGGAAATTCCACCTCGGCGGTGAGGAGCGGAGGAGGTGAGGAAACAGAGAAGAGAGAGAGAGAGGTGGTCCCTTCGGCCACAGAGGAGGGGGTTGGGGAGATTGTCGTTTGTACCGCTCTGTCCCCCCCCAAAAATGCTCCTTTCAAACATCTCTCTCTCTCTCTCTCTCTCTCTCTCTCTCTTTCTAACCCCCTCTACTGCAACTTCTGCAGATTTCCAGCAGGCCTTTCTCCATTCTATCTCCATCCCGTGACATCTGACTCGGGCCTTCACCCTTTCCCTGCTCTTTTTTTTGCTCCCTCCTCCATCCCCCCCCTCCCCTCTCCCATCTCTCTCTCTCTCTCTCTCTCTCCATCTCTCCTCTGCTAGAAAACAGAGGAGCCTTAGCGGGTCGCCAATTCACAGCCAGTACCTCTCTCAAGAACCCGAGTCCCCCCACCCCTCGGGCTTCCCTTCAGCGGAAACTCCTTCCATTTATTTGCCGGATTTCGAGTCCCGTCCCATCCCTTCCAGTCTGCACCAGTCGTCGGTCTTGGGCGCAGCTATTTGTTGCGTCCTCCCCCTCCCTACCCTGCGGAGGAAGGAATCCCCTGTTTCATCAGTTTTCCGTGGTACGAGCCTCTGCGTTGAATGAAGAACCTTCGGGGCGAGTTTTGGGAAGATCCACTGTCTCTTCTGCCGCAGGGCTTCTACTCTCTCCTCCTCCTCCTCCTCCTCCTCCACTGAATCCCACCCAATTCAGGGTTTTAGGCCGAGCGCCACCAGTCCAGATCTTTTTTGCAGAAAGGGTTTAGGGTTTAAGCCATCGAAGACTCTATGCCGCGCCCGCGCCCGAGAATTCTGACCTTCTGCCTAAATTCTCGAGACCAGATTGCTTAGCGCCGGCGAACTTCCGGTTAGAGATGTCGTCCTGCCTGAGCGGCGGCGGCGGCCGCGCAGCCTACGGCTTCGACCTCGACATTGTGGTCAAGTCCTCTTCGTCGTCTCCGACGACCTCCTCCTCCCGCTCCACCCACTCGTCTCCTTCATCCACCCTTTCCGAAGCCTGCAATTCTCCGCTCGCCATCTCCACCAAGAGGGCGAGGACCCCACGGAAGCGGCCCAACCAGACGTACAACGAGGCTGCAGCCCTCCTCTCCACTGTTTACCCCAACATCTTCTCCGCCAAGAGCCTCCCCAAGCTCTGCAAGAAGAAGAACCCCAGACCCTTGGAGGACACCTTCTCCGAGCCCACCGCAGAGCTTCTCCCCACCTTTCCGGCCATCGGCGACGCCGGTTTCCTCCTCCAGCAGTACGTCCCCGACGAGCCCAGCCCAAGAATTGAGCTCAGGCCGACGAGCTCCTCAGAGCGCTCGTCGGCCTGTCTGAGCCCTACGAGCGCCGATCTCCCGGAGGCGAATTCGCCGGCGGGGCTCGTCGAAGACGACGACTTCGACGCAGAGTCCATCCTCGACGAGGAGGTCGGGGAAGGCATCGACAGCATCATGGGCAACCTCAGCTTCAAGGCCACTAATGGCGGAGGAGGGGGAGGAGATTCGGCTCACCCGAACCCCTTATTTGGCTACGGCATCGGGGGAATATTCAAATTCCGTCATGGCTACCGTGGGAACATGCGGCGGGCGCTGAAGAGAGCCGACGACAGCGAGTGGTGGCGCTCCCCTACGGTGGAGGTGCTCAAGATTGCCCCCAAGCTTAAGCCGGCGGTGGCTCCTCCGCCGTCGCCGACCGCCGACAAGAAGAAGAAGAAGAAGGTGCAGAAGGTGGAGAGAGTCGATAAGGTGCTCGACAGGGCCGCCAGAGTCGGTGAGAAGACGGAGGAAGAGGAGGCCAAGGAGAAGACTCAGCCGCCGCACACCGCCCTGAAGCCTTCCCTGAGCCTCAAGCTGAACTACGAGGACGTCCTCAAGGCCTGGTCCGGCCGGGGGTCTCCCTTCTCCGGTGACGTCGACTCCTCCGAAGATCCCGCCGACAACATTGTACGTCTCTCTCTCTCTCTCTCTCTCTCTCTCTCTCTCTCTCTCTCTGCTCCTCCGATTGCCTCCATTTATTCATTAGTTCATTCGTTCGTTTTTAGTTTTTCTCATCTGCATTCGAGCATCAGTCTGCTCTTCCCTTATTCGCTTCTTCCCCCACTCTCGGCAGGCGAGATTGTCGCAGATCGTCCTGTTCCCGGAGGCGGCGGCGGCGGCCGCCGGCGGCGTCAGGGAGGCGAGCGTCCTCCGGTACAAGGAGAAGCGGAGGACCCGACTTTTCTCCAAGAAGATCCGCTACCAGGTCCGCAAGGTGAACGCTGACCGCAGGCCCAGAATGAAGGCAAGTGTAAGAGCCCTCTCCCTCTCTCTCTCTCTCTCTGGCGTCGTCTGTCTTTCTCTCTCTAACGTCGTGGGCCCTGTCTCTCGCAACCCAACAGGGGAGGTTCGTTCGAAGGCCTTCTCTCGCAGCTCTGTGAGGAGCTAAGCGGGCCGGGCCGGGCCGAATCGGACGGAAGAACCTTCTCAAAACCGGGCTACAGGAGCCAAGCCCATGGGACGATCTTCACAGGAGCCCGGCCCACGAAGTTTTGCCACGTCATACTCAACTCCCCCTCTCTCTCCCCATTGTTTACCTTTTTTGTCTCGTGACTTGGAAGAGCGAGGGGCCCACCCACTAGCATCCTGGGCAGATATTTAGCAGTGAGAGAGCTGGATGAATAAAAAGCCGGGAGTTTTTGCCTCCCGCATCTGTGTCTAACGTTCCCTCTCCGTAATTCTGAGAAAACGGGGATCCCAATAATAAATATTTATTTAATATATTAAATAAATATTTCTCTTGATGCGAAAACTTTTCCTCCTCTTCCCCCTCCGTTTGGCGCCTCTAGAAATTGTGGATGAAAATCATGTACAAAAATATATATACTGCGGGTATATGCCGCCCCCTCTCCCTATTGCCTCTGGCGAGAAAGTTTAATAAAAAATGACGTGGATATTAGCTATTGACACGTGTTTATAGTGAGAGAAAATGGGAACATCAGTGGGGGGAAGGGGGCCCAGTAAACGGAGGGCTGGGACAGCCCACGACTGATTTTTGGGCCTCAAAATGAAGCCCAATATCAACATATTCAAGCCGCTTGGATAAACCCGTATGTCCGTCTGTTTCTCTGTCTGCGTATCTTGCCGTGGGCCCATTAGGCCTATCATGACCAGCCCATTATAGACATTCTGTCATCTATTGGGCCAGAGATAGCCCTGTTGTTGCCACAAATAACGGACCGCCAGGGGGTAAATGGCTTAATATAGCCCAAACTTGGTCCAATAATACTCCAGTACTGACGGCCCATGAACTCTCTCTCTCTCTCTCTCTCTCGCTGAGTCTTGTGAGGCAGGCAGCAGCGTGGCCCATCCCTTCCCTCTCCACCTCCTGGTGGCCCTGTCAGCGCCGCCAGAGGGAGGGGCGCCGCTGGGTCAAGCAGTTTACTTCCATACATGCCCGCATAGGGACAAGGAGGAGGGTTCGTGGATCTCATCAAAAAGGTCACGCAAGTGGGCACGCCGGATTCCATTTCTCACCTCACCGTGTGCTTTTCCTCCCATTTCTTCTTTCCCTGCCTTCCCCCTTGTTCCCCACGTCCGCTGTCTCCATTGGGTATCCTCGGAGATGGGCGGAGCGGGATTCTGCGCGGCGGCAGCGGGAGCGATGATGCCGTCACCGTCTTCTCCGTCGTCTACTTCCAGGACGAGGGCCTCGTTGCGGACTCCTTCGTACGGTGGTACGAGCTGGGAGAAAACTGGGTGGCCGCGGCGGTGTCCGACTGGGTGGCGGGCGCTGGTTTTCCGTGGGCCGTCTCCCTCGAGGTCCTGCTCGGTCGGCGACGAGCAGCGAGGGATTGACGAGGGGAGACTCGGTGAGGAGGCAGAATGGGAGTCCAAACTGGTCAGGACGCTTCTGATCGACAATTACGATAGCTACACCTACAACATATACCAAGACCTATCGGTCATAAATGGATGTGAGTTTCCTCTTTGCTCGTTACCATTTTTCACCCATGTTTGCGCCCGCGCACGCCGAGAGAATTACTCCGACGACAGCCCTTAAAATGGCCGGCGTCTGGGGGAGAAACCATGGCCGTCTTCTGCTCTGGAAATTTTCTTTTCCATCCTCTATGACGTGATTCGATCCTCGCTTCTTCCACCCAACAAGTCATATGCGGTACAGATGTTCCTGTGCTTGTTTCTTATGAACTAGATTTGCGTACATCCAGCTCCACGCCTTCTTACAAACATCGATGAACCGAAAGTCAAATGCTTTGGATACTTCTTTATAAACTGCGCTGCTGTTTCTAGCGAACCATCACTGGATGTTGTGGCCAGTAGTTTTCCTCATCGATTTCATGCAATGATTGAAGGAAATGGCCATTCATTTCATATGTACTGCTTCCGTTCTTATCAGATGGCGCTGTGGATCAGATGTCTCAGGTGAAATCTAAAGGCTCTTTTGTTCTTCCACAGTGCCTCCTGTCGTGGTGTGTAACGACGAGTGGACATGGGATCATGCCCGCCGATTCTTGTGCGAAGAACAAGCCTTTGACAATATCGTCATCTCTCCTGGACCCGGATCGCCAGAATGCCCCGGAGACATTGGTTAGAGAATCATTTTGACCAGACCGGGCTTCTCTTTGCTCAGTACTGTTCTTTATCTCATGTATGTGGATCAAGATGAAAGAACTTTTAATGCAGGGATCTGTCTAAAAATTCTGCTCGAGTGCAAGGATATTCCAATTCTGGGTGTCTGCCTGGGTCACCAAGTAATGTTGCCCGTTCTGAGAACCGTCTTTTAGAGTTTATAGCATCCCACGCTCTGCCTTCTGTGGATTTGCCGCATTCTCCAGGCATGCAAGTAGAATTCTAGATCATTATGTTCCCAGTTAGATTCTCAATCCAACATTGGTTTTCGAAGTCTCTCACTATGGATTGATTTGAAATCTCATGTCGCGATTTTTCATGATTTTAAATTGTTTTCATTCAACCATTTCAGGCCTTAGGGTATGCCCACGGAGCCAGAGTCATCCACGCCCCCGCACCAGTTCATGGTCGCCTTAGGTACATTTTTTTTTTTTTTCCTTCTAAGCACTAGTCAAACCACACCCTAAGACCCACATTAGTCAAAATGAAAAATAATTCCGTGAATTTTATATCGGAGGATTTTCTTTTATTTTTTTAATTATTTTTCTATGTTTAATTTTATGTTTTCTTATCCCACCTGGTTTCCTGCCCGCAGTGAAATCGAGCACACTGGTTGCGATCTGTTCCTCGGCATTCCATCCGGAAGCAAATCTGGGTTCCAGGTGAGTGCGATGCTCATGGTTCTATTATTCTTAATCGCCACATCAGAATTCTACTACCCACCCTCAGTGCAGAATTTTGTGGGTTTAGTTATCTCCACCGCCAGGTGAAAGGATCATGCTTCCTGATCTATGTACGAATCTGCTTTCTTGAACAAGGTTTAGTTTTAAATGCAGGCTGTTCGGTATCATTCTCTGGTTGTGGACGAAGGTTCCCTTCCCAGAGAGCTGATTCCAATGGCATGGACGACGTCTGAAGTGGCGACTTCTTTCACCGAGACACATGGAGCTTCAGGGATACCTGCTCAGAAGAACCGGTCTCCATGCTCTGATTATTTTAAAATGGATCTGAAAGATGGGAGATCTTCGAGCTCCTCTGACTTCAATGGCCGGGGAAGGGAGAAGATCTTGATGGGGATCATGCACTCGACCAGGCCTCATTATGGAGTGCAAGTAGGTGGACAGATTGACGCCTGTTCTTGACAAATTTTTGATACTTTTGAGCGAGGAATCATTATACGCTTGTTTCTCTCTCCTCAGTTTCATCCGGAAAGCATTGCGACCTCTCATGGAAGGCAGATATTCAGAAACTTCAAGAGATTGACCGTCGACCACGGGCTGAGGTCACCCGAACTTCCTGAAAGAAAGGTTCACTGCTGTGGTAAACCACACATTCGTGAATCGACGTAGATTTTTATATTGCCCAGCCGTGCTCGGACAGTACGCCTTCATATTTTCTCACTCATGCCTTCACATTGATGCAACTCTGTCAACATGGCTTCAGGTACGTCGTGGAGAGGGAATCTCTGTAGGGGGTAAAGAGGCCAGTTCGGTGCCCGTTGGCTTAACCATGGGTCAGCTCATGGAGAGCAAGGGATCTAAGAGTTTGAAGCTGCAGTGGAAGAAATTCGACGGCATGGCCAAGCAAGTCGGCGGATCTGGGAATATTTTCTTAAAACTGTTTGGAGACCAAGAAGCTGATGACACGTTCTGGTTGGACAGCTCTTCTACAGAACAGGCACTCTTTCAAACCTGCCCTCGTCGTTCATTCATAACTTTCATGGGAATTATTTCAGCAGCCCTGTTTTTGGAAAAGAAAAAAAGAAAATCTTTTTGTGGGTGGGAGTTTTTGACAAAAAGAAAGATTCTTTTTCCCGAGCATATTGAGTCTGAGCATGGGTTATCTGTGATTACAGAGGAGAGCTCGGTTTTCGTTCATGGGCAGCAAGGGTGGGCCCATGTGGAAGCAGATCACGTTTTGGCTGTCCGATCAAAGGTAGATTCTTTCTATTTATCCATAGATTGCGCTCTAACCATGGTAAAGAGAGGTTTTACTTATCCTGTTCTGCTCTCTCGGTCCCAATGCTGCCAGGGGTGGAGGCTACCTGTCAACTCGAGATTCGTGTGGAGAGAAGGAAACCATTTTTCTAAAGAAGGGTTTTCTCGATTTTATGGACAAGGTATGGTAGAATTCCTTGAAAAATTTCCTTACTAATTGAGGTAAATTATTATCTTATGTATTTATTCTTTAAAATCTGGCAGTTCTAACCTTCATATCACTCATGATTCGGCTACTTTATCCAATTCTGAGGCGATTTCAGAAGCTTTTTTACTGTTTTCTTTGATGTTTCTGATGGAAGACTAGGCGATCTTCAGCACTTCTCTCATCCCTTGCTGCTGTAGTAAAAATTCCTTTTTTTCATTCATCCTTGCTATCAGGAACTGCAATCTTTTCATTACGATGAAGAAGACTACCAAGCACTTCCCTTTGACTTTTGCGGTGGCTTTGTCGGTTTTCTTGGGTAAAAAATCTCCAGATTCCTACATTATTATCAATGAGAAATTCTTATGATTATTATTATTATTATTCACTTTAGGGATGAAAAATATCAAGAGATAATTTATTTTTTTTATCTGCGGTGTGGCAGGTACGGCCTGAAGGTTGAATGCGGCTCATCATCCAATCGCCATAAATCCTTGGCCCCCGATGCCTGTTTCTTCTTCGCCGACAACATTCTTGTGATTGATCACCGTAATGATGATGTGTATCTGCTTAGCATACGTGATAGTTGCCACCCGAGCCTGAGGGCAGCGCGACAGGGCTCATCAGACGCAAGGACGTGGCTGGAAGAAACAGAGAAAAAGCTTCGTGGATTGATTTACCCCCAGGCAAAGAGCGTGAATGAACATAAACCGCGCAGGGTATCTTCCAGCCGCGATAACCCAAGATTTCTTGTCGCAAAATCGAGACTCCAGTACATGAAAGACGTGGAGAGATGCCTCAAGTTCATCCGAGATGGGGAGAGCTATGAACTGTGTCTGACGACCCAGATGAAGATGAGAGCGGAAGGCATCAATGCGCTGGGGGCTTACTATGATCTAAGGGAGAGAAATCCTGCCCCATATGCTGCATGGCTAAATTTCTCGGAGGAAAATCTGTGCATCTTGTGCTCCTCCCCGGAGAGGTTCCTGCGGTTGGATGGTGATGGGACATTGGAGGCAAAGCCCATCAAGGGTACTGCAGCTCGAGGCTCAACAGCGGAGGAAGATCGTCTCCTCATGCTTCAACTGCAGAACAGGTATGTTGCCATTACTTGAACCAAATGTTTGCATGAAATTTAGTGGGCTAACAGCCGCTAAATTCCTCTTATTGATCTTATCTTTGGTGGAGAGTTTCTTCTTCTCTTATGAACTGTTCTTCGTTCCCTGTTTGAGTTCTAACTTTGCCTCTCTTTAATGAGAATGGTAAGAGACTGTATATCATCATGAACAGTATCCTCTGCTGGCTTTTTTTTCCCCTTCACAGTGAGAAGGACCTGGCAGAGAATCTGATGATTGTCGATCTGCTGAGGAACGATCTGGGTCGCGTCTGTGAGCCTGGAACCGTCCACGTTCCCCACCTGATGAAGGTAGAGTCTTATGCGACTGTTCACACCTTGGTCAGCACCATACAGGGCGAGAAGAAGCCACATCTTAGCGCCATAGACTGCGTGAGGGCGGCCTTCCCGGGGGGATCAATGACTGGAGCCCCCAAGCTGAGGTCAATGGAGATCCTCGACTCCCTCGAGTGCTGCTCCAGAGGCGTGTACTCGGGCTGCATCGGGTTCTTCTCCTACAACAAGCGATTCGACCTGAATATAGTGATAAGAACTGTCGTTCTTCACGAGGGAGAGGCCTCGATAGGCACTGGAGGCGCCGTGGTGGCCCTCTCTGATCCAAAGGATGAGTACGAGGAGATGATGCTGAAAGCCAGAGCCCCCGCCAGAGTCATCCAGGAGCACTCCGAGCCTGCAACTCCCGAGAAAACACCGAAGAATCTGAGCTCTGGCGGTGAACTGTGTGGTCGGGCTCCTTCTCTGCCCGATTAGTCCGTCCTATTCAGATCTTCGATAGAAATTTCTTCTTACACTTTGTAAATTTGATGATGTCTCAGAAAATTATTTATTTATACATTTTTTTCTTCTTCAAATTTCTTGCTGGAATCTTCGCCAGAGCAGGGGAATCTGATTTCGGCCTCATTATCTTTGTATCATTTACTGCTTCTGTAATCAAGTAGTGGGCATTGATTTCTCTGCCCGTTTACTGCAGAGATTTGAGAGGGCAGTGGACGGGGTTGACTTTTCTCACCAGTTTTTGTTTTTGTTTTCAGCAGATAAATAAATAAATGAATGAATGAATAAGGAAATTAGCAAGTTAATGAGCTTTTCTCTCGCTCTTCGCCCAGATCAGGAGCTTCCATTTTTGGTGGTCTCTCTCGAGAAAGTTAATGGCTTTAATGGCTTTCCTCTGGATCCTCGACTGAACCTAGGAAGAAGATGGTATCAAGAAATGGAAATTGAATAATGGGAGAATTTGCAGGCCTCGGGGGTCGCCATGGAATTCAATCAGACGGCCCGGCAAGAGCTTGGTTGGGGCTGCATCTGCCGTCCATTTCCCCCTCTCGGGGAGGCACTGTGGGCGTTCCACCCATCGTATGAACTCTTTGGAGCCTGCTTTTATCAGTGGCTACGATAACCATAGATCGCCAAAATTTTCAAGGAGCTGTTTGCCGCAAGGAGATAAATACTTTGTTTAAAGGAATCGAAGTCTTATTTTTCAGTAAGGTCGCTCAGACTGGCCGCATCTCTCTCTCTCTCTCCTCCCCGCCCCACCTTCCCCCCTGCGGCCCGGTCCTAATGCTGTGCTACCCGTCAGGAGATACCTCTGGGGAAGAATATCAGCGTCGGGAGCCAATCGCCCACAAGCACGAAGGCAAAGCGCGAACAATTTCCTTTGCTATATTTCTTCTTTTTGTGTTTTAATTCAATTTATGCTGGAAATATCATATTTGCTAGAAAGTAATGCACGCACGGAAAGAACTGGATGAACCGGGGGAGGCTCGTAACCATGGCTTGATTTCCTCACTTCGGGAGAAATCTGGCCTCTTCGAATTGAAATGCATCGTTCTGAGTTCAATTCGGATGCGGCCAATGGGACCCGATGGCAAGAACATCAATCTGGTCGCCATTACTCAAGAAGGAGAGCAGAATCAGCATCATCTCGTTTCTTTTTTGTATCTAATCTGTTTTAGCAGGATTTGATGTTACCATGCTAGGACCTTTTCTTCTTCCAATATTTGTTTTATTGATGCATTTGATTGAAAAATAAACCTTTTCTGGTACGTCTCGTTCCACATTTTCTTGACATTAAAACCCTAATTTCTCCCACTCTCGCTTCTGACTCAGTAGCCTCATTATATCCGATATTAAAGTCTGTTTGCATGCTTGCTGCATCTTCTCTTTGCTTGGAAAAAAATTAACTCCTGTCGAGAATACACAGACGATCCTAAACTCTGGAGGTAGAAATCAGAGTTGATCAAGGCCTCCTGAAGGTTGGATCCAGAGGCCTTTTTATTATCGTCATTATCGTCACCACGATGCTCATCCCATTTTTCAGAGTCCTTCAGATCCATTTGAGATGTTTAAGGGTACGTCGATCTCTTCAACCGCTTGCAATCTAAGGTCAGCCCTAGATCATGTCTGGCCAGGGTGCTTATCAGGGTATCTTTAATCATGAGATGCCTTGCTTAGAAGTCTCACCACGTCAATAGAGGAGGAAAGGAGTGATTTGTTGGTTCCCTCCGAAAGAGCCAAGATAAAAGGGGAAAATGCGCCAATCTGACCATTGCCCAAAATCGGATTTAAAATAGCCATCTTAGTTTCCTTCAAGATTTGACTCTTCAAGCGAGATCAGAAGTGGTTCGCAGACATCCGTTTTTTTAAGAAAATTAGGGTGCAGATATTCATGATTACTTGATTTCTTGGTTTGTAGAGGCTTCAAGATGCTCCCACCATCAATCAGAGTAGAAGTTATGAAGGTTGAATTTTTATTTTTTTAATCAGTTTACGGTCATAACTTTCTATTTATCTGGTTGTATTTCTTCGTGTTCATCTTTTTTTGCCCTTGAAGGGTATATTCTTGGATTTTGGTAGAATTCCTGCCGGTGGAGATGTGAGCGAATTTATAAGATTTCCTTGCAAATTTTCTCTTCTTTATACAGTCTACTTTCTCTCAAACCAACCCCCCTACGATTATCAAACCAAAGCCAGAGGCGAAGCAGAACAAGCTTGCAATCGTTTTGAGCAAAATCAAGATCGGTAGCTACTCTTGGGGATGTTGTCCTTGGGACTTTTGAACTCAGGGAACGATCTTTTCTTGAGTTTTAAAGATTTTGATCGAATCATTGGTTCTTGGTTTCCCCCAACGTTGTGTATGGTTTTTTTTTTTTGACCCATAGGATCAAAACGGGTACTTAGACAGGCCGACTCAACGAAAGAGTAGAGGAAATATGATTGTCGGGTCAACCTCTGTAGCAGATGGGTTGAACCAGACCCAAGAATGCGTTTCAATAGTAAGCAGATGGGTCAACCCAGCAAAGCAAATCGCCATGGGCTCTTTCCTATTCTCGTTCAAATGTAACACAAAATATACACACGAGTTCTCCATGTGCAAGGCTGTCTGGTGTGCGTTGAAATTTCGGCATTTTTCAATAAAAATAAAATAAAATAAAATATATTATTCTTATCATGCGGTGCATGCTTGAAGGTGTTCCGATGATGATGGAATGGTCCATCATTCCGTTGACTTCTTGTGCATTTCAGAGCATCCACGATTTTCCATCCCTTTTCATCTCACTGAAAAGTTCTCTGCCTGCTATCCGAACCAATCAATCCTATTTATTATTTCATCTTCTCCAATTCCAGGTTTCCCTTCGTTCGGTATCGCCACGATGTGTGCCAGCCATGTCTACAAGCGCCGGAAACTGCCAAACTCTGTCGCTCTGCTATCAGGTGACAATGGAATTGGAGGCGCGCAAGGAGGGAGCGCCGCTAGTTCTAGCATGATTCCGAAATGCACGCCGTACCTGAGACAGGACGGTCTGGTCAGCAGACTCGCAGCTCAAGCAGACGGCAGTCGGGTGGTGGAGCCTCCATCGAACTCTGTGGAGGATAGACGCCTCGGCAAAAAGCTCCCAGTGACCAGTGTCCGGAAACTGACCTCACCTGGGAATTGCCTGGATGACTGCTGTTCCTCATCCAAGCTCAGTATGGAACGGGCTTCATCTTCGATGAGGGCCGGATCACGGGACACGGGGGAGTGCTCTTCCTCTGGTACTCTGCAGACGGGGCCATCTGCGCAGCTTGTTTCTGGGGATCTTCCCGGCAGCCCCTCTTCTTCGTTGGATTTCTTGGGCGGCGACGACACTCGGTTTGACATGCCCTGCAAGGTCTGCGGCGTCAAAGGTAGCCCTCTGAGGATGTTGATCTGTGATCTCTGCGACGAGGCGTTTCATTTTGCCTGTTGCAAGGCGAGGAGGCTGCCAGAGGATGAGTGGTACTGTCGGCCCTGTCTGAGGAAGAAGCCGAAGGTGCTGCCGGAGACTCTCTCGGGGCAGCTGTTCTACATCATGAGCCAGAAGAGGAAGAGGAGAATTCTACGGGAGAAGCTTGGCCCCATCCTCTCCATGCTAGTGGACGGCGACCCTTATGCTTCAGGAGTCCGAATTGGCAAGAAGTTTCAAGCAGAGGTCCCCGAATGGACCGGCCCGGTCACTGAGTATGCTGAAGTTCCAATCACCGTGATCTCATTATGATATCTCTACTCTTCTGCATCTTTCTTGTGACTCGACGATTCTCTGTTTTCCAGCGGGGATGATTATCTCGCGAAGGCTTCAGAGCTGGATCCTGCAGAGTGGGGGAGCTTGAACGTATGGCCCCTTTCTTTTTTCGCTGTTGGCTTCTGATGGAGATGCTGCAGGCGTCGCATCCGTTTCATGTCGGATGATCGGGCTCTCTCCTGGTGTGATCTACAGGCCCGGAGCTTCAGCGGGTCACCGAGGCAGTGCTCGATCGGGAACTGGCTTCAGTGTCGGGAGATGGTCTACAATGAAGCGGATGAGAACGATGAGGGAACCATCTGCGGAAAGTGGCGCAGGTTTACACTTGGCTCCTCCCTCTCTCTCTCTCTCTCTCTCTCTCTCTCTCTGAGTTGGATCAGACCAGCTTTATCCGGGGCTTCAGGAGGAAATAACAAAGGTGCCCATCTTGGTTTTGAGGTCAGAGCCCCTCTGTTCGAAGCTCAGACTGAAGATTGGGACTGCTCCTGCGCTCTCCTTTGGGACCCAATACACGCCGACTGTGCCGTTCCGCAGGTGAGCCCCCTTGTACCCGCTGTTCTTCCCCATCTGCTCACTTCTTGAAGATATCGTTTAAAGGACCACGCTGGGCGCTGCCTGATTTCTGGGCTCTGCCCATTGGATCGATTTTCTTTGCCCTCTTGGTTGGTTACTCTGTTTCTGTTTGCGTCACGCGGTGTAGGAACTGGAGACGACCCAGGTTCTCAAGCATCTCAAGTATGTTCAGCTGGTATGATCCTCACTCTTCTCGCTCACTCTGCCTTCAGTTTTTCTAGGCCATACATCCCCTTGGTCGTTGACCTGGCGGCCTACTGAGTTGGGCATCGTTGACCCAACTAGCGGCTCACACTCGTAATACTTCCCCCTCTGTCTCTGTCTCTGTCTCTCTCTATCGCTGGTGACAGTCCCTTGTCTGAGCCATCCACCGTTGGTGCAGCTGAAGACAAGGCTAGTGGACAAGAGGGGGGGCCAACAGTGACATCTTTGATGAGCCGAACGTACCAAGGATGCTGATACATATAGGCATATATATTGAAATATATGCATGAGAATCCAGCCACCATTCTATTTAACGGCATTCTGTACATCCAAACCATTCACTGCACCCTCCAACAATCACCATTATTTGCTACTTCATCTCTCTCTCTCTCTCTCTCTCTCTCTCTCTCTCTACACAGTAGCAAACCCTGGGGTGATCTCGATTCGTTCCACCAGGCTGGGGTGCTCAGCACGCAGTCAATGTCTCAATTGAGGAGAGGAACTAACCATGGCATCAAGGGAAATCATAGATTCATCAGACAGAATGTATAAATGTATGAGGATTTCATGAGAGAGGACGCAGGAGACGAGCATGTCCAACTTTTATTTCGGAAAGGAAGGAAGGAAGGACCCTCGATCGGATTTCTAAGAATGGAGGAACCCCCAGTCTTCCAGAGCAAAAACCCAAAGAAATCCAGAGATTCACGGAGGCCACCAATCAGATGCGCCCCGTCGTACCCTGCATTAAATAAAGCAGATGGCGCGAGTCAGGAGAGGGAAACTCTACAGAATCAACAGATTAATCCATCGACACGTATGGAATGATGCAGAAGGAGGCTATTCATGTTGTTCGAATGAGATCCCAATTGAGAAACTAACAATACCTCTGAGATTAGTGCGCAGAGCTCTTCGCCACCCAAGAACTGCCCGATACTAAAGAAGATTCTAAAGATTGTCTCCCGTGAGCTCTCTGAACAGGCGGAAAACAACGATTTCTACGATCCTAGTTCCCCTCACCGATGGGCATGAGCAAAGTTCTCATGAACTCTCTGTGTAGTATTGGACTGTTTCGTGGACATGGTCCCGAATCGGAGCAATGCACTCGGGTGACCACTACAGGGATCTTCATCACTGGGCGAGTACGGAAAAAGTGACATTCGCCATTCGCCATTTTTTTCCCCAAGTCGACGATGAAGTCTATGACTTAATTCAACAAAAAGCTTACCTCCCCCAGCCAATCTTTCCCCAACTAGAGAGTATTTTTCATATAAACGCTGGTAAGACTAGGCAACACCAGGCTATGTTTACCGGAATATTTGCCTAAACAACGGCGATGAAAAATAAAAATAAGATGACCAATTGTCCATCGGAGAAGAATTACAGCAGTACATCCATCCAAAAGCCAATTTCAAATCAACTAATCCGTTCCAAGAACTGACAGGTACAAACCTTCTTCTTAAGCCAACAATAACTTTACATTATGCGCTAAATACTAGGTAGTATTCTTTTTATTTTTTTAACACAAACTGATGGAAATGCAGCGTATCGATGTTATGCACACCAAGAAAGTAACCTAAGACAATAACTAAACATTAAGCAAACGGCATCGCTATTTTTTAAACATGTAGCACTGCATCAACAAGCAGACCTTTGAGTGATAATGCATCTCACTCGGAACAGTCATAAGAAAGATAGGAAGAGGCCCCATTCGAACTGTGCGACGTCAGTAGAACCCAAGTTCAGATATATAAGAGAAGGATATTCTTTGTTTACTACCCTATCAATAGACGTTATGAATTATTCAGTACCAAATTGCTGGGATGGTTGGAATGTAAGCATGAAATGTTCACAAAAGGCCAAAGACCTGTTTTTCCGCATTTTACATTCTCAGACCTCCCACTTGATGCGATAAACCCCCCTGTTCTTCCACATATTACCTCTGAATGGGATAAGAAAATATGCATCCGATTATCTTATGCACGATATTCTTCAATGTCATTTTATTGTTCTTGGGTTACTTCCCAATCAGTGCATCTGGCGGGTAATTCGGTTCCAGATTGCACAGGGAGTTGGCATGAAAACATTATATGTTTCACCAGAATTGAAAAAAAAAAACACATGCATCTGAAACAAATTACCTGACCAATGATCACATTACCTAACATCATTGCAAGCACCTATTCACGAAAAGCTACACTCAAACACCTTTCAGAAGAGGTATCTACATAGGAGATAATCGCGCATCCTCTTTTTTATCAATTCTCCAAGAGTCCAATTACATCAGGTCGCATTTCTCATCTTTGAATTGAGAATATTGAAATGTACTTTATATTTATAGGGCTTCGTGTTAGACAGTACACCCTGATACTGTTGATCATTCTTCGCTTCAGGATTAATTTCAATATAAATACTCTTTCATCAAAAACAATATAGATCTGCTTCCTTTTGCCCTCGATTTAATTTTATTCATATATTAAATGTTTCAATACATTTTTAACAGAATCACACTGTCGCCTCCTAGACAATACCCAAAATCATGAAAATTCCATTGATAATCAAGTCCTTTAATTGATTCTCTGTTCTATCCCTGGGCGAGCGTGCTCTATTATATTTTCCAAGACACTCTACCTTTGGAAAAGAATAATAGCAGAAGGGCAAAGTGTGATATAGTCAGCACAGACAGTCAGGGAGAACAAAAATGTTATAAGCAGGTGACTCCGCATTTTGTAACAAAAAGAGCTGTGGCGTCCCTACGTCATTTGTATGCGAATGTCCAAGAGGCGCACCTAGATGGGTGGACGCTCGGCTGAGGTGCCCTCCGTCGGTCGACCAGATCAATGGCCGTGCTGCGCTTGGTGCGCGAGGTGGCGGCGCTCCTCAGGGAGGGCGACGAGATAGGAGAAAATCATCCCTCCGAAGCATACGTGGTAGAGGGGCTCGATGGAGCTCGTCTCGATGTACTTGTCATGGTACCTGTCGAAGCCCTTCGCGATTGACTTCTTCAGGTAGTCCAACGACATCATCGGCTTCAGGTGCCCCGGAAGCTCCCGGACCTTCAGGCCCTTGATCTCGTTGAAGAAGCTCCGCATCGCCATGAGACTGCCCGGATCGAAAATCTCCGATCGCACGGAAGCGACGAAACCCTAGCTCCCGAGCGTTCTCCCAATTTTCCCTCCCCAAGCAGTACGGTGGCGACGGTGTTATCGTGGAAGGAGGGACATTTTTGTCATTAACAGAAAAGTAAAGAGGCCTGAACATCGAATGATGAATGGGTCGGTGTTATTGGGCCGGTATGATTGGGCTCACACGTTTGGGCCGACGGCGATCTGGGCCACATAAGACACGTCTAGATTACCGTTGGTAATTAATGATGCCGAGGAGGGAGTTAAAGCCCCGTTGCCCATGGTGTCGTCTTCTCGGTTGTTCGTCGACTTAAATAGCAGTAGGCTAGACTGGAAGGTTCCTACATTATTAATTCATTAATTATTTACTCTAATAATAAATCCCAAATTGACCACGTCGGATGGTGTCAACGTAGAAGACGAAACTCGTGTATGGGCCCGGTAGGATCCTTCGCCTGTTCGCGCCACGTCGAACAGTACGTGACGCTGATGCCGTGCCGCGGGGGTCAACCGCCCGGGGGAGTTGACATTACTGCCCGCTTGTGGAAGAGGCACTCTCCCACCATATTGACCGCCCCCATGACGGGTCATTTCTTCTAATAAATGCCATTTCTAATGACGGGTCGTCCTCGACGTAAAAGACGTGAAGGATGCCGTTCTCACTCTCCCTCTCTCTCTCTCTCTCTCGCGTTGCTTTCTTCTCTCGGTAAGCGCGACGCCCACGAGTGTCTCGTGGTTACGTGGGTTCGTATATATTCTCCGTCTTTTGGCCGAGCTCCAGCCACGAAGAAACTTCCCAAATACGTCGACGCGGGGAAGCAATCGCCTGAGGGGATAAAGGAGAGTAGCCTCCCCCCCACCCTAACTTCACCACCGCCGGCGATCATTGAGAGAGCCGCCCCTCCCCTCCGCCGGCGGCCTTCTGCCGGAGACGCAGGGGACCCCAGTGATTCGTGGAATGGTACTGGCGTCATGAACCTCACTGAACACCTGGGTCTCCTCCGTCGTCTCTTCTTCGCCTGGTTTCGATTTCTCCCCGAGCTTGAATTCGGGTCTTCGTTTTTTATCGTGGGTTTTATGACAGAACAGTCTCGCCGGCGCTGCCGTGGCCGAAGTTTCTCTATCGTTGTCTGTGTGTTATTCGAGGCTCGCTGGCGTCACCTCTGACAGCTCTTGAGGTTGGCAGGTCGTCGAGACGGAGAAGCAGCAGCCGGAGCGGAGAGCGGTGCTGACGGCGCCGCTCTCTCTGGAAGGCGGGCTGACGGCGGAACACCGGACCCCGACCATCGTCCAGCGCGTCCTCGGCCTCTTCCGCAGCGTTCGACCGGGAACCGATCTCACCCACTTCCAGGTGACCCTCACCCCCGTCCTCCCCCATTATTCCCTCCTCTTCGGTTGGGGTTTCTGCCCTCATGTGATCATCCCCTGCCTTCCCATGCAGCTTCCCCCGCAGTTCAACCTGCCCAAGTCCCAGCTCCAGTGCTACGGGGAGTCCGTCTACTGCATCGCTGGGGACATACTGAGGCAATGCGCCAGAGGGGAGACCAGCCTGGAGAGGCTCACCGCCGTGGTGGCCTGGAGCATATCGATGGTCAGACCTCTCGCCTTCGGCCAGGCTCCCTTCAACCCAGTCCTCGGCGAAACCCATCACGTCTCCAGAGGATCCCTCAACGTCCTCCTCGAACAGGTCCCCTCTCTCCCTCCTTCCCTGACTCCCGCTCTGAATCATCAAAACATCTCGTCGTTCTGCTGAATCCCTCCTCTCCTCCTGCAGGTCTCCCATCATCCTCCCGTCTCCGCCCTCCACGCGACGGACGCTGAGGCGAAGGTGGAGCTCGTCTGGTGCCAGAACGCCGTTCCCAAATTCAACGGCAAGCTCACCCCTCCCCCCCTCCCTTCTCCGTCCTTCCTCCGCCAGCGAGGGCCGGAAAACTGACCGAGCGAGCTCTCCACTTCCAGGCACCAGCGTGGAAGTTGTAATCAGAGGGGAGAGGCGGCTGAACCTGCTGAGCCACGGCGAGAGCTACGAGCTGAGCGTGCCGGCGCTTATGATCAAGTTCCTGCCGGTGCCGGGCACCGAGTGGTCGGGCATCGTCCGCATCCGGTGCAGGGAATCGGACCTCGAGGCCGAGCTCTGCTACCACCGGAGCCACTCCTTCCTCGGCCTGGGCGGCAACTCCCGCGCAGTCAAGGGGAAGATCTTCCGCTCCCAGACGGGGGAAACCCTCCGCGAGATCCACGGTCACTGGAACAGGTACTCACAGAGATCTAAAATTATAGACACCCTAGATTAACATCCTGCTCGAGTCAACGCCTCGGCTTCATATAATTGCACCCGTTTTTATATCCTCGGCACTCCACAACAGCAAGATCACGATGAAGGATGTGTTCAGCGGGAAGATCTCCGTCCTTTACGACGCAAAGGAGGCCATCTCCAAGCTCCATCCTCCCATTCTCAAGGACCCGAAGGTGAGGAAGCCCACCACCGTTGACTTATTTTCGATCAATATGCGGGGAAAATAATTCATGGGTTTCTCCGCGGGTGTTCTGATTCGTCCAGGGTTTGCTGTCGACGGAGTCGGCGGTTGTGTGGGCGGATGTCAGCGAGGCCGTGGTGGGCAGGGACTGGGACCGAGCGAGGGTAGCGAAGCGGAGGGTGGAGGAGCGCGAGAGGCGGCTGCGGGCGGAAAGGGATGCCAGCGGCGAGATCTGGGCACCCAGATTCTTCAGGGTGACGCCGAACAAAGACGGCGGCTGGGAATGCCGCCCCATCGCCCCCGAGGTCCCACCGGCTCCCATCGTCGTCTCTGTGTAGATCCTTCCACACAAATGGATCTCTCTCTCTCTCTCTCTCTCTCTCTCTCTCTATGTCTGTTCACAGTATCCCCTCCTTTAACGTTCAGTGTTTGCTTTGCCAGCAAGCATTTACGCGTAAATGATGTATATGCTCCCATATCCAGAGAGAGAGAGAGAGAGAGAGAGGGAGAGAGGGAGAGGGGGAGAGTATTAATACTATCGATTATATAATTTAATAAATTAAATAAATTAACCGGCAAAATGGGGATATTTATATTATATTATATTACTATTATATTATTATTATTTTAGATTTTTTTGTAATAATTCTAAAGTGAAAGTTGCCGAAGCGTTTGGAGGGTTATGATAAGTCTTCATTATCATTAGTTAATAATTAGTAAATAATATAGTTTTAGCTTAACTCATGATAAATAGATTTATATTTGTGTTAAAGTGTGAAAAGTGGTTTTCAGTTGATTAACGTGAATTTTTAAGTAATTATGTGATTTTATACAAATTTATATGATTTTTATAATATTACTTTTGAGATAAATGAAGAAATAAAAATAAAAATAAAAATATAACAAAATAGAAGGTACCTACTAGTCAACCATGCTCGTAAACATGTTGGAAGTGCAGTCGAGGAGGAGCCGTAAGCAAAGGCTTGAGCAGCTAGGACCGATAGGGGCACGTGTGCACCACTCTCTTTCCACGTCACCGGTGGTCAGCCGGTTGTGAGGCAAAAAGTAGTTGTACATGTGGGAGAAAGAGATTTGCTCGCAAATATAATATTATTATATATTTATTCGAAACTTTGGTACACAAACGATGTGAAACTAAACGCACGTCACAACTTTCTCAAAAAGGGTTTGATGATTTTAATATCTAAAATATCTCTTATTTATAACAGAAATATACCATGATGACATTATTTAATAAGGGTATTAGAGTACTTATGTCAATCTCTATCATGTAGGCGAGCAACCGACGTGGGTTTAAATCTTCTTAGAGCCAAAACTCATATTTTTTATCTGATTATCGTGACTTTTCTATAGATCGTCGATGAAGGATTAAGCCGCCATAATCATTAGATCATCAATGAAAATCTCGTCAATGTGAGTCATGGAGCATTGTTACTAAAATTGTTGAATGATACATGATAAAATGATCGTGAATCTATCTAGTAAAATATCTCTGATTGATCGACGAATAAGTTACCGTTGAGAAGAGGATGATTTACCGAGATACGAGTTATCACCTCCTGAGAGCATATCAGATGCGATGAAGAGCCTCCTCTTATTGTGCGGATTTGAGGATGAAGCTCATTGACATGTGCCCTACCTTCATCTAACTCCTTTCCGTTAAATGACAACTGTTAGAGTGTCGTAAAGTCACCATTTTTTCACTCTATTGGGTGACAGCCATCAGAGATGATTTGACGACTTATTTCATTGATCTCTAGATTTTACAAGGAGATCTAGAGATTGCTCACATCGTCCTTGTCTAAAGAAAGCTTTCGAAGCTATGAATATTACATGACGATCCTTCTGAATGCTTAGGATTTCAGTGTATTACCGACACATCATTATTATAATATCGGAACTCTGTTTTCCTACTTTCAACTTACTTTTCACTTCATTTAGTGATAATTTGTGTGATTTAAATTTACCAAAATATATTTTATTTAATTATGATTCTTTCGGCTTTTACTGATCTTAATTTGATCAATTAAATCGTTTGTAATCACTTACGTAAAAATCGTCAGGCGAAACTCTATTTCTACTTGATTCATATTCGCCGGGTGCTGACATCATCTTGACGTCCACACCTTTATTTTCCTTTTTTTATGAATTTTAAATATATTTTATTTTCATTTCCTAGTGTACAATTCATAAAAAAAAAATTATTTGAAAAAAATTCTGAATAATTACCTGATATTATATTACATCCCTATGATCGACTTGGAAAATTATCACTATTTTTTGAAGTTTTATTAAATTATAATTGATATATGTTTTTTAGAAATACTTCTAAATATCTCAAAATTTGTATTTTCTAGTTTTATAAATTTTAAATTTACGTGATTTACTAAAGATTTTTATTCCGGAGACACGGTATCTGCGATGAAGTAGTCACGGTAGAGTATATTGTGTCCGGATTCTAAGATATGAGGGGGAAGTGGCGGCTGGACCAATCACAGCCCTCCTCGTGATCTCGTCTGGATAAATCTCAAAACCCCTAGAAATGAAGGAATTTATATGCCGACCAGGAAACGAGAAAGATCTGATGCTGCTGCTGCTGCTCTCGCGTCTGCCATGGCGACTGTCATCTCTTCGTCTCTCCTCCCCTCCTCCTCCCGGCGCCATGGTGCCGGGGCCCTGGTTTCTCGGCGCGTTCCCTCCAGCAAGTGCAGGATCGCCCTCCGATCTCAAGGCCGCGTGGTCTCCGCCGCTGCGTCCGCCGCTCAGCCGGCAGTGGGGGCGCCGGAGGATCTCGTCGAGTCCGTGCTCTCCAAGGTTTCGATCCGCCGCCCAACCGCCTACTCGTATTTTGCAGACACGGAAGGGCAGTGTTTAGAGGAGGGGATTAGGCGACGAATCCGTGGGAAGAGGTAGTCACAGGAACCCTAGTGGTGATTGCAGGTGAAGGGAACGGATCGGGGAGTCCTGCTGAGCAAGGAAGGCCACGCGCAAGTGGACAAGTTGACGGCGGAGCTCTCCAAGTGCTGCGTGGAGGAGCCCGTCAAGTGTCCCCTTATATTCGGAGGTAAAGAACGGATTATCGCCTGGAAATCGAATTGAAACACAAACATAGCAAATATATATGTAGAGAAGATACTAATTCTTCGGTGGACCGTACTTGGTGAGATGTCATTAGTAAAAGTCAATGGAAGTTTAGAGTAGTTTTTGTTTATACGCAATCGGTATGCATCTCCTGATCCGGTTCATGTTAACTATGTTGAACTCCTACTCAAGAACTGCCGCTTTCAACTTGCCTGGCAACAGCGTCTATCTTTCAACTTGCCTGCCAACTGCCGCTTTCAGTGAACTGCATTGAATCTGGCAATCATCGACAATCTTTCGAGGGTGTGACTTCAATTATTGTTGAAATGGGATCGATGTCTGCATTTTAGATCTGGAAGAATTTTATATCATTCATTTTGTGTTACAGGGATGAAAATTAGTTGTGTTCCTCCAAACATTAGATAAAAAATCTGCGGATAAATCTTATTTCATAAATTTAAGCTCAATGGGGATTCTATTTCCGTAGAATGTCGGATTAGATAATTCGTTCATGCTGGCGTTATCCTTGTTCCTACTGTTCATCATTTCTCCTCATTCGAAGGACAATAATCAGTACTCACACCGTAGATCAGAGTGACATCATCTCCTTGTTGATCTTATTTCTTGATGTATAGAATGGGACGTGGTGTACTGCTCAAACCCAACATCTCCTGGAGGCGGCTACCGGAGCACTATTGGCCGCCTCATCTTCAAGACAAATGAAATGATTCAAGTCGTGGAAGCTCCGGATTCTGTGAAGAACAGGGTTTCGTTCTCTGTGTTTGGTTTCCTTAACGGGAAGGTCTCCCTAAATGGTAAATTTTTCAATCTCCAGAACCCAGATCTGCTTCTTACAGCAACCATTTAAAAGCTGTGCAGCTGCTTGAAAATTATTTGGAGTTTTTTTTTAAATTTTGAACATCATCATTTGATCAGCAAACCCCATATATTGGACTAAGTTTCTGGGGAATCATAGTGCGATGATTTCTTCTCATTTCATGTTCTTCTACTTATATCCATCTATACTCTCCTTTCTTCAATCCCCATGGTATAATCTAATGATTTTTTCTCATCTCATATTCTTCCGCTTCTATCATTTTATATTCCCATTTGTTCATCCCCTTGTTCACACTTCACATCTTTAACTACCCTGATGTTGGCATGAGAATTATAATACAATAATATTTTTTTTCTGATTTCATTTCACCCTGCTTGTATCAATCTGTGTTCCCAGTTCATACAAACACTCTGCGTCGTCATCTGCACTTGATTATTTGTTCTTATCCCCAGAGGCCAGGATAAGGTTTCAGAAAATAGAATAGAATAATAATAATAATAATAATAATAATGATAATGATAATGATAATAATAATAATAATAATATATTCTCATTCCATATTGGCCTGGTTTTTCCGACTGCTTGTCATCTCTGTCCATGTGATCCAACCTTGGCATTTATTCCCTTCCAGGAAAGCTGAAGGTGCTGAGCGATAAGTGGATTCAAGTCATATTCGAACCCCCCGAGCTGAAGATCGGAGCGTTTGACTTCCGATACGGTGGCGAGAGCGAGGTCAAGCTAGAGATCACCTACGTTGACGAGAAAATCCGGCTGGGGAAGGGATCCAGAGGTTCTCTCTTCGTCTTCCGGAGACTCGGATAGTTACACCGCGCGTACGCCGTATCTTTTGCCCCAGTGCTGCACATTTGCATGTGCCCCCCTGTCATGTTCCTCTTTTGTGTTTAAACCTTATCGCCTTAAATAATCACGAAGTTTGCTCGCATATTATGGATGGATTCTTCCGGAGGGTTAAAAACGAAATTAGTAGGATACTTCGACAATTATTGTTAATTTACTAAATCCATGGAAATGTTGTATTTTATAGGGGAAAACTGAAAAATGTTTTCACGACCGAAGCGGGCTTTCGCGCTATCCGCAAACTGACACGTGCAATGCTATCATTGGTTTTCGTACACAAAAGCTATCGCTTTCCCGTCTCGGTAGCTATGTGGTCCTATTGGGCCTCATTAACGTACCATGCCCATTATAATAAAAGCCCATTAATGACGACTGGCCTGGTCGTGTGTTTATGTGGCCCATATTCGAGCGCAGTGGCGGCAAGAGAGGGCGAGCGGCGGAGATATCAAACTTCGGGTGATATCCTCCGCCGCCCCGCTCGAATGGAGGTTTTCGCGAGAGCCAAGACGGCGAATCCGCATCCTCTACCAGGTGAAGCTCTAGGAATTCTGAGAATCCTGCCATTTTTCTTGATTCTATTCAACCTGAGACGAATCTGAGGTCTTCTTGTTGGTCCATCTCTTCCCGGGAGTAGAAGCTGGGAGGAGTACCAGATGTCCCGGACAGTCGGTGGTGAGTCGCTTGTTCTCCGTTACATCGTCGTGCGGGCGGTCGTTCTCTTTCTGGATTGTTTTTGCTCGAATTTTGTTGGGGCTTCCATGACTGCGTTAGGGGAGATGTTGCCTGAAGTAGAAGAAGTTCGCTGAGACTGAAATCTGAAGTGACAGGATGTTAAATAATTATAATAGCGTGGTTTTTTTTTTTTTTCCTTCCAATTAAGTCTCGTGCCAGAATGTGATGAAAAGGGTTCCCCGCTCAACTACCTCTCTTTTCCTCAATTCTAACGAGAAATTTCGCATTCTTGCTTTAGTTAAATCTCTAACAGGCGGGGGATCTTGACCAATTCCCACAAATGGTATAACCTAATGAGAATTTCACAGCACACATTAGTACCTAGTTTTCCAAAATAAGCAGCCCATCTATCCATTACTGTGGGAAGAGTTGCTGTTGATTAAACATTTTCTCATCTCAATAGTTTATTACGGTGTAAATTTTATTTATGCTCATTTTATTTTTTTGGTTACAATGACGGCAGAGAGCAGTTCCCATGCGTATACTAACCGTAAGCAAGAAGAGGTCCCAGGGAGTGCAACTCCTGGTTGAAGAATACGAGGAGAAAGTGAGACACTACTGCAGTCTGGATATTCTCCAGATTAAATCCAATCCGAAGAATACTCGGTATTTGGGTCCCTTTTCTGGCATGCAGGGAGATTTTGAACTGATACCTGTTATAAGCTCGAAAATTTTACCTACTGCGGTCTCGTCGTCCATTCTGTATCATTCGTCTATTAGATTCAACACAATTCAAAGCCCAATTTGCATAGTATTCATTTTTATTGATGCATATTAAACCACATGCCATCGTTTGTCTTACTTTTGCTGTGCTTGTATCTCGAGCAGTGATGTGAAAGCCCAGATTGAGGGAGAAGACATTCTTGTCATGCAGAATATCAGGCCTGAAGATCTGGTACAATGTCAACTTTGATATATATACTCTTATCATCTTGAAAGTTCATCTGGCGTACTTTGGTGACGATTGTAAAAAGGCTGCAGTTATGTAGCTTCTTTCCCTTCCCAGTTATGATTGAAATATTTTTTTTTGCTGCTTAAATGATATCACTTTGGATCACCTTGTCACCCTCTTTTGTACAAATTTTAACACCATATATTTTTTTAATCCTTAGCATCTTTTGTTTTTCTGATTTTTTATCGGAGCAGACTGCTGAGCTCATGGTTATTCATTTACACAGGTGATCATGCTAGATGAGAAAGGAAGGGATATTGGGTCGGCAGAAATGGCTGAGTTGGTCAGAGATGCTGGGGAAACAGTACGCTCTCGATTCCCATTTTCTCAATCCTACGATCTGGCCGATTAAAACATGTTCTTGGTGATGCCGACGTGAATAATAGAAATACCGTGTGCCGTTTCCATCAATAAACTCGACTGTTAGAACTCTGCCTCCCATAATGTAGCACAGGAGTTTCTTTCACGGACTCAGTCATGACCAGTTAGGGATGCTTCCTGCTCAGACGTTCTGACCCCTTCTCAAGTACACACGGTTGATCAGTGGTTAACTCATGGTGCGTTTTCAGTCTTTACATATCATAAGAAGACAGGCTCTCATCATGAGTATAAGCCCATGGAACTTTTTGTGGGTTTTTATCCTGGGCCTCTCTCTCTCTCTCTCTCTCTCTCTCTCTCTCTCTCTCTCTCTCTCTCTTACATTTATTATGGGTTTCGGTTCTAGTTTGGGCAATCACTTCTGCATTGAGAATTCATAATTTTAAAATTCATTTGTTGGGTTTCTCTCTCTCTCTCTCTCTCTCTCTCTTACTTACATTTATTATGGGTTTTGGGTCTAGTTTGGGCGATCACTTTTACAACGAGAATTCATAATTTTAAAATTCACTTATTGGGTTTCTCTCTCTCTCTCTCTCTCTCTCTCTCTCTCTCTCTCTCTTGGGTATGAGGGGGGGGGGGGGGATTGGATGTAGGTATGACTTTTGTACAACCCCGAGGTGGACAGTGATCGGTTGAGACAGCCAATAAGTCACAATCGATCATGTTCTAAAAAATACTAATAATTCTTTTTAAAAATATAAAAATCCTTCATTTCTGGAGAAAATAACATTTTGGCTTATCGGCAGAAATAATTCTAGCGACTTAAACGCCGCCGCAGTGTCCACGTCGCGCGTTGAAAACCTGCCAAATTAGAGCTGTACTTTTTTCTTCAAACTGTGCTGCATGGATTCCATCGTCTCACATACAACATCTTAGCATGCTGATTAGTTAATGCTTCGGGGTGGCCCCTTTCTAGGGATCATCGAGGCTTGTGTTCTGCATCGGCGGGCCGTACGGGCACGGATCACAGCTGCGGGCGCGCGCCAATGTGGCTATCAGATTGTCCTCCATGGTTCTGAATCACCAAATCGCACTACTCGTGCTGCTGGAGCAGCTCTACAGGTGATCCGTCCTCTCCCTCTCTCTCTGTCTCTCTGTCTCTCTCATGATCCCGTGCCCTTCTTCTGTTCTGATGTTGGGTTTTTTCTTCTGATATTTCAGAGCGTGGACTATTCTGAAAGGGCAAAAATATCATCACTAGATGGAGTGCGGCTGCTCAATATCCCGTACCTTTTCTTGTACATGCCGTTGTGTCTGTACACGCCCTTGGTGGGCCCCAACCTTTATCACACCTCTGCCGCCCGAGACATAACTTCCGGGAACGTACTAGATTGCGGGTCGAAACGGACCCACGTCAGCGGGAACACGTCGGGAGGCCATGGAGCGGCCACGTCATCAACTCCACGCCCGCGATTCGTGGCGTCTCTCTGTCTGCTCCTGAGTGCCCGACCCACGCCTTCTTCTTCTTCCCGCCCTTTCGCCGTCGTCCGTCACCCTGACGGCGATGCCAGCGCTCATCCTACCGTCTCCGGTCTTCACCTTCCCCACGAAATCCCCCCTCGCAGTCCGGAAGGGAGCCTCCGGCGACGCTTTGCCAGTCCCCTCCGTCTTCATGAGCTTCGCGTCGGGATCCTCTCCCGTTCCTGCTGCGGCCAGTCCGGCGGCGGCGGGAAGGACGGTCCCTAGGCTGAACAGCGGCGAGATCGCCGCCGCGGCGGAGGAGGCGTTCGGAAGGTACTCCGCCTCCGATGCGAGGAGGAATGGCGCGGGAGTGGCGATCGTCTGGTTCAGGAACGATCTGAGGCTGCTGGACAATGAGGTGCTGTGGCGGGCGTGGGCGGCGTCCAACGCCCTCTTGCCGGTGTACTGCGTGGATCCCCGCCTGTTTGGGAAGACCCATTACTTTGGGTTTCCCAAGACTGGAGGTGAAGGGATGAGTTAACGGAGTAGGAGTAGTGGCAGCATTGTTTGTTTTTTTCATGTTTTCAATCGATGCAGACAATTTTGAACTGATTGGTTTTCTTCGCGCCATTGACAGCCCTGAGAGCGCAGTTCCTGCTCGAATGCTTGACTGATCTGAGAGAAAACCTAGTGAAGCGCGGTCTCAACTTACTCATACAGCATGGGAAGCCTGAAGATATTCTCCCCAAGATTGCGAAAGCTTTTGGTGCCCACACAGTTATGAATTGTGGAATTTCCATTCCCAATGCTATAATTATTTTATTTTTCTTGGTAGTGTCAGCAGGGGGGTTTTCCTGCACAATCGCGATGCCATCGTCCGTTCATTCTTTCTTTCTTCGGCGAAGTTACCTTCTTCACACATCTTGATTAACAGATATTGATGGTTTCCTCTTTCAATATTCCTTTTCTCGCGTGGTCATTGATCTTACTGCCCTAATTCACACGATGATGTAGGTATTTGCTCACAAGGAAACGTGTAGTGAGGAGCTCTTCGTTGAACGACGGCTTCGAGACCGTCTTCAGCAAGTGACGGTAACCCCGAGTGGATCCTCTTCTAAACCTATAAAGCCCAAGCTACAGCTCATCTGGGGGAGTACCATGTACCACATTGATGATCTTCCGTTCAATACGGGAAGCTTGCCAGATGTTTACACGCAATTCCGCAAGGTAAATTCTAGAATAATTTTCATAGGGCGAAGTCGAAATATGATACTTGTTCAACTGAAAATTCAGTAGCTGTATGAAATATGATACAGTCGGTAGAGTACAAGTGCAAAGTCAGAAGCTGCTGCAAGTTACCCACGTCTCTCGGTCCATTTCCTGGCTCTGGCGTGGAGGAAATTGGTGGCTGGGGGAGCATTCCTTCACTTGGGCAACTTGGGCTCGAGGAGACAAGCCTAAAGGTGGGTTGAGCATCCAATCGGGGGAGGTATCATCCCAATCGATTCATTGTTTACATGAAGGTGCAGGCGAAGTTTTCTTTCAGCAATAATTCTTTGAAAGAATGAGCTTCATGTTTTCATTAAGTGCCTGTTCAATAAAGTCGTTGTCGTCCCATCATAGATAACCTTGCTATAAACCACATCATAGATCACTCTAGAATGGAAGGAAGCTACTAAACGTCCACGTACCTCACACACAAAGTCTTTCATCCTCATTGAGCAGGATACTTACAATTTAGTTCTTCGTGTTGTTTGTGGGAGCAACTGCAGATGCTATCTAGGCATAGACATGAGAATACGAAGCAGAAGGGAAGATCGTGGGGAGTTGTGCTGATTGGCAGGGAAAATACATGGAGGTCGTGGTGATCGAAAGGGGAGGGTTGGTGTGGGAGGGACGGAGGGTGGAGGACGGAGAGGACACGGTGGGGTATGGGCACATGCCTTGCTTCTGCCCCCGATACCCGATGCCAATTCCCTTGGTTGGCCATCATTTGCTCCCCCTTCTTACCCTATTCATCCAACATCTCGTTTACTCCGAACCACTGCTCCTAGTTTGCTCCATATTTTCTGAGAAGGGTATGCTAGCTACAGATGGAAGCAAGTGTTGATCTTCTTGGAGTGGAGTAAGAAGAGTCAACGTCTACCCGGTGGGCAAGCAAGATACTGAAGAGCGCCAAGAAGATGACTCGATTGGAATGGCTCCTCTGCACAAGTTTCATTGCTCTTCGTACTTCTCTTGCCAGCTCTTGTGTTGCACAGATATAGTTATGTATTCTATATCTCCTTGCTCAGTGTTGACACTGCTTAACTGGACGTGGAAGAATTTCTGTGGATTGTGTGGTAGTGCATAACCTTGCTGGGTAAGACACGGACAATATGACATGGGTGCTAACACAAACGACTAACACACTGATGATTTTTGTTGCATGTACAGCATTTTTTAATGTACCCTGTTCTTCAGAAGGCATGTGGAAAAGGACGGTTAATTTTTTAGCAAAAGCAATCCGAAATCCCTATTTTATCAGTCCCTCCACTCTCCAACTTGTTGGGCTGCCCTTTTAGCTGATGCACATGCACGTTCTGGTAGATGGGTAATTATTTCTTGATGTTGCTATTTTACCTCTGGACATCAAATCATGTTATATTTTGGGTGTTATTTTTGCTAAATCTATCTTCCTTAATTGGTACTTGATCAAGATATGCTCAATTTGTATATTTAGGATAAAATAAAAGATACCTGCTTCTGGTCGATCTAGTTGTATTGATTACCCTTGGAAATCTGATGCTCGTTCCCAAAGAAGCAGTGCACTTTTGTTCCATGTTTGATTAAACTGGATCCCATGTTCCTAAAAGTGCAGGTTGACAAAGGAATGCAGTTTGCTGGGGGCGAAAGTGCAGCTCTGGGTAGAGTTCAGGAATATTTCTGGACAAAGGCAAGAGTTCTAGAAAAGAACTTTCAAATTTCTTGGTATATATTTATTTCATTTTCTGTCTTCTTGGGGGGGGTTATAAGATCCTGACCGACGTTTCATCACCACAATTTGATTGTGTTGAAAAGGACTTGATAAGGATTTATAAGGAGACAAGGAATGGCATGCTGGGACCAGATTACTCCACTAAGTTCTCCCCATGGCTTGCTTTCGGATGCCTTTCTCCACGTTATGTTTATGAAGAGGTTAGATGACGGTCAATTGGTCCTTGTTGAAGCTTGTGCAAAAGCTATGGCTCATTTCTGATTGCCCTTTTACTTGATCTACTCAGGTGAAGAGATACGAGAGAGAGAGACTCGCCAATGACTCGACATACTGGTATTCCCTGTACTTTTAGGACATCGTTAGAATCATTTTAGTTGTTGCAGTGACTGCCATGCTTGGCTGGTATACCCTCCGCTGAGAGTTCAGAGGATCGATGCCTATTGATTTGCTGAGGAAGCCAGGCCTCTCTGGGTTTTATGATACTACGTTGTCCTGGTCTCAGGGTATTATTTGAGTTGATATGGAGGGACTATTTCAGATTTCTCTCTAAGAAATATGGTAACTCTATCTTCCATCCAGGTAAGTGTAGACATCGTCTGCATTCCTTCTTCTCCATCTGTGTCTTTCGTTCTCCAGTATTTTCACTGATAGACATGTTTGCCATGTTCATTTGGTTGTTTCGCTTCACGGTGATGGCTATATGAACTATAGGCTATGCCTTGTAATCTACAGTAAGTTAATAATTTACAGGGGGTCCAAGAAACGTGGCATATAATTGGAGTCAAGATCAGATATTGTTCGAGTCCTGGAGAGATGGTCGTACAGGGTATGTCGGTCTGTTCATTGGACACTCTGGATCGTAACCAATCATTTCCACCGAGTTCTAATTGTCGGCAACCCTGTATTTTAAATCTATGGCGTCGGATCTGAAATTCCACAGGTACCCACTCATTGATGCAAACATGAAAGAGTTGTCCGCCACAGGTTTCATGTCGAACCGAGGACGCCAGGTGAATCCTGACTCTATCATCATACACTCGTTATTCATCATATTCAATTAAGATATAAACTTGGCAGAGAGCGCGTACATCCTCTACCTTCGTTTATGGATTTAATAGGAAAATTCGTTTATTGCAGATTGTTTGCTCATTTCTTGTTCGAGATATGGGGATCGATTGGAGAATGGGTGCTGAATGGTTTGAGACCTGCTTGTTGGACTATGATCCGTGCTCTAACTATGGGAACTGGACCTATGGGGCAGGTTTAGTCTCAGCTGGCTGATCCAACTGGCTTGATTCGATGGAATATGACATCCTCTAAAATACTCATTCCGGCTAATATCTTTGCATGCGACAGGTGTAGGGAACGACCCAAGAGAGGATCGATACTTCAGCATCCCGAAGCAGGTGAGTCCACCAAACCATTCTCTGAGAAATTTATGGGGAAGTCCTCTCCGGGATTTGACTGTTATAGGGACACAACGGGCGACTATTCAAATTTCGATCTTTGGAACTAAATGGTTGTGTAACACTGCCGATTATGGGCCTCAACATGCTGGACCGTGCTCAGGACTTCCCACAAGTCAACCCTGGGAAATGAGCTCTGGGCTCCAGCCATATGAAGCCCAGGCCGCCCGGATTGGCCTCCTTATGTTTCTCAGGGAGAGAGGAAGAGAGAGAGAGAGAGAGAGAGAGAGAGAGAGAGAGAGAGAGAGAGAGAGAGAGAGAGAGAGTCTGAGAAATATTACGCTTACCAGGAGTTATTTTGTGGTGATCTCTATTGAACTCCCTCTAATCAGGCACTGACGTATGATCCCGATGGAGACTACGTCGCTCACTGGTTGCCAGAGATTCAAGGGCTTCCCAAAGGAAAGAGACACTCCCCTGGAATGTCATACATCAAGCCAATCGTCCCTCTGAAGTTTGGTTCTTACAATCCAAAGCAGGGTCAACCCAGCACCTTGAAAGGCAAGCAGAAGAAGACCTACCGCAGTTGACGAAGTCATCATGCACGGGATTATCGTTCATTTTTCTCCTCTTCACCAGTTTCTCATAATATTTTGCAATGTTCTTGATATTATTAAACCATCATCAACATCCACGCGAAGAATTAATCCATTTTCTTTGGTCTTGCTTGGTCTGCAAGTCATTGATTTTCTATTGGCGAACTTATTGCCTACTTTCTTTTAGAGTTGTGGAAGTGATGTTCTTGGGATCTAATGATCTTTGTGTTGGGTCCCTATTAGGTTAGGCAGATGATTTAAGATGAGGAGGGGGTGAGCTTGATGACAAAGGTTAGGCTAAGACAGTGGAACTGAAGGAAAACATAGGGAAAATTTGAACTTACAAACCAAGAGAAACAAGGTAACCAACAAAAAAGGGTTCCCTGCTTGAGGGATATCCTAGTTCACACGAAAATCCAGTTGTAGAGGACCTCTCTCTCTCTATCTATCTCTCTCTCTCTCTCTCTCTCTCTCTCTCTCTCTCTCTTGTGACCATATAGCCCTAACTTCTTTTAGATCTTATTTTACATCATCCCTCAAGCCCACGAAGAATTACATGTTTGTCCCTTTAATTATTTCTATGATAATGGATGAGTTGAGTTGTAGGCCCATTAGATCTACACGGGGGTCACGCAATTGATTTGTCTAGGGCTGGAAGAAGAGATATGTGCTTCCACTAAATGAGGCCTACCAGTCCTGGTGTTGTGGGTTGCAGGTAGAGCACTACTTGGTGCTGAACTAGTAGCTGCAATTGATTGTCTAGAGCTGGAAGAAGAGGAAGAATGGGGTCTTATGAGTGACCTAAGTCTTATGCAGTTGTGATGCATTGAAGACTAGAGGGATGGACACTAATTCTAGAAGTTGCAGCTTATATGAAACATGAATCACTTTGTCAATTACGGGGTAGGAGCCATAATAGTTGGGGGCCAACTTTTAACAATGGTGGTCGATGTGTAATCACATATAATAGTCTGGATCTTGGTAAATATTTGGTCCTTGATATCAAATTAAATGTCATGTCACTAACTATTGACTATAGATTTCATTTTAGATTATCTTTGATTAAAGTGTTTATTTAATTATCTTATAATGTGACTTTTTTCCTATAATTTTTCTTCCAAAGAAGTCATTGCAGTGTTTAAGGAATTGTAAAGTACTAAAGGTAGAGGGTCGTGACTGTGAAATAGCTTTGAAGGATGTGAAGTGAGTTGGGATGATATGTTATGTTGTACCAACATTCTACTCATCCTAGATAACACTGTTATATATAAGACCTATTATGTGAAAAACACTATAACTAGGCCTCAAGATAGTGATTCACTACCTCTATTTGATTGTTAGTTTGGGGTGATATAAGGTTTCTCTTTTTAAACAAATCTCATGCAGTTAGAATACCTTTTTACATAATTGATTGATGAACACAATATCCTAGTTTTTGATAATTAATTTTGAAAACTTATATAAACAAATAATTTATTGTATAAATATATTGACCACTTCCTTGTCAGAGAATACATGTTTTAGTGCAACAAAGTGCTAATACTTATTTTTTCCACCACCGCCATTATTATATTGTATGCCTTTGATTGGGTAGTCTTTTAATAAAATATATGATCAACTCTTCTTAATTTTTTTTTGGAACAAGGAAAGATTGAGAAAAACTTACATGTGTGAGAGATTTGTATTTGATGCATTGACATACTTTACATAACTATACATAGTCTTTAATATATATTTTTTATCCCATATTAAAGTACTATTAATTAATCTTTATATCTATTTGAAGAACTCAAAATGACCTTTGAGCACTCTATCATGATATTCCTTAAGAAGCAGTAAAATGATATATTATATTGTTGAAATGATGAGATGGAATCAACATAGTAGATTCTATGAATAGAGGTTGTAGTTTGGTAACTCTCTAATTCTTTATTTTAGCGCCATCTTTTCTTTGTAATTTTAGGTCAAATTGTGATTATTCAACTTTCATTTGTGCAACTAGGATAATGGGCATTGCTAAAGATAGTGTGTGGACATTAGTCACTTACGAGACCTTGAAAAATTCATGAGCTATTTTATTTTTGGCTCTAGATTTTTAAAATATCAAAAGTCATATTTGATGATCTTGGTTAACTATTTTTTATTGTCACGTAACACATTGTTGATCTAATAAAAAATTTAAGCTGAATTAATCAAGATAGATAATAAAGTGATAGCCTAGAATATAGTATCTCTATCCATAATTTTTAGACCTAAGACCACTACTATCAACTCTATTTTATATATAATTTCAACTATTTTATGGAGGATAAAAACCTAATTGAGGTAGTCAATAGATTTTCAATCTTATATTAAGGTTGCATTGAAGTCAATTCCCAAGACATTTGTCTCTAATTTGAATGACCAAAAGAAATTAAGGGGAGATTGTATCAAGATATATGATATGTTGAAAGGCTGCTTCAACTTTATTTTTTCTACTAAAATTCATTTTGCTTTAATTCTTGCATCAATGACCAAATTATCTATTTATAATCTGTTGTGAACATTTGATAATACTCATTCAAGTCAAATAAACCACAAAGTTCATGAATATTATAAGTGGTTGACCAATTCAATATTACCTTTATCTTCCCTCTATTGACTTCCACTTCTTTGGTTGACACCAATAACTTACCAATTTTATTTTTTTGTGTGCATGATGTATTTAAAGCACAAAGTTCACAAATGTTAGAAGTTGACCAATTCAACATTACCTTTACCTTTACCTTCCCTCTATCTAAATTCACTCCTTTGGTCAAATAGATGTATTTAATTTTCTTTTTACATAGAGATGTATTTATGCTTGTTCAAATAAAGATGATGTTAAGATAGAACGTTCATCATTATGTCTAAATGACCTTTGTGTTTCTTTTTATCTCTATCATACCAAAATGTCGTCAAAGAAAACCAATATACATTTCAAGAGGTAAAATTATGATAATTTTGTTTCATCAATACTTAAAAGGTGAATGAGGCATTTTTTAAGCCAAATGACATAACAATAAATTTATAGTAGCTTTCATGGGTGTGGAAAAATCATTTTAAGAATATTGTCAAGAGTCATATAGATTTGGTGGTACCTTGACTTATATCTAATTTTAAAAAGATAATTGTTTCATTTATCTTATATAGCAACTTGTTGACAATGATAATTATAAATTAATTTAGGATTACGACTTAATCAATGGCACAATAATTGACATAAAATCACAATCCCATATTCTTATTCTTTGCTAATAAGACTAGACTTGATTATGAGTTAATAGATGGTTGTATGGTCCCTACATCACATATGTTTCACATCAATTTCTCGATCTTAAATTTTTGTGAATGAGGGTATTTGTAAGGTTTCTACAAAGATTATCTTTGAGGGAGAAACCTCGCAAATGGCACAAAGACATTGAGGTACTTATGTTGGAGTTGTTGCTCCAACTCATTTGATGATCTTAACTCTCAAAACTCTTGTATTATAGATATTTGACATAATTTAACAACTCTCTTCACATCATGTTGTAATACTTTAATGAGAAACTATAATAATATATTCAACTTGTTCATAGTAAAATCACATTTGATGATAAAAAGTGATCCATTAATAATAAAGATTATTATGAGTTTATTCTAATCAATCTCTATTGGTCGAAAGGTTCTCAACTACTGCATCACTAATACCACATCTATTCTAAATTTTAGGAATGTATAATCTTCAAATGCTTCTATTCCTTGTATTTCTAACACTACTATCTTGTAGATCCCTCCTTTTTAATATTCATTCTTATACTTAGTCGTTATCGACAATGAAAATTATAACTCTTCAATCAAATCTCTAGTAAAAAAATTATGAGTGACCATATTGCCAATTAATAATGTGACTATTTTTGACCAATTTACCTCTTGAGATTCATTGTTCTAGGTGTTGCTAATCTCATTATTGACTAAGATATTGGCGAATACCACATATGATCAAGAAAATAATACCTATAATCACATAAAAACCAAAATATAAATGTCTTCAATGCTTATGTAGAAAAAATCCCAGTGAATCAAACAAAGCACCACATTGAGAGAGAGGGCAAGGGAAAGACCCAAGCATTGAGAGGTAGACAAGGAATTTATTAAAAGTTTTATTTTTTATTCATAATAATAGCAAGTACTTATGTCAATTATTCTTTTTGACTCTAAATTTATCTTCTTAATCTATTTCTTACAAAATGATGAATTATAATTCTCTCTTAACCTGATGTCTAAACACATATTTCTCACCACCCAAATAAAGCAAAGTCTTTGGTGCTCTGGTATTACAATTCTGCATTAGTTAGTCTCGATTCTCCTTATCTAAATGTTGAGTCTTACTCTTTTTCATTCTTTCAAACATTATCTTTGGATGATCACTTCTTGGTTGGGTAATAATATACTTTTAGTTTCTCCCCAAGTCAAGACGAGCCCACAACCACTATAAGACCTTAGGTGACTCAACATGATTATTTTAGAGTTAGTTGTTAATTACAACACGATAATTTCTCTTTGATGGTTTAGGAAGTGTATATGATATCGTTCAATCATCCGAGCTTCAACACCTAAAGCTCAACCTTAATCTTCAACATGAGTCCCTTAACAAATGTGCCTTTCAAAGCTCCTTTAGGAATATCTTTGATGGCTAAAATAAGTAATATGATGTCACAATAATATTCAATAATGTTCCATATTGTTTTCATGTTAACATATCATTTTTTTAGGATAACTAAGGTTAAATGATTAAAAAATACAATTACAACCAAAGTCAAATTAATTAAATAGAATAAAAAATACATTTAAAAAGTATTTCATGAATTTTTATTTAAATCTACATATTAATCTTGATAAAAATATATTTAAATCCTTTGATTATAATCTAACAAAAATCCAAGGCATGACTTGAGAAATATATTTTTTTCTTTTTTTTTTCTCTTTTCTCA